GTGTGCCTGGATTATTGCTCCTCTCAACAAAGCCGTGCCAGAGAATAAAGAATTCACGTATAATTCATTATACCAGCTGCTCGGGTCTAGAAATCACTTACAATCGGGGGTTATGAAGAATTATTTCACTGATTGACAGAACCCCTCGGTCAATCCCGGATTTTTACCAGTTTCGTAACCCCCCCATTCGTTTGACTTTCTATCGACTACATGAGCATGATTTTAATTTGATAAGGAGCACAAGATGTATCCTTGGTTTAGGCAGTTGAAGCTGATTGTGTAGATCGCCGTCTTCGGAGACGCACTTCCCTTAAACTCATTGTCTTGGTCCAACAGCCAAAGAACAAACAACAACTCCCTCACGCCCCTGTGGTTTTTCCTCATTACATCGTTTGTACATGAAATGCTTTATTTTGACGGTTTTAAAAATAATCCATATATAACTACATCCAAAGAAAAAAAGTTACTTACTTCTCAACCGAGTTTTACATCCTGAAGCTGGGGACAAGACTGGTGTTTATCGTGATAAACAGTTCACTAACCGCAGGAAGAGACTCCATGATGTTGGAGTTTGCCTGCAGTTTTGTACTTTCGGTTTGGTTTGTCCTCTGCGCTGAGGAGAAGGAGGAGCCAGCACACTTGAGTCCTTGTTTTTACTGCGATTTTTCATGAAATTACGGGATAGTAACGATCACGTGTGTATGAAAAACATGTTACATTTGCCTACAAGACAGTACATGTTACATTTGCCTAAGACAGTACCTACAAGCCTTTGATAGGTTTGCTGTCACTGTGGGTTTAGTGTTCCTGACGATGCGCACAGACCGACTTTCCCCTCGGGGTTATTCAGTCTGAAAGTAAAAATGCAACAGTTTTAACCATGAGGACACCCACACATATCCTGAATAAAGAAGAAATGAGCACATTAACACGCAATAGCACAAATTGCGTTACAATTTATGCCAGCAGCCATATCACCCTGCATCTCACAACTGGCAACCTACTGAAGCTAAGCTATTGTGAGCCTAGTCAGTACCAGGAGGGAGACCTCCTGGGAAAAACTAAGGTTGCTGCTGGAAGACGTGTTAGTGGGGCCAGCAGGGGGCGCTCACCCTGCGGTCCATGTGGGTCCTAATGCCCCAGTATAGTGACGCAGACACTATACTGTAAACAGGCGCCGTCCTTCGGATGGGACGTAAAACCGAGGTCCTGACTCTCTGTGGTCATTAAAAATCCCAGGGCGTTTCTCAAAAAGAGTTGGAGTGTGATCCCGGCGTCCTGGCCAAATTTCCCATTGGCTCATTACCAATCTACATATTGGTGGTGGAGAGGAGTCCCCATTACCTGTAAAGCGCTTTGAGTGAAGTGTCCAGCTATACAAGTGTAAGCAATTAATATTAATACTATGCCTACATTATGATCATGCAACATTTTCGTAGAAAAGATAGTGCAAACAAAATATAATGAAATCACAGTGTTAACCATGAGGGCACACCATGAGGGCACACACATATCCTGAAGGTACAAGAACAACTGTTTAGATGAGGTACAAACTGTAGCATTTTATTCTGAATAAATCCGAGTGGAAAGTCAATCTGTGCACACCGTGAAGAACACTAAACCCACAGCTCTAGCAAACCGATCGACGGTTTATAAATCCTGTCATTGCAAATGTAACAGGTGGTTCATACACGCATGTGATCGTTGCTATCTCTTAATTAAGAGATAATCTGTTAACCGCTAATTACAAGATAACTCAGAATTATTATGTTTTTACCTGGTGGCAGCAATGCGCTTCCGTAGAAAATGAATTCATTTACTACAATAAAAACTGAGTAAACGTACTGTATGGCCGTATTTTGGAAGAAAGCAGGTATTGGTGTGAATTTTGGTGGCCTGACCGTAGCAACAAATGTGTGCGAAGAGCAACTACACCTTTAGTTGCCTGTGGTCATGTGAAATTCCCATGTATATAGGAGAGACGAGAGAGGATTTATTTTACTGAACACCACCTTACTGCTATGTGTCCGGAGAGCTCAAGACCGCTTGCTATTTCACGAGGAACAAAGGCATCCAATAACGGTTTATGGATGTTTATGGAATATTTTAAGTATGAATACATTTTGGCTTAATCGTCTTAGCCAGGGCGTATAGGACAAGGAAGGACAGATCCCTTTAGGAGCTAACCAAGGTGGAAATGAGGTGGAGGACGGATGCATGAGACAAAATAAGTAAAAAGTGAGGTAGTAGTAATACAAAACGTGATATATACCTATAGCTAACGTCAGGCATTATGTAATGTAGTGTAATGCAATATATGCATTATATGCCAGGGACCTGTGCAATACATTTACATCTATATTTATATCTATATCTATATTTACATCTATATTTATATTCATATGTGTGATACGATTTTTCTGTGTACTGTTCTGTTCTAGTCTGTTCTTTGTGTGTCCGGACTGTGAGTAACTCTTGTATTGTATTGTATGTATTGTACTATTATTATATAATTTGTTACACTGTGGCTGTGTTGTGTGTGTTAAGCTGCTGTTGCACTGCAATTTCCCTCACGGGATCAATAAAGTATCTATCTATCTAATGTAGAACAGCTGAGAGTTTTGTGGCTCGTCTTTATCCCTCCCAAAATTCAGTTAACTCCTGTTTTGTGTCTTGAGTCTTTTCAGTACTACAAATCAAATCATTTTATATATGGCAGAAAAGATCAAAGGAGTTAAATTCTTATACAAAATTATATTTAGGAACAGCCATAGGAAATTAAGTTAACAATACTTTTTAGTTAATTTTGTATTAATGTGAATCAGAATTGAAATTCAGTCAATGCCAAATTAATTGTCAATTAGTGTATGACATCAGCTTGGTAATCCTGCCTACTTCTCCTCTCTCACTGAGTAAACTATATGTTTTTGGAAATGAAAAAAAGGATAAACTGATTTTTACATGCCAAGAAATCAGAATAAAAGTCATTTTAGAATATTTCCTTCTTTCTTTTTTTTCTAAATTTCCCACACTGGTACTGAAAGTAACATTGTCCAGCTTCATAATCAGAAAAGAATGCATTTCTTGTTTTTTTAAAAGAGAAGTACATAAATTCTGCTGCTGTGTTCTCCATTTATTTTGTTTCACAACTCAAATACATCGAATTTTACTTATCTGCTTACTCTTCAATCACAGGATCTTGGAAATTTCCATTTTCGTGATTCCGAAAACATAGAATCTTTCAAGAAATATGTTGTATTTCAAACTTAAGCCATTTGAAGTAATCAATTAACCTAAATACAAGAAGTGATTGATAATATAATAAATGTTCTTGAGCATTACCAACAAGCAAGTGTTATGCAGAGCCTTTCAGGTGCTGTGCAGAAGCACAATGGAGGTAAAACACATGGTTTCTTTGAAATACAAACGTGTGAAAGCTGTTGTTTGGTTGAAGTTAATATTTAAAAGAACAATTGTCTCTAAATACTGCCTTTTGGTGTTAAATTATAAAGCATGTATTACAGACTTCATTGCTTGTTTTTTTACTTAAGATTAATACAAATACATTTGTATTGGCAATACAAATTCCCAAACAGTTTCTATAAATATAAAATAAAACAAACACAATGCTCAGTACTAAATTTAAATCTTCATGAGTCATATGTAAAGGTACTGAGAGCATTCATAGTGTCTAAACCCTCTAATACAGGGGACTACTTCATATTCAGTGGTGTAAGAGTATGTACATTTATTTCTAAAAACAGGAGGAATTTCTTTCTTCCTGAGATTTTTCAAGAAAAATAATCTAGATTCTAATTGGCTAAGCAACCAAATTTCAAATCTAGGCTAAACAGCCTGATCGTGTTTGTGACAATTTTATTGTTCTTAAGTTTTGTTGTCTAAATACCAAGTTTCCTATATCCAATTAAATAGATTCTAAGGGTGTTTAAAAGATTGTGTAACAGAGCAGGGTTTGACTATAACAACTGATTTGCAAATAACAAAGCAATGAGCTAAGAATGTACTGTGCTGCCAAACCTTTTCAGCTATTTCTAAGTAGAAGAAAGCTACAATAACTCAGAGAATGTATTATGTGCAAAAAAATGTTTTATGTGATGCTTAACAAAATACCCATGGCAGTTGAGGGTTATTCTCTATATTTATTTGCTTTTGATTTGCTATTCAATAATTTTTTAAGAGTGATTATTAGCATCATATATAACTAATTATCTTAACAAGCACCAAGCAATTACATTTTTTTTTGCTCAACCAGTCCTTTCTGACTGTAAACATGCCCTGCAAGAAGTGTCTCTCTCCTGAATTCAACCTCATGCGTTTTACTTGGAAGACAAATTGAACAAGGTGTGTTCAAGACAGTTGACATCAGCTACTGTATAGAGGACAAGACAGTACAATACCTGCCCATACTGTTCAAAAGAAGAATTTAATCTCTGAATTACACAAGACTCAGTTTTTCCATCACCTCACAATGTCCTCTTCAAAACAACAACTATTCTAGAATGTAAGATCTTGGATGGATTTGAATGCAGCATCTGAAAAACTTAGGCAATGTTTTATAACACTCTATGTTGAAACAAATATCAAGTAGAAGGAAATGACACTTGTGTCATAAGTCGTACTAATTCTTTTTTAGTTTTCAAAATATTCCTGTTACACATGTAACCATTTACAACCATATGCCAGACACTGCTACAAAAAGTCCTTTAATGAAGAGGTGTGTTGAACCAGAACTCTGATTTCCTGTTTCAATTCAAAGCTGTAACCCCTTTCTTGGCACCTACGTGGACTGCTTATAAATTCTTGTGAGGTGTTTGCAGTGCTGTTTATAAACGTGAATGTTTGCTTATATAAAAAAAAACCCACAGGAAATAAGCAGAGGTGCACTCTGTAACTGTGCTAGTATCTGCCGGCAGGTGAATTTAAAAACAAGGCTCAAAGACTTACACTCACTGAGGCAGAGAAAGGGGTAAATGTACTGTATTTCATGTTACTGAAGAAATGGGCATCAGATCAAAGCTTCACAAACACTGGCATGGCTTTGGGGGAAGGGGCAAGTTGGAGGAGACTCCCTACAATTCCTCATTTTCCCTGGGGCTGTAGCTGTGACCTCAGGTGCAAAAAACACACAATTGCCTATTCTATGGGGGAAAAAAAATGCAAATTCCACTGTCTGTTGGAATTTCCCTTTGTAGCATCCATGCATCCATTTTCTTTACCGCCAGGGAGACAGATCTTAGCCCAGCATGCAACACCAGCAATGTGGGGTACACTTTGGACAGGACATCAGTCTATCGCAGGGCACACACAGACAAATACACACGCTACACCAGGGCCAGTTTTTCCCAGAACCCAATTAACCTACTGTATGTTTTCAGACTGTGGGAGAAACAGGAGCACCCAGACAAAACCCACGAGAACATAAAGACTCCAGTCATGTAGCAACCCACGAAGTGAACCCAGGGCCCCAGCTCTGCAAGGCAGAAATGCTAACCACTGTACCATCGTGCTGCCCGCTACCATAGGAGAACTGCCTAATTTGGAACATGTGGGCAGGTCTTGTATTTCAGTAACTAAAGACAGGTTGTTGGTACTAGTAGTACTAGACAGTACATTTCCAATTTCATCATTGAATCTCAGAACATGAGAATAAAAAAAATTAAAAGCTTGTCTGTTTTTTAATGATGTGTGGCATCCAATCACCAACTTTCCCTGTGGAAAACAGCAGACGACACCAAGATGCCTGCTGGAGGGATTTTAGAAACAACAATTTGATTCTGACTCAGATTAACAAGGTAGCGGTTTTCCAGAAACTGGGCTTATGCCTGACTCTTAGAAAGGAGAGGTTTGAGTCACTATAGGTGTGGTTTCACTGTTTGATTTGGTAGATACATTCATTTCAAGCATTAAGGGCTGCCCATAGTATTATCTGTGTGGCAGATGAAATAGACTGTGTAGCAGACAAAATAAGAGCCCTAAAGCAAAAGGGTTTCCAAAACAATAATTATGCAAGAAAATGAACTCTGGGTTGGGATTTGATTCCACATGTGGAAACACACAGCAGTGTGGTGGAATAGCTTCTGTCTGGTGTGTACAGAGGGAATACATATAATAAAAATGCCGCAGTCTAAACCTCTGTTCTTACAAATTTGTAAGCATTCCAACTGAAACCATTTTTTTCTTCTAATATGGTAATGTTTTAAACGAGCATTACATAGTAAAAATAAGTTTTAAATAACATGTTGTTGGAATTAGCATCAGGAATTACTTTACAGTTGGTTCATAAAAAATGTAGATTTAAAAAAATGTTTATTTGATCAGCAGATTATATGGTCAAAACATACTTACATTTGAAATACTATAGAATTACAATTTCTATGCATAGAAACAAACTATATCTTTATAATTTTCAAAGTATTCTTGATGTAAATGTTGCCATACCAGCCAATGCTAAAACAAGTCCCTCAATAACACAGAATGTTGGCCCAGAATTTCCACATTTCCTCAAACAGCTGTAAAAGAAACACAAGCTTGAAATCAGACACATCATCTCTTTTCCACTTCACAGTCATGACCCCTTTGTGGGGACCCATAATGGTTTCATTTGTAATGTTTTAATATGATCTGATGCTTCCAATGCCATTGCTAAAGAAAAAATATTATGATTATATTATATTATTTATTATTATTATTATAAAAAATATTATTATTTATTTAATAATTTATTATTATATACATTTCCATTTTAAGCACTAACATTTTGGCAGGCTAATGCAGACTCTTAACAGTCTAGAAACCTGTTGTACTAACAGTATAACCAACAACTAAAATATCAGGTATTCTCTAGAGCATTTATCCCCAACAATCCTTACTGATTGCCACTTACTCTTCATTATGGCCACAGGCTTCAGCTAAAGAATTAGTGATGGTGCTGCAGTGTTCACATTTGGTGTCATTTTCTAAGGTTCCTGTGCAAAACAATGAGGACAAGCACAAAGAGAAAGAATATAATTATTAAGGTTAAAATACTATTTTTACCTTAGTGGGGGTTTCTGTGGTATTAGATAGTATTTGATGTGGCCAAGGGCACATTTTACATCCTGCATTGGCTTGGTGTCCCTTGCAAGGATATACTTCCGAATATCTCCCTGTGTTTTTCGGATAGGCGCCAGGTTTCCATAACTGAAGTATATGCTTTGCATGACCTCTTCCAACCACAGCAGCAAACAGTGATGTGTGCTGCTTCTAACACTGAACGATGTTGTGTCATAGTAAGGAACTCTTAAAACTTGTGTCCATGCATAAAGATACAGTATGTGATCTCACAATTTAGATCATAACTTCACAGTTTGACTTTGGTTTGGCATACAGTGTCGACATACTACAAGATGAAGTTTTTTCAGTTAAGATAAAGCACAGGATTATTTCCCAGGCATTATGAAATGAAGGATTCTTCACCAGCGTGATAAATGAACAAAACCTTTATTTCCCCTCTGTCCTTACCGTTTTGTTTTGTAAACTGTCCTTCTGAACATACAGTGTGATTTAGGCATTTACTGCATCCCCGGTCTGCTGGAACACTACAGAAGAATCCCTCGCCACACTCACACACTGAATTGGAAGTGGGTGAGCATCTTAGTTTTGTGATCATCCCTTCTTCTGCACAAATAAAAAGAAATGTGAAGTGTTTGACCTGTTCTGTATATGCAAAATAAAATACTACTCAGGAATTTGTAGAAGGCAGTGTAATAGCATGATTTCATTCTTTGACTTATGAGCAGTTTCACCCATTTCTAACTGAACATGTACCCAGAAAACATATTTTTCATCTGTTCTCGGAATGCAGGAGAATGTGGCCAAGGACACATTTTGATCTCCCCCTCACACTGTTTATTCTGAGAACTCAAGACACTGTGCCATCTGTTTATGTCTAGCAGGTCTCAGAGAAAGAAAATAAAACTTTCATCCTTCATTCTATGTTTCCACTGAAACAAACTCCTATGTCAGTGACATTATAGCACCGAATGGTGTGATGAAATTGCTCTTGCAAGCACATGATCAACCTTCACATTTCTGGCATCTTTTGCACTCATTCAGCTCATTGGGATGATCCATGTATGTAGACTCTGGACAGGTCTTGCATAATGTGCTGGTTGTGTCAGTACAGTTCTTTGCAACTCTTTCTCCTGTTGGAAAGACACCCAATAGTGAATTGTCAACATGTACTTGGATACTTATGCAAATTTTATTTGCAATGCACTTAAATTATAAACCAAAATTACAGAAAAACTTTTCCAATAGCTCTCATCCATGTCAGCAACCCTAATAAGTTCAGTCTCATAAATGTTCACCAACACAGGGTGCTATAGAACTTCTTACAACATCATTGAAACAGGCTGATGAGTTTCATTGCAGTGCAATATTGGAAACGTTATTCTTCTGCATCAGCACCGAATAAGTTAGCATTGTTGACAAGCACACAAGACATCAGTCCAATAAAGTTTGTAGAAGTCTTGTTCACAATGCTTTGGGTATTTATGTAAAAGAGTCTCATTGCAAATAATATTCTGTGGGGACAAATGTCATTTATTGTAGGTTTGGCCTCAGACAGTGACTGAATCCCTACTTAGGGTGTGTAACATAAACCAGATACACATCTAATGAAAAACTCCAGTACTGAGAGTTTATATCTACCTTCTCTATTGGACTTTTATTATAATCCTACTTACCACGATTGCACTTAGGACAGCAGATTTCTCCATGCGCATATTCTTGGGAATCACATGCCTCACACATTGTATCACAGGGGAACAGTGCAACACAACTCTACAGAAACACAAAGACTCATTTTTAAAAATCACCTTGCGGGAAACAGTCCTGGACACAGTTGTAGGGGATGAAAAGTTATGTTGAAGATTCCTGTATTATGTGGCTAGACTACAGTAGCACAGCAAACTAATCTGAGAATTTTACGTACATTATCACTATAAATAATGCTGTTTTGTACAGGGAATGTTGGTGATTGGATGCCACATTTCTTTAAAAAACTTAATGGGTTTCTCACAGAATACTGTCACCATAATAAGCCAAAATCAAGAAGTATTGCAACAAAATCTTTCTTATGCCTTAAATAAAAACATAAGGATTGATTTATAGTGTTACTACAAGTGACACTTCCTCATTCACTGGACAAAGTGATAGGATCCACATAATCTTCTGGGTGTCTCTAACAGGCAGCAAAGTCACATTTATCACAGGATTTCAAACCCACCCTGGCAGACCTGACTTCATCTGAGGTGATGAGGATCATGGTACTGTACAGTACAGTACGAAACCGAAACCGCACCCTGTGTCAGTTCTACTGATCTTCTCTAGCAAAACTATGGAATTGTTATGGCCAGGGTATGTGACAGACATGAGACATCTGTCTGTCTCTTGTTTCTCAAGCCAATCTTGCACAGTGTTTCCTTGTGTTTCCTTTCTTTTATTTTCAGCATGGAATAAACCCGTTACCCGTTCCTTTGCAATATACTTATATTTTTTGTCAACAATGAGAGCATTGGAGAAACCACGCGAAAACAGGGAAAACATCACATCTCCACGCAGACAGCACTGTCTCCGGAGCCCCAGCGCTGCGAGGCAGCAATCCTAACCTGCATCACCATGCCACAAATCCACGGGAAACATTTTTTTTTAAATCGCTGTTCGTCATTTTTAATTAAGTTTATAAACATCCATATACACCGTACTGTTAATACAGAATAACACCGATCAAACTTACCAGCCAAAATGCAACACCCGTTTTCAAATTCATGTTCTTTTTTTAATCCCACGTGGACCCTGGAACTAAGAGAAGTATATTACTAAATACCTACTTCACTCGCCAGCAATACCGATGTGCTTTATAATCCTCAACCAGTTAAAACATGCTAACCCAGCCTACCCAAATTCCAGTTCCTATTAAGTAGAAGAAGAAAAATAAATCAAGATTATGCGGTCAACTATATCGCAGATTTCGGCTATTGTATACTTGCTCTGAACATGCTACACATAAAGTGTAGAAAAACACTTGGATCTTGGTGTTAGCATCAGGTGAGAATGGCTTCATAAGTATAACCACAGAATACGGAATTTGTTACAACGAACCAAAAGCTTATCCCATTTGCCTAGTTGAAAGCATTTCCTTTGCTGTCTGACTTTGAGAACACTTTTTAAGCCTGTCTTCACGCTCTAAAGGTGCTGGACAGAGAGCTGTTATGTCGAAGCTAAATTCCAGACCTACAAAACTCCCTCCCGTGTTCGAATGATCGACATTCCAAGATAATTATTCTAAAAACGTTTAATTATCTGCAGATCTGACTATGCGAAATCACTAAAAGCGAAGTCTAGGTTTAGTAAAAGGTGAGTGCGAAAAACAAAAACTCACTTCGATCTGCTTTTCCAGCGCTGCGCAGAATACTCCTTCTGGTCAGTGAAGAACAAAAAACTTTTTTTAACAGTTGAGACTGAGGCGTAGCTGAAAAGAGTAACGCCTCACGTGTAGCACAAAATTCAGAAATAAAACTATTAAAATAATACGTCATTTTAGTAACTACAAATTCAGATTTTACCGATTTCTCCAAAAAGTGAAAAAAAGTTTGTTTAGGTCTCCTTTAAAATATAGATTTGAAGTGGCTGTCTGTTTCAATATTTTAACTATTTTTTTTATTCAAATATGTGCACAGGAACCTAACTTTAAACCTGAATCAGAAAGCTGTTCATCAACAAGAAAAGATCGCGCGTCTCATCTGAAAATATTGTTCCTAGTTGTGTAGGATCCTGATATTAAAGGCTGCTTTTGTGAACGATGTACGATTTCATAATTTGCCCAAGAAACCTGTAGTCCCTATAAAGCAATGAGCTTTGCATCATTCCAAGATGATTTTTTGGAATTAATGGAGGAAACGTAAAATAGCACATTCTTTCCGGACGAGTACTGCTAGTGACATCTCCCTGCATCTCCGTGAACTAGCAAGCCTAATTATTGAAGGAATTTCAGAACGTAAGATTTGTTACAAACGCTAGGAGGCCACTTGTCCCTCCCAGTCCTGACTGGGCTAGCTTATTTGATCCAAGGATCTCAACTAGTTGTTTCTTGAAGGACGTCAGAATACTGGCTTCAATGTCGTGGCTGGGTTGTTCTGTTCCATACTCCCAAAACCCTTTGGGCAAAGATGGACCACCTGTTCTCAGTTTTAAATGATCTTCTATGTGTTTCTACACTTTCCGCTCGTCTGCTCTGCAGACGTTCGTGTGTATTTGTTCATTCTGAATGCGCTGGGTTTACTCTGTCAGTGCTTTTGCGGATTTTGAATACTTGACGTCCCGTAATGCAATTTTCACACAACACCCCCTGATTTAAACTGTTATAATTTTGATTATAATATAGTAAGATTCGGTTTGCCTTTTCAGAATGCTTCCCCACAGTAGGATTTCGAAATCAGCACTGCATTGCGCTCCTGATAAACTGCTCCTCCCAAATTCTTTGGTCAGACATCACCTATTTTCGGTTATTTATCATTTTGTCTGTAACAAACCACAGATCAGTCTTTTTTTATTGTACCACAGTCTGTTTGTTCAGGCACGAGTCCCGCTGGGAAGAATGACAAAACTGAAAAATATCCTTTCCACTCACGTGAAATAACATGGCATCAATCCTCCGGGAAAGTGAGAAAGCTCTCCTCATCACCCTTCCACAGTCACAACTAATTTCATTTCGGATTGTGAACACAAAGGCTTGGAAACAGATGCAGACCGATTCTGTCTAGAAACACACTGGGCTTTATTTGAAAACTTTAAGTCTTTGTCTTTTGCATATGTTTTAACGTAAATTATTTTCTAGTATTAATATTAAATAAAACTAACAAAAGGATCGCTAATTATTACACCGATCACAGGTTTTTTCATACAACTGCGGGGAAGTTCATCTTCAACTAGTTTTCTCTGGAAAAAAAAATATAATAACGGAGGAGCTTCAAAGTTCAGTTCTTTTTTGGCTTATGTTTTAAAATAATTATAGCTGTAACATACTACTATGGTTCGTGCCAGGTCTTGTCAATTGCGAGAAAACCTAGCAAATATAAACATATTCAAATATGCATATATTAGTCTACAATTTGTTATGTTCTCATTATTACATAGGTGAATGAATAAGACGTGATTTTAATACAAAATTGACCAAAATGTTTTATGTGCCATTTAAAAATAACATTTTCCATCTTACTAGTTTACCGGATATACAGTTAAGGCTCTGTACCAATCTCTCTGCAATTAGGTGAGAAATAATGTTAGTCCGGCAGACCGAAGGACACAAAACAACAGTCTTCCCTGTTGCCTGGCGACGAAAGTGCGCAACAATCGAGACCGATTATTCTGCTCAGTTCCTCTTGACACGCAGCTTCTAAATATGAATTATTTTTCTTCAGTAGCACGGTAAGCACCTCACCCTGGTTCTTATCTAAAAACTGTCCTTCGGGTGAGGAATGGCTCCAGTCGTGGTTCACCGCCGAAATTCCTTTAAGAGAAATGCGTAGACAGGCGCTCAACAATTGTGAAACAACTACGAGGAGCTAATTTCTCCGACAATCAGATGCTAAAAAAACAGAGATTTCTTAGGTAAGTCTTTTGCAGAGACCGAATGTATACGGAATACAGTGCAAGAACTCAAAAACAAAACCCTGCAACTTTCAAACAGGACTACTGCAGCGTGTTTTAAAAAACAACTCATTCGTCACAAAACCGGTGATAGTACTCATCTTGAGGATTCAGTGCTTTTCAAACTGATCGCCCGGCGGCTGTTGGATATTGCATTATGCTTAATTGTTAAAAGATTTTTCATCTGCAAGAAGTTAACACGAAATGATCAAATTCGCCGGAAAAATAATAAAAGAAATATTCTTAGGTGTTTTTAAATTTTGCGTAGTTACTGCACAGTAATCTCTAGCTCCAATAGAAATATTAGTAGTAGCTAAGAGTAGTGTACAGCATATTGACGTTTTATGAGCCGAAGGACAGAGAAACCTCTTATTTGAGCTCATCAGCGTGTTTTTTCTCCTACTGTTTGTGCTTCTTAGATACCATTGTTTGGGGGCCCGTTTCCACGGGAACCGAATTTACACGCAAACCATATTGCATAAGAGTACATGAAGGAATTTTGATAGATAAAAATATCTTTGTTTTTCTAATGTACCTGGAATATCACTTCTGTATGACTGAACAGTTGAGTGCTCTTTAAAAGCCATGAACCTACGGCAAGGACTGTCAGAATGAAAGCTACAGGTTATTGCTGCCTTGAATGGCCTGAATAATTAGCGAAGAGTTGTTCATTTCCCAGGTGGGGTGCATGCAAAGCTACCTCAAATGTGTCTCAAGGCAGTTAGAATAAGCTTCTATGTAGTCCCCAGCCTTACCATGCTGTGGTTTAAGAGAACTTTATTTAAGTAAGGCATAAATTTCCCTACAGGATTAATAAAGTATTATATATTGTAACGCTTACGGCCGACAAGCACTGTGTGTAAGAGCCGGCGTACCAGAGCGGGTGACGTCACCGCCCTTCCCTGTGATAGCAGGACCACAGCTACTGGGCTGTGTAGAGATCTCTCTTTGGCTCACGGGGCTAGGTCGCTGCAGAGAGACGCGGAAGTCCCGGGTTCGAGCCCCGGACGGTGCAGGGGCCGACCTAATGCGGCAAGGGCGCCCGCCTGAGCCCCCGTTGCGTTACAATATCTATCTAAAGCATTTGATTGTATGCCTAGCATTTGCAAGTAGGTGAGTGCAAGTAATATTTGCCATTGAGATTTTTCATTGAGTTTAATTCATTTTATTTACTGATTTTTCTTTTTTTTTTTGCTAAAGAACATGCATCTAAACGCACTTCTGAATCTCCAGGTGAATGTCCTCATGTACCGGATGGCAACCATAGGGGGCTGCCTCACCCTCGAAGATGATGAAAACTCTTGGAAATAAGACACCCCTCGCTAGGCCGCAGACAGCCCATCGGCACTGCGGGAGAAGTAGCTACACGCGACCAGTTCAAAGGAAAACATGCTGGACCCCTTCAAACTTGCAAGAAAATCAGGTAATCAGAAAATAACAGTCAACTGAGTTATCATCCTCCAAGGTAATACAGACCAGGGTTGCCCAGCACTCAGGACTCTTCCAATCAGCTTCCAATAAGTACATTGATACAGACAGCATGTTAACTGCTGTCTCCATCCTACTAATCATCAAATAAATAATTAAGGAGCTGGCTGTCATAATATTCCACAATGGACTGTGGCAAGAGTCACAGGTAGAATATCCCTTTTATAGACAATGTAGAGAATGAAGCAAAATGTGTTTGAAAGTATCCTGAAGCTGGAGAGATGGTGTGTATGCGTACGGCAGTGCAGGTCAGGTAAATATGGGGATATACACAGTAAGCAATGGCCACAGTCGGTGAAAGGTTGAAGGGCTTGGCCTCTACAGAGCCAGGAGCCCCTCCAGTGGGTCATGAATTGAGGTATCCACCATCCTGAGTTGCATTTGCCTCAGCGGTTATTTCATTTGCATTGCGTTTATTTTGTTTACCTTACATCTTTGATGGTTGGAACAGTGACAGAGCTGTGTAAAAATCCCTGAGGTCCAAGCACGTAGTAGTTAAAATACACCCGAGGAAGCGCTGTTATTTCTCCATGTGTCATTGCAGCCTCCGGCCACGATGATGGTGGCGAAAGACCTTCAGGGTGACCTGCACAATGAGAAGGTGCACCTGCCTTCTATTGAAGACTATCAGGCCAGCTGCCCAGGGACTAACACCTCAGCAGACCATCCCAAAGCCAGCAGATCTGCGCCTGCTACAAGGGGTAAGCAGTATTTTTATTATTTACCCTAAGGTATGTTCTGAGTAAATAATTTCCCTCTCATGGCAAAACCAATCGTGTTTCTCCAGGTGCTTGGACTCAAAGTGTTAGTTATCCACCTAGCTCCAGTACTGGCACATCTGACAGCACTCGACTGAAACTGCAACCAAATACATCCATCCCTCCATCTCCGGCATCAGCCAGCAGTGGTGAGAATGGTCGCAGAATGTTTTATTGTTCCCGTTCTGCAGCATTTGTGACTAGCTAAGCCTTACATGTGTGTCAAAGATTTCCACACCTTTTTCTTCTCTAAAAATAAGTTGTCTTGAATTTAAGAGACAACTTAAGACAACCAAAAGAAGTTGTGTTAAAATTGTGCAATGCATTAATAAATCATGATGTGGAATGTGAAGTACAATTCTGGGCACCCCATTGCAAAAGAGTAATGGAAGAACAGCTAAAATATTTCCTTACTAACGCACACAGACAGATTAAAATCTTAAATCACTAGTAAAGCTGGTAAAAATATTTTACATCCTGTAAGGCATTTTCAAAGTCAGCTCAACTGATTTCACCAGCATTAACAGTGACAGACAATCCAGAGGACAAAAGTGAAGGTCGACAGGAAGTGCATTTATCACTGAGAACAGGAGGCACTTTTTTTACACAGAGGATTGTGGGAGTCAGGAGCATGGTACTGAGCCACATTGTGACTGCTGAGGCCCTGTGATTCCTGATGAAATGGATAGATGGGATCATCTGATCTATTCATTTTTAGCAACCAAACAAGCTAGATGGACTGAATGGTCACCTCACAATTGTAACCTTTCTTAAAGACCGATAAGAAAAGTCTGTGAGTGATTTTTAACATTTACAAGTTTAAATTTCAAGCTTTAATCATCAGAGAAAATCTGCTAATAAATGACGGGAATGAATACGTTTGAAATGCAAGGTTGTTTTGTAGCTTGCAGGTTTCTGCTTTCTCAGAGTCTGAGTGAACTTCACAATAACACATCTATTGACCGAATTAGTAGAGAAGTCCAGCGCAACAGTCCAGCCTTGGCCACCAGCGCAGGAGGGAAATGCCCATGGTACATTGCCTTATTGCACGAGAAGGTGAGAGAGCTCTCTTGTGGCAGACTGCCAATATTTCAAGATATTTACTATTTTAGTTCAGTAATATTCTAGAAGTCCCCTTATAAAACACCTACAGCACAAGAGTTTTGCAGCATGTGGGCATGACTTTTTCTAGATATAATAAAAGAAACAAATCCATCCGTAGGAACTCATCAAAACAAGACTCAAGATAAGATTTCTGGGTCCAATATAAATTTTCTCAATGACAAATCGCAGCTTGCATAACCTTGCAATGACCACAGAGCACTGAGAGCTTCCTCTCTGCAGGAACAGAGTTTGCTGATGCTCGGTGATGAAATCACCCGCCTCTCAGAGTTTGAGGCAGAATGCGTGAGAAAGGACCATGTGATCGAGGCCCTTCAGGAGAAGGTGACAGAACTGACCCATCAGCTGAGCCTGGCCCGGAATGAGGAGGTCATCAAGGCTCAGGTTAGAGATGGCTTTGCCCACTGCATCCTCGTCACTGGGAACAACACAAGACCAGTAATATTTAATTGTGGGTTTTCTATTGGGGTTTACCTGCCCCAACAGACTAAAGCTGCTAAGGTTCTTGCTGTTGGATAGGAAATAAGAGTCAGAGGAAGTGAGTTGCAAAGGGCTAGGAAGAAAGGTAATAAAAAGCGAATAATATCCATTTTATGCACATTTACGTCAGCTTCCATATTTGAGTTCTATGCATTGACACGTCTTTTTACCCTATTGATTAAAGAAAAAGGGAAATTTAAATCCCACTGAATTATGTATAGATTTAATTAGTTTATGTATAGATTATGTGTTTTATATATAGATTATACTACACAGACTGTGTTCTCATGAAGCCCATTAGGAATAGCTGGGAGCATCAGTGAGTTAATCCCTAAACTAGCAGGACCTGCATTTGCTACTCCTCTCTTCTGGTTCACTTAAACCAACTTCACTGCAGTCTGTGCCAACAGGCAGAACTGATCCTGCGTTTAGGAGAAGAGATCAAGCATCTTAGGAGCTTTGAAGAGGAGGCATCAAGGAAGGACACCCTGATAGCTGGACTGAGGGAAGAAATAGAGATTTTAAAACGGGCCAGTCCTCAATTTCAACGAGCAGCTGAGATCTCCGAGAATGAGGAGAATGATCCAATAGACAACGAAACCGGGCTTGTGAAGTCTCAGCATAAGGTAAAGCTTTGCGCTTGCAGGAAAATTGGCCCAGGTGTGAATGCGTGTGTGTCTGTGTATCTGTCCTGCAATAGACTGGTGTCCCATAAAGGCTGTGCCCTGCCTTGCACCTGTAGCTTGCTGGAATAGGCTCCAGCTCCCATGTGACCTTGAATTGGAAGAAGCTTGTACAAAAATGGATGGATGGACAACGTATATATATATACAGTACATTATTAGAAAAATGAGAGCTTAATCTTTTTTAACTTTTATTTGGAACTTTTTTTAAAAGGGGTTTTTATAACTTAGCCTTTATCGGCGAGAGGAAAGGGAACATTTTTAGATACTTTTTTAAAAAAGTATTTAATATTCAATCATAATATCTAGTAAATGTGATTGAAAAGTCTCTCAGTGTGTACCTTTTTGTTCTGTGAGCATTTATTAGGGACAAACATTGAGTGGATTTCTGGAACTGTTCTCAATATGATGTCAGAATACTATACCACATAGCAGTAAAATTCACTTCTTGTACTCTTCAGAGCCCAGACACATGGGAACTAAACTTAGACAAACGTAGTGAGATGGACAAGAATCAAGGGCTGGAGTCTGAATTGCAGATGAAAGAACTCAAAGCCACCAATGAGAAGCTAGTGAAGGAGCTGCAGGAAATGAAAAGCAACTACACAATTTCTACTGGTAGGTACTGTAGCACTACTGTTTTTGTAAAGTCTTACTATAGTGTATAAAGATAAAAACAGGATAGCATTGTAAAGCACAGCGTGTGCATGAGCATTGTAAGGCGAGGAACAGCAAAGTTTGACACAAATCATGGGAAATGCAAGATGCAGGTTAGAAAAACCAGGGGGAGACTAAACAAATGTCATGCACATTTACCATGCAAAACTCCGTAAAGTTACAAGGGCTTTTTTTCAGCATTTTCTGTGACACCTTATGACCCACACATTCCAGCAGATCTAAACGTGTCAAATAAAAAGCAGCTCAGTACTCATTCCTTTTCCCTGTCAACCTTTGAAACCAGGCACTGTGTGTTCCCTGCGGAGGAGCCTGTCTGCCCGAGAGACTGAGCTGGCAAAAGTCGGGCACAGGCAGGAGAGACTCAGGAGGGAGCTGAGAGACAGGATGTCCCAACTACAAGCCATGTCGAAAAAGGTACATCAGTGGGCAAGCAACTTGACTGGACTAAACCTAACCCTCTGAGATTAGATGATACAAGTGTACTAAGCAATACTTCAAGTTGCAAAATTGAGCGAAAGGATGCAGATTTCGTAAGTGGAAGACAGAGACATATTGGACAACTTCCCAATGAAAGTACTTCAATCTTGTATTGTGGCAGCTCAGAGGGTGATGAGAAAGATAAGCTCTGTTGATTTGGATTGAAGTGAATGTGCTGCACACAACTATTCACTCTTTGCATTGTTGCTATTGTATATTTCCTGTTATGTCAAAATCCAAAGTAATACCAACAACAGTATGTGAAAATAGAATAATCCAAAGATAAGCTTTATATCAAACTTAAAATGTGTATTGCTTTACCGTATTTGGGAATATATACATTTTTTTTAGATTTATCATAAAGCACGGGACAGTAATCTTTGTTTCTTTTAGTTTTCTTGTTTACGAGACGGGAAAAGAAATGAAGAATTGATGGCAGATTTAGAAAAGGAGAACTTCACACTGCAAAAAGTAAGGGTGCCTTTGAAGGCATATATAATCTTCATGGAGAAAACAACATTTTTTCAATGGCCTGTTATTATAAACTCTCAGATTCCTAGATGTTCCCATACACAAAAGGGGTATTCTAGAAAATTCAGCCATTGTATAGTCATTTGCCATTAGAGCTGAATTTCTACTATAAGACTAAAAACAAAGTTCAAATAATTATGACTGGGCTTTCATTGAAAATGTGATTTGACCCAATGAATATTTTAAACTATACAGTGCAAGGTTTTATGAAAATATTCTTCATTGTTCTCTTTAAACTTAATTTAAATGGTGTACCAAATCAATATGTTAAAAGCTGATAAAGATACTTCAATGTAAAGGACTTTACCATTTCTCCACAGTAACTGTGGTTCACTTTACTGTCCATACAGCACATAGCACAGCAGCAACAGGAGCTGTCAGAGGGAAACACAGTGGTGGCAGAGTTGAAGGCTCAACAACTCCAGCTGCAGCAGGAGCTGGTTACAGAGAGAACCAGGATTAAAGAGCTGGAAAAAAACAGCAAGGAGTGTCAGGGCAAAAGGGACAGTCTCCAGCAACAACACAATCAGGCCAAAGTCTCTCTGGAGCACCTTCAATCCAGGGTATTGCCATCTATCTCAGGAGATGTCCCTGCACATAACTCCTGCTTTTAGATACCTGTTCTTTTGTAGCTGATCAGCGAGACTAACTTGTTCTCCTCTGGCTAATTCATAGTTTCCCCTCATACGGTCTTTTAACCTCATTTGCTCATGCTCACAGTTCAGAAGACCGCATGAACAGAAGGCTTTTGCTCTTTACAATGTGATCAATATATTCTCCAAACTGTATAAGCAGGGCGTACTGTGCTATGAATGTACTCTATCAAGCCAAAACAGTCCACAATAAGAAATGTAAGATGTTTAATACTGTAAGGGTTACAATGTTAAATTACAAGAATTATCTATTTTTGTCCCCAATATTTTTTGTCCAGTTTGAGAGAATCCGTGGAAAGATCATCCAGGCTGCTTACTGTGCTCCCGGTGCCAAACCCCCTCACACCGAGATCAGTGACTCTGAGCTTCTGTGCACAATGCAGGTACAGTAGATGACAGTGGAAAGACCTCAGGAGTATCTGTAACATGGGACATAGCTCGACTGTGATTTATAACAGCCTATTGATCTGAGGAACAATGTTCTATTTATACAGGCGGGTCATTCACAACTGGAAAGACATTACCTTCAGCTCTGTCTTGTCCTGTCATGGCTCCAACAAGAGACCATTCACTAGAAAGCAGCAACAGATGCTTTCATACAAATTTGAACCGAAGAATAGGTCTTCAGAAGATGTAGACAAGTGGAATACTAATGTTTCTGGCAAAGGCTAACAAACAAATCTGGAAACACTAGCCTTTTTTATAAGACAAGCTCATGAAAAGCAAATGAGAAGTTATTCTTTGTCAAACGTGTATCTTTTCTTTTTCAGAAAATAATTGATGACCGTTCTCAATTTCACCAAATGCTCACACAGAAAGGAGAGAAAGTGCCCCCCCTTTTCACCACAGAAACGCAACCAGTTGCTAAGCCTAAGCCCATCTTAACCAGAAAGAGCTAAAAATATCTAAACGACCAGAAGACAGACTCCTACATTCTGAAAATATGTTTTTGTTTAACAAAAGACATTGCCTAATGGTGTTGATTTCTTATGTGTAACTAAAATCACACATTTTTGGGGTAATTGAATACAATTTTTTGGAACACCCTTACACAGATGCAGCCTTTTTTGCAAGAGATAAAAATCACATGGAACTGTTCTTGAGTTAAAAAAATATTGCTCTCAGTATTGGTACCTGTGATCATATTAATAATGAAAACATGTTAGTATTCATATTTTATCTTGGAATGACCTGTTATTTTTTACTTCTACCCACCCAATTTGAATTGGTCATTTCCAAAGACTCTGCCTTGTGCTTATGAGCACTGTACCTGCATGGGGACAATAAGAACCTACTAATATGCTCCTCCAATGTGGCCACTTTGGCACAGCTTGTGTCGTGGTGCAAGATCTGCAGCTCCTTACAGGAGAGTTAGGACCAAGCAGAGATACAGCAAGTCTCTCCGAGCAGCTCAACCTCCACTCCGAATGACAAACAGTTTCATATGACGGAAATTGCATATCTTTCTTATCTTTTGACACATTCCATACTTCCATATTTGACATAATCCAGTTTATAAGTACTCTCTATGAATAACATCATTCTGACTTATGAAATATGGGCTATCTCAGAATCTCATTATTACAGCCCTAGACTTTTTCCAGACAAAGTTAGCAGAATAGGAAGCTGGGAATAAGATAATAAAAAAGAAATTAACATTAAGATTTAAAAACCATATTTATTAAATTGATATAGTCCACATTTACAATTTTACACCACCTTGGATGGAGGTGTTTGTCCTGTACCAGTAAGATTTGATGAAATATGAGGAAATTCTTCTCGGAAAATTGTTTCTGTTCCAGTTGCCAAAAAGAAAGGGTTGACTGCTGCAGTCTACAGTCTATTTAGAGCAAATATAAAGCATCCATTGTACATAAAGCCAATAGAACTTACAGTGCCAGAAGATCCCAAGGACCTTGAGAGGTCCTAAACATTCCAGCAAAGCTACACTCCTACATGGTACGACAATGAGATCTCTGTTACATGCAAAGATGGCTTCAAATTTTGTTTCAACAAAATTATCTGAATTGTCTGATTAGAGTCCTATGGAACAGCAAACTGTTCTGTGGGGAAAAAAAGGACAAGATTGTCTGCTGCCTGGAAAAGTTAAGAGGTCAAATCCACACCTTATCTCCCATTTTCCAAAGCAGAATGAATAATCTCTTTAAGGCAATATGACACTGTTACACCCCATCCACCCCCAAAGCACCAAGACACACATATATTCTAACATTGTCATTCATTTGCATTGAAATTGCTTTTTAAATTTCAGTACTGAACAGTTATCCAAAATTTACTTCTACAGTGAAATAATGTGCACTCATACTGTATATATAGCAAAGCCAACCAGTTGTCATTTTTTTCAGGCAGATATTACTGGTATCAAAACGAGACTTCTAAACAATTGAGCCATCAAGCCACAAGATGCTAGGCAATGTATCAAAGCATGCTCTTATCAATATCGTACTGAATCTCTAGCCACAAAGCAAAAATATCAGATCCACAAGGACAAATACCCAAATCATTCTTAGTTGGAATTTAAAGCCACCTGACAATTTGACAACTGTAAAAATGAATTTTACAGAAATTATAATGGGATATGAAAAAAGTCTTGTTTACATAATGTACACTCTAAAATCTGCTATTTTACAATAACATCTGATACTTAAGGATGCTGCAGTACAGTTAATGTTAACCTTGCATCAATTACATATAATTTTAAAACCATTTTCCTCACCATTCACATTTCCAGAGGTATTGCTTCAAATACTTTAGATCTCTTGTATTTGTATGAAATGCTTTCTACCTCTAAGACATTAAATGAGCAACAACTGTAAATGCAAATTCAAAGGCATTAAGGCTATTTATGAATCCTTTCTATTATGTAATTGAATCCATTCTTGCATATCCACGTCTTGCTACGTTCCGTGCTGAAGATGTGGAAGAAAAACAAGCCTGCAGTTGCATTTGCAATGTTCAAAGAAAGCCCAATGTTGGCCAGGGGTGTCAAGATAAAGTTGCACCTCAGTCTCTGACTGCATTATACAAGTATGCCAGGTATGTTTCAGATCTGGCACACTCTGTATCCCCTGTACAATTCATGAAGTTTTCTGTGCCCTTTCCTCTACATACAGCTGCATCTAGAAAAGGGGGAAAAAGAAGGTCTCACATAGTTATCCCAAATTAAAAGAAATATGTGATTATCATAGATATAGAAACTTTAATGCAATCAATAAACAACTCCCATTTTACACAAACATTTTTTTAAAGAATTGCCTGTGTTGTTTCAAAGTTGTATTAGTAACAGTCAATGCTGTTTTAATAGTAAGAAACTCTGATGGAGCAGTGGAGGTTTTGAGTAAATTTCTGGTTCTCAAAACATGCATATATTGTAATTCCTAATTTTTATATAAGATGTCTTAGACTTGTAAACTGTAACCTACAATAACACTCACCCACATGCTACTGATCAGAAAGAAAAAAAGAAATTAGAATTAAAATTGTAAAGGGTTAAAAGAGCAGCTTTGATTCACTTAAACATTGGATGTACAACAAATGTAAAATGTTTACAAGAGGTATTCTTTTTATTTCTGTCAAACACATTAGAAATACCAGTAAAGTCTACTCACTTTAACAATATCGGATGTCATAGTTTTCAGAGGTATAAGTCTGGGCTCCCGCATGTGCACTTCCTGTTCATCAGCAACTATCCACGGGAAATCCTGAGACGCAAGAAACACATTGTTTGGATTCCCAATGTTGATTATTCACATATTCAAATAAACTGTAAAACAAAAATATTTTTGAAGCTGCTTCCCCTGTTTCTAGATAAAAATACAGCAAGTCATTAAAAAAACAGGTTTTGATTACCAAGGGCTTGAAAAAAAATGGGTTTAAAAATTTAGAGTTCATACTAATGTAACTAATTTTAAATGTGTAGCTATTCCCTCCAAAACACCAGTTACAATTTATAGCTCCCTGTAATTAGTACCACAGTTTTAACCTCAAAAGTCCTCCTCCTTTTACCATAAGAAATGTTTTGCCAACCTTAATAACTTGAATTTTTTCCATATTGCGGATGGCAGCTTCTCTGGTGTGCACCAGCACTGTAAATGTGCATCCTGTAAAAGGAGAGGAAAATTCCATTCTAAATTCACTAGGCAATACTGTACATAAAAAACACACCATTTACAGTTTGTGCTTGAGACTCAATATCTAACCCTACAATCAAATGTGCAATGCAGACGTTTAGACTTTTTGTCTAATTTTGGTCACCATGTTACAAAAAAGGTAATCAGTCCACAGAGAAGTAACTAGATGCATTCCAGGGCATAAGGGAATGTCCATCACTGACAGGCTGGAGGAAATGAACCTCTATAGGCTTGAACAGAGAAAACTACAAGGGGACCCAATTCTTGTATTCGAAATTCTCAAAGGCATCACAAAGTCATCGGAGTGGACTCATTCATAATAAACTGTGAAACATGAACCACGTGGCACAAAAAAAAAGAATATTTAACTGTCTTTAAAACCAAGAATAAGACACTTCTTTACAGTAGGAGTTAGGGTGGGGTTTTGGAACAAGCTATGGAGCCATGTTGTCAAATCTGATACTGTGGCCTCTATAAAGAAACAGCAGGATTAGATCCATAGATTAATTAGCTGCTGACTACCAAACAGTCTAGATGGCTGAGGAAAATCCTTTTCTAAATTTAGAATCTGAAAGCTATCCGAAAGCAGTGTTTTAACTGGTCTTAATAGCACCCTTTTAAAGAAGCATTTGGTTTTGCCAGAGCAATGTAAGACTAAATCTGTATTATCTCTGCAAGGGCAACAATTTTCCTGCTTCATGTAGCAATTCATTAATCAGCACCAAAACATCAGTTAAAGGAGGAAGTCCTGTACAGCTAATGTTTAGAATAAAACAGAAGAATAATATGACGTAGGATTATTATACATTAGAACACAAAGTGCTGTACCTGGAGGATTGTTGTCAAGCACCGCATCACATACGCTGATTTTTAGGATGACTGCTCTCAGCAACTGCTCCACATGAGAAAGCAAAGTATCTGAGCTGCAAACACAGGACACACAAAATGTCACAACCAACAACTTCCAAACGTTTATATTTTAAAGTAAAAAAGTAAGATAAGTGAGCCTTCCATACAACAAAACATGATTAAAATACTTATAATCAGGTAAGCGCATTGAGAGAAAATATTCAGTAGTCATTAAAGAAAGAAACTGAAGTACATAAGCCATCAATAATTATTGTAACTAGTAGTGTTCAATAATCTCTACATTTAAAACTAATTAAGTTCTTATCCCTTTATTTAAAAGTCATTATTTAGTGGTGTCAATGAATACTGGAAGCATCCAGAATACTGTTGTGAAATCTCTAAATTTATTTAATAATATCTGTTTAGTTTTTTAGTCCCCGATTCATCAAAAGTAAAACATGTGTAGACTGTCAAGCATTAAACTAAAGGGAGTGGAGTTGTTGTTGAAGCTTACGGAATGGTCTGTTTTATAACAAGCATCTGTACCTTACATTGATGTGTTTTTTGTGCCTAGTGTTCTATAAAAATGATTCATACATCAAACAATGGCTAGTTAGTAAGTCTCTCCTAAGTTTAATTTTGACAATCATCTCTGAATAAATTTCTAAGAAGACAGATGATGAAGGAAAACAATAAAACACTTTACAAGAAGCCACCGCTGACTGCACTGTAACAAACCTGATGGAAAGCAGTGGGGGCTGTGAAATTTCAAACACAAATCTCTCCACTGGATGGTGCTCTTTGTCCATAATGACGACAACAACTTTCTCTGCATCATTCTAGGGAAAAAGGTTTTAAAATCAGTCTACGCATGAAGCAAGCTCAGGTCTTTAGTTCCTAAATGTGAGGTTATAAAACAACTATAAAAGCATCTCCTACCTTTTCAATTAATGGTTTGATGCAATGCAAGGTGTCCTGTATATACTGGTTCAGCTCAGGATGACATGACATCTGAAAAAATAAAACCAGAGAAATAAGAGCAGTTGAAAAATGTTTAGTGGAAAGTGGTATGCTAATTCTAAGACTGAAAACCCTTTTTGAATCAAATTTAAGAATCAAAAACCTAATATCCAGTGCCAATATTCTTTCAATTGTCAAACATGCATAAGATAATAATAATGGCTGCTAAACCCAATTACAAATGGCAAAGTAATCAAATATCAACATTGTAGGAAAAATCAGGGCTTTTCTTTCTTACTTGCACAGGAACATTGTACTTTTTTCTCTTCTGAAAAATCCCTGTGGGGTACACCTCCCGGACATACAGGATTAAGTGAATGGCCACCTCCAGGAACTCACACAGGATGTCAGCTACCACTGAAAGAACAGGGGTTAAAATCAGATACATAATCTACCATTCATTTTAAAATGTTACAGATGCATATTAAAGAAGACATATTTTTTTAAAGGAATGTGAATAAGAAAATGAGTGTCATACCTTGTCCAAAATTGAGATCCTGTCTGGTAAGAGTAGTCATGCTGTCAGCACACTAAGTAAAAAAAAGGTCAACATTTTTTAGGCAACGAGGCAAATTACATATTTAATCTTTTAGGGCCTCTCCCTGAATGCACTTTCTTTCAATACACTTCTCTGGAACCACGTCATCGGAGTCCTCATGGGTACCAGGACTGCAATGCAGTCATAATGCAAACATTGTGGTTGGTTGAGTAGAAGAAAACATCTTCTCCTCTTGTACTGGCTTTGTCCCAGACCTTGACAAGTGATACATCTACAGTATGTCCTGCATCACTAGACTTCACCAGCCTCCATCCATATCTAAAACTGACTGTTAATATATTTTCTACCACTCTTCCTTTTATGGACATGAGTCTCTCCTTCAGCTCCTCTGCTGTAATACCTCTGTATTACAAACCCATTGATTCACACAGTTCTCTCAAAAAGGTCCTTCCATCCAACAGTAAAAACCCTCTCTATTTCTCAATGTTCCTTAGACTTCATTAGCTACAAGGACTTCCTAAACCAAGCCTTTAAAATGTTCTATTTTTCATTGACAGAGGATAGCCTTCATGCTGTATGGAATGGGCCCTCACTTCAGCCAAAAGCAGCAAGCAGAACATCAACCCAATGAGGAATTCCCACACTCAAAACCACATCCCAGTGGTGGTTCCGACAACATTTCTGTTCCCAGGATTATCAAAGTCAAATTCTCCATTTTATAAGCTAACCTCTCAAACCTTTTCCCTAAACACTCCTATCATCTCATATCACATTAACCACTCCCTCTCTCGTTGGCGGGTCTATTTTTTTTAAACCTCTCCATTAATTTATTAATTTCATATTTTCACACTTCTCCCCCAGATCTCCATTTGTCTAGACCCCTTTCTCACCTGCTCTGTCCTTCTTATCCCTGCTACCTCTCTCCCACACAACTGAAGAAGGCTTGACAACCGAAATCTTGCATTTATTCAAATATTTGACGTGGACTTTACTTGTTCGTATTTTTTAGGTTACATGTTATCCTACTTTTGAATTATTTAATGTGAGCTGGACTGCTTGTTGCTCAGTCAAATTCTAAATTACAATTCTATTTAAATAAATTTTGAATCAATTCAAGAAACTCCGTGTTAAAACGAGGAATGGTTATCTACAAAAACTGACCTATACATCAATGAATCAGAATTCAAGTATACAAATCACCTTAGAGCTAATTGTCGGACACCTAAACTATGACGGAGCCATAAATAAACGGATATTAAGAAACACATCTACATAAATGTGCAGTTCATGTTAAATGTAATAACTGAATCCCACCTGAAGAGAATGTCGCGATTTTCCCAAATTTATCCACACATTCTCTCTGACAAAATCCAATCCCACAGCAGAATATTAACAGATTCTAGAAGAGGAATATAATATCTTTCTGAATTGTATAGTTACAAGAAAATTGTGTTTAAAATCTAACAGTATGTTTACAATCCACCTTGAAGAAATGCGCGTCGCTCTATGATGACGCATTAACTATGCGCCACCGGTTCTTGCGTCATTGCGTTGGGTATTTGTAGTAATTGCGCAATATTTCGAGTTTGTAGATAATGTTTGATTTCCTCTACTTAATCAGATTACCTTCAGATTATATTTTCTTGTCGTGAATAACATGACGTGACGTATTATCCAATACGTTACATATAGTCTTAAGTGTCTAGTGTTGGTTTATATATGTTTATAAATTTGGGAATGATTTCAAAGATCAATACGGTGGTGCACATAATTTTATAATAATGTGTCTATTTGCTGTGTGTCATGAGATAACACTAAAAAAGAAGTTTAGTAGCATTTTTTAAAACATTATTTTTTACAACCAAGCAATTTTTAGAAATAAGCAATACTCGAATTACTATTTTTGAAAGAACGTTATTATTATGCCCCACTTGAGATGCGATGGGAATTAATGGCAACAGCCAACGGTAACTGTTTAAGCTCTTTTGGAGTAAAGTTGACTGATAAAAACGTAGCTATAAATTTCAAAAAAATATATCAAAATAAAATAGTAACTAATTTCTAAGAAAGCAGAAATCTCATATAGACGTAGAATATTTAATCCCTTTCCAATTAAAAAAAAATATGCTGTGTATCTATACATTCGGAAAGGAATTTTTGTTAATTTGCCTTCTTATGACAACCTGACAGACCCTGATGTTTTCGGAACATCCTCTTCATATAAAGACACAAGGAGAGTTTTGCGTCACTGCATATTAAAGTGCTGTTATGAATTTGTGCTGGACAATGGTCTCAGAATAACAAGAGGCACCGGTGGGCCTCGAGTATTTTTTATTTCGTTGCTTTGGAGTGGAGAGAAATCGACGTAAATCTGATGCTCCATTCGGTAGGCTATTTTTAAAATGTATTCAAGGGCCACTTACACTTGTTAAACATCCCTATTCTTAACCGCTCTTGTGCAAAAGGTATGAGTCCCCAAAATGTATATCGGACGTTTGAATGTATATTTAAGAATACATGAACAGTCTTAGAGATCACAGGACACACTGCAGAACATTGCTGTTCAACGCATGAGTATAACTGTATTTTCATGAGTATAACTGTTTCCAGGTTTTACTGTTAATCTACATTTTCTAAAGATCTCAGACTACTGAGCTTTTTTTCTTCTGAGGAGATTCGTTAATTGCTTTAGTTCACGAGCAGATCGCCTTCACCACATTTTTCACAAGACCCGAGAGGTCAGTGCAAATCATGTCACTATTGTATTTGATGTTCATTCACGATCAATCAAAAGGATATCGAAAGGGGGATTTTTGTGTTTTCCTTATTAACGTTGCTTGTTTTTTGTTGTTCGTTTCTGTGTCTGCTTTATTTATTCTCAATTAATTTACCCCAATAATCAAACAAGCAGCAAAAATAGAAATGAATGGAATAAAAAATGAAAACAAACCCCAACGATAAATCTCGGCTTTCCTTGGGAAAAGGGGCTCAAGTTAATTATATATATATATTGGAATCTCTGTTTTTGATTTATAGCGTTGTGACAAGCAATTGAGAAAAATGATGGGACGTTTTCTGCTTCCACTCCAGCTCTCTATTCAAGAGTTTCTCCTTGGTCAAAGGTCGGATCTAATTATTACCAGAGAGTCAAAAGTCCCCCACACAAGGAGTATATAACTCTAGGTTCTAGTCTCTGCGTGGGAGTAGAAGTAAACTTCACGAAATCTGACAGTCTTCTTAACTGCAGCTTTGGATTCATTTTCAGGTAACATGAGCGAAGAGCAAAACAAACCGTTTTTTAGACTTTTACTAATCCGCTTTTTGGTCATAATTCAAATCGTCCTGATCTACCACTGCATAGCGGTAATAATGAAGTACCGAATAATTATTACAGGAACTCAAAATAAAATGATTGTCTAAACTTGCATGTTTTTGCAAACCTTCAAGTACTGAACATGCAGAGCAATGATCAGGCGTTGTTACTATTATTATTCTGTCATTTGCACCTGTTCTCACGTTTTGAACTGCAAGGTTCTTTTTGTTTCATCGAAGTTGTTGAAGGCCTTTTATGGGTAAAATGGATAATTGCGCAAGATCATGCAAAATACTCTTAACTCTTAATACTCTTTGCTGTTTTTTTCATATTCAAATTATTCAATTCCTTCAAAAGAATTGTTCAGAGCTGCGCATTAACTGAGCAGCAACATCAATTTAGTTTAGCGCTCAGTTTGCATGTTAATCGTTTCAAGGCGATTTTGAATTTATGAACTGAACTCGTGACTTGTTTTTTAATATTTGTGGTGCACAAACATTTTAAAATGTAAACTAGAATAAACAGGGCTTAAAACGTGTCTGGTCTGAATTGGGAACAGTTTTTCGCAATAGAAAGGAAACTTAATGAGTAAAAAATTACGAATAATCATCTGTGATTTCTTAATTAAAAAAAACATTAATTTCTCAAGAAGCTCTGTGGTAAGTCAATCTTTATGAGATCATAATTGAAGGTACCCTGTATCCCGTCACTTTCAGGAGTCTGTTACAACAGAAGCGCACAGGCTTGAAACTTGAGTCTTTTCAGTGTTTTGCCATGGGAAAGTTATCAGGGAAATAATGGGAAACGAGAGTTTTAATAATGTAATGCTCACATATTAGACAAAGAAGTCCGTCAACAGCAGCTGTTACATTCTCCCTAAACTGCATTCCCAGTGTAGTCACGTGGAATGATTAATAGCAAAAAGAACTGGACTACAGAAGTGTTGCCCTAACGAGACCCTTCAAATAAACATTGATCACAACCATGCTGGTGTTTTTAAACCGCCTAACCGGAGTTTTAGTGCCTTATTATTGCGCCTGGGGTTTCTTTTCTCCCAGCTGCTACTGTTCTTCCTTGCATAAACAGCAATTCAGTAGGATTGGCAAGCACCACATCATGGTACATTTCCACTTGTGCGGACACACTCTTACCGCCTACTTATTTACCTGCTAGCCGACAAGGAAATCGACGAGGCTGCTACTCCCTCGGACTCTCACATTATCGTGAAACACTTTTACGCTGAAACATCTGTTCAACAAGTGGCGGTTTATGCAGCTTCGTTTACAGGGAATAAATCATATTTATACAAAAATTACTTTTTTTTTCCAGATTTTTGTAAAAGTACAACAACCACGGCAAAGTGACTTGTTGGTTTTCCAGCTGTGTGCAATAGAGGAATGGAGCCCCAGGATACAGATGTGCGGTACACCAGCTGGAATGAGAGCACCCGGGATGACGTACGCATGACTGGGTCTTCCTCTGCGTCCGGAGTGTTAGCGTGAGATCATTTTACCATTATTAATACAGCCCTGGCAAAGAGTTTCAATCACGCATGTGTAAAGACAAGGCTCATACTAATAGTAAAGGCTGAAGGTGGTGGTCGAGATACGGATGTACATTTTCACAAATGAGTGTGATATACCTTTAGATAGATAGAATGATCCTAGCGTGTCTGAAACTTTTTTTTGTATTTTTTTTTGCTCTGGGCAGGTGCTATGATAAGATGTTCACCGGAAATCTGGGAATCGCTGTGAAAGTGGCGGCAGTCCTTGTTTTCATGATCGTCATTTACCTCATTGGATACGTTTCTGGGTACTACGTCCACAAGTGCAAATAGGAGACATTTAAAGTATAAATGAAGCAAATACTGTCGGAATTTGAAAAATAATAATCCCATTATTTACGGATTACAACCAAATGTCAATATCGAATCCTGTATAGCCCTTTAAAACATGTAAAGTAACATAAATGAACACGCTGTACATCTCTGACGTGGAATGTAAATGTATACAAGTTTTTTTTTAAGTAAACAATCACTGTCTGAATGTGAAACGTTATTCTTGTATTCCGTGTGTGCTTTCATGCTGGGCAATTTTCAGAGCGTTTTATCCACGGTGAGCTCTACATCCTGGAGAGTGATGGTGTCCTCGGGTTTTCCATCTGACCCCTGAATAACTTAATGGAATCAATTATTTGCTTAATTAGGAAACGTTCACATGCATTCCAGGCCTGCAGGACAATGGCCGTGTGGTTTGAAATACCTGCTCTATTGGGTTATGTAGCATGTCTAAGCTTTATGAATATGACTGAAATTGTCATTATCTTCATTCTTTTTAGTATGGAATCATGCCTCTCATACTAAATTTCTACTGTCATTCCAAAGTAGAGAAATCAAAATGAGAAACCTGGTTAAGGAAAAGTGATCCTTGTGTTCCTGCAAGTTCGTTAAAAAATGTTGCAAATGAATCAGGCATTTCCTGTTACAGTGTGGAGGCTGCCAGTTTTAACCTGGTAACTTTGAAGTTGACCAATCCTGCACACTCGTACTTTCCAATTAAAGCAAAGAAATGGGTGTATCAGCTCTGTGTTTCATTCTGTAGGGAGACTGGGAGGGTTATAGAATCACTGAATCACCCAGAGAAACTAAATGCTCAGAGTTTTGTATCACATCTGAAAACATTCTAGTTTAGAAGGCACAACCTGTTTAAATATACTGTTTGTTTTACTTTGTATTTTACTGATCTCATTCTTTGTATTTTTCTGCTGTTGTGTTTCCATTTTCTTCTGTACAGCCCTCTGGCATAGTTGTAGTTTTAAACGGTGCAAATTAAACTTAAATGTTTCATTATCATATGACAAGGTTTTTGTATCCTTTTTTTAATGAAATGACATCATAAAACATATTACATTTTTGTTTTTAAAATACTTTGAGATATTTGTTTAAACAGACCAATATAACCTTAAAGGGATTGAAATCTGTACTTCAAAGATATTTTTTATAACTAAAAACTGTTCCTTCCAATATTTGATTTTGTAGAGTTACTGTATAAACAGAGATATATAACTTGAACCACAGTTTCATTAAAATGGTCAACTAGTATCTCTCAATGGCAGAAATGTCTTTAAATTGTCTACATAAAATCATGAAAAAAATTCCCAAAAGAATGTTAATATTACATTAAGATAGCAAATATCTCAAATGCAGTAGTATTCTGAAATTAACTTATACATTATTCTAAGCAGATCAGGTTAGTGACTCTCTTTGACTATAAAAAGATCTTCCCTTCTTAAGTGTGTGTTTGAAGGCTGCAGATCAGGTAGTTTAAGATACAGTATAATTGATACTGAAAGAAACAGGTCTGCCCTGGCTTTCTGGTACCTACTGATAAAAGGCTGGCGAAACAATTGCTGCGTAGGATAAAGGTTTTGTTTCATTTGACCATGCATTCATGGAAACAAATGAAGAGGGTTTTAGGTATCTAAGTCCGATATATAAGCTATTTACTCTACTCAATACAAGAACTAAAGGCTGACATCTTAAGTATCTGAAACATATACTAGTGGAAAATGTTTCCTTAAAGTCTTATACTGTTACAAACTAGTAGGCCTATGCAGCTACCTTGTAGGCTGATCGGCTCAGATCTCAGAAGCGAAGCAGGCAATGTGATAGGTTGAAAAATCAGGCTGCCACTGTAAGTACCATTAGTGGAACACTACGTGGAGCTCTTCTCTCAGGATCACAGTTTCCAAACTAATATTGCAGTTTGAGGACTGTAGGCGGTGCCGTCTTCAGATATGATGAGGAAAGTGCCCGACTTCATTAAAGACTGTCATCTTCCACACACACACATATATATATATACTGTATATACACACGGACAAAAATATTGTCGTGTTCGACAAAACCCTACAACATTACATGGAACGATTTCTAGAAATATAGTATAAGTATATATTAAACCCAATATTAAAATGAATTATTGGTGAACAAGGATATTTACTGATCACCGCTGTAGAGTTCTGGCACTATTAGAGATAATCGCAACGTACACGTTTTAGCAGTGAAATAAAGGCAGTCTCATGCGATAGTAACACTTTCAGAAGCGAAAAGATATTTGTTCAATGGAAGCTATATCATTGATTCCTAAATGTTCAGTAATTTGCCTCAGAACTGAAAAAAAAACATTCATATTTCATAGCGGCATAGCACATTAAGTAAATGTAAGCACATGTAAATTAAGTGTTAGCAGGTTTATATACCTCAAAAATCAATTTAAAAAAAGAAGCGTACAGTATTAATGGAATAAATGTTGCATTTACAAAGTTCAGGTTGTGCTACCATTCATGGTCACGGCATGTGAAGGCACTGGCGCACGTGACGTGAGTGCAATGAATGAATACAGCGCGAGCGACGTGCCTGTCGAAAGACAATTGAAAATGGAAAAAACAACGACCCCTATTTTTAAAAGCACATACCTGGGAACAAACACATGCGTCCGGTTAAACTAGATGTGCTCTGAACAGCGGGGGCTACACAAGTCGTCAATCTCCCGGCTGACTAAACGGAGAGAATACCCCACAAGACTCGAGTCTGCCAAAACTGTCCCAAAAGCGCTGCGGTCCAGGTGTTCTCAGGGAGGTGAAGGATAGAGCCGCAGGCTAGAGCGTGTTTAGTCGCAGGTAGGCTACATGTCTTTCAGCCTTTTAATAACAATGCACAACAGCTGAAAATACACCAGTTATTTCTCAAGAGACCGTGTTTTTTTGGTTCGATTCCTCTTTAATGGTATAGGGCCAGGGTTACGTGAAGCAAGTTCGATCCAGGACGAACGGTTGCCTAATGGCAACAATTTAACATTCACGAAGCTAATAATATAAATAAAACATCGAATTGTACATTAATAAATAAAAAGGGTGCCGTCCCACTCATACTGGAGAGCAAAAGTAACATTTACAGCGCCTGACCACGATTGACCTTCTAAGCCTGTGGGGTGTTTGCAGAGAGCATTCATAGTCAACCGGTTTGAGGAAAGTTTTTTTTTTGTTTGAGCTTAAGAAACGTTGTCATCAGCTGTCAGTCCCCGTCGTAGACGATCTTGATGGCCGTGTCCTGCTCTGTGCCCGGGCCGCCGCTGGTGCTGTGCGTATCGCTTGCCGGAGAAAACAGGCTGGCGTTCACTTTCAAGACCCACTCGGCGATTCTCTGGCTCGTGTAATAGTCCTCCTCCGGCGGGGGGTGCGTTTCTCCATCGCCGTCCACGTCCTCCGCCCGTCGTGCGCGCTGATGTCCGCTTTCAGCCGCAGACCCTGTGGAAAAAGCCCCCGGGCTCTGTGGCGCGTTGGCGCCGGCACCGGGGAGCCCGGTGGTCTTCCCCGGGCTGTCGGGGGCGTTGTGGGCGCAGCCCTGGTCCGGCTTCTGTTTCTTAGCCGATGGATCGAGGGAAGCAGAACCTGGTTTTGCCGATTGGAGATGGACGCTGGACTTTTTACTGACACATTCTGTGCTGGTTAAAGCGGCGCTCAGTGGCTTTTCATATTGAAGGCATTTCGCGACTTTTTGGGCAGCGAGACTGGAGTGATCATACACGTGGAGTGATCTCGTCAAGGTCTCATTTCGCCGATCAGCTTGGAGCCGGCCTGACAGATTTCCTCTGTCCGGTTTTGCTTTGGACCGCCTGGCTTCGAGTCTCTCTTTCTCTCCGGGCTCTTCGCGTCCCAGACGCGGAGAAGGCGACGCGCACATCTTCATCCATACGGACCGACCAGGGGAAGTTCTGGACCCCTTGATCGGAGGCAAAAGCATGGTTCCCGTCAGGTCATCGGTGCTGTTGCGCCTGGGGGTGTATTTCTGCAGAGCTGCCACCACCAAAGGGCTGGACCTGGTTATCAGCCCTGCCGTGTTAGTCCGTTTGCCCACGGGGCGAAAGGATGAGGCAGTTTCCGATCGCAAATTGGCGACGGATGGGTTCGACGTACGTGGCCTGCTGGTGCACTTAACATTCATCTCCGACGGCTCTTCACCGGCCCCTTCTCCCGCTTCTATCCATTTGACCTTCCTGTAATTTCCCCTGCTCGTCTCAGACCAAGGCTGCTTCTTGTGTTTGACCCTGTGACCCGTCTTCATGGTCATTTTCCGATTATGTGGTCACCGTGGCCTGAAAGCTTATTTCGTAATCGCCGGTTTTAAATACGTCGACTTCACTTGGCATTCAGGCGTTTTATACAGTTACCTGCTCTGTTGACGCCTCCTTTAGTCACTTCTAGCCCAACACAGAAATGTGATCGGTAACAGTACCCGACACGTTTTCTAGTCCCTTCCGAATTCCCATAGAGTTTCAGGGCGTCACTGATTCTGCTGTGCGCATCGTTACCTTGACGGTACAGAGCGGGCCCGATCAGGTGAAACGGGGTACAGTGCTCAGCCCTAGTCTCCCTTTGTCCTCACGCAACAAAGTCCTACCAATGCAAATGATCGTTTTTAAAGCATGCTTTGCTGTAGAAGTTTTTTTTTTTAATCAATGACGCAAGCATCTTCTAATTTCTAAACATATTCTTGGACAGTTCCAGTTTTGGAGATAGGGTGTGGCGAACCCATGAAGAACAGTGAAGGTATCCATTGTAAAAGGGATATTACACGTCAAGTGCAAACTGATACATGCTTTCTCTATGTGGAATCTCAGGCAGAACGATAATATCGAGTAATTATAGTGACCGGCGTTACTTTGCTTATGATCTGAAGTGCTAAAGACTCAATGGGCTGAATGTTTTCATATGTCCCGTACAAAAGGAAAATAATTTTATCTGACAAACAACACAGACTACAGCTAACAACACAATATGAATAATTAAACTGTCATGCAGAATTCTTCCAGTACTAAAAAGTAAGAAGTGTTGGAAAAAAATCACATCAGTTCCAAAAAGATAAAGAGCTTTCTTATGGGAATATTTATTTTGGAAAAGAAATTAGTTGTCCCATATAAAAACAAATTATGCAACAATTAAAGCAACAAAACATGAAGTGGCCTTCCTTTTCTCAGGAGTATTACATGACTTTACGTCAAAAAGCAGTGTTATGATGTGGGAAATAACATTAGGGGAATCTACAAAGTTAGTGCATTAATTAATACCAGTTACCTCACTCAATACTGTTTGAGTGTAATATGCACCTGAAAAATTGAAACATGAAGTGCGTTACAAAATATATATGGGCAGCAAAAAAAGAACAGTTAACAAATTCATTTTAAGATTGTTTAAACCTTCCCCATTTGCCTGGCATTGTTACTTATTGGTAGATTGTGCTGGGTACGACTGCTCTGCTCCTCCTCCTGATAAGTGGTATTTTCTGTGTTGATCAACTCTGCTATTTAAAAAAATAAGCTTCAGAAAAGGCTTCTCAAAGCTACTGAACAGGAGGTGTTTAAGGGAAGCATACGAACTGTGTTCCACACCTAACAAGGTGCCCAGCCACGGTGTTAAAGCTGATACCCTGGTTTCCTTCAGGAAACAGCTGTCTGAGATCCTGGGATTGAGAGATAATACCTAGCAAACAGGCTAGATGGGCCTTCTGGATTCCACTCATTAGTAACTCTTTCCCTTCTTATTTTTTCACTTTTACAGCACAACAATACAGCAATACAGACGGACTTTAATTTCTTTCAGAGCCACTCCTGCTCAAAAGGATGCAGAGGGAAACAGGGCCGATCCCACAGGAACAGAGGCCTCACTCGGCGCTAGCGGATAACAGTCAGGTTTCTCACGTCCACGTTAAGATCCGTTTTAGATGGGTAGACCACTTTCAGGTTTCCATCAGTGTCCGCGATTCGAACCTGCTGTACAATGAGCTCCGGAGAGGCGGTTTCATCGCCGGGGGGCTCCACGGCCTCCTCCCGGCGCGCTGGACCGTCCTCCCCGTCTGATGTCGCTTCCTCCCGGTGGTCAAAGGTGAACTTGTTCAGCTCTGCCATTTTCTGGCCAAAGAAAGCAAAAAGGAGATAGATAAGCACACATTACATCTGGCAGCTGGTGAAGTTAGGCTGATCTCTTTCGGAAATGTATCTAACAAGAACAAAACAAGTCACCAGAGTCACCTGTACAGTTTATTCACCTGAATAAAAACAGTACATCTCACACCAGTCAAGACCTTCCATATGAGTATATGCATAAAAAACAACAATGACACTTTGTTATAAAGTGTGCACAAACCAATCATCACTTCTCAATATTTGCACATTTTTTTATTTATAGCAGTCTTTGCAATGCTGTTTAAACAATCTTTGCAGCACAGTACAGATTCTGCAAGTACTGCATTTCTAGAATACACGTGGCTACAAGCACTGGAAAGTCCAAAGTCAGCCCTATTTCATAGTCCTAATCGCCACCCCTCAATTAAAATCTTTATACACAAATACACGCTAATTATGATAAGTCTGGCTTATACATTTACAGATCTGAAATGTATACTTTACTCAAAGGATACCAAAAACTTTTTCCTTGAATTTTGTTTTCTCTTATTTTCTACCAACATAAATAACCAGGCTTTTCATCTTAAGAGCTTCTAATAGACATTCAAACACTTGCTTAAACAAAGTAAAATATTCAGGAGGTACCTGAGAACTGTAACCAAGAATGCACAAATTACAACAGGCAGCTTCTTGGAGCTCAGACAGTAGGAGGGCTACTGCTGAGGAAATGCAGGTGCTAGTTCTAACTTTCACAGCACGTTCCAGCGCAGCGAGAGCCCTCACTATCTAACAGCCACCCCTGAACGTGCTCCTTTACCAGAGTGCAGGATTTTCCATTTATTGTGTTACAACAGAGCACTTGTTTATCTGGGCTCAGATCTGCAATGACCTGTCATCTGCCTGCTGAAAGCTTTACTGAGCTGCTCGTGCCAAGCTCCATGTTGTTTATTATTCCTGTCAATTTGCAAATGACAACAATTATTTGTCGCGACCCTCACCAGGAGCAAGCTGTAGAAAAATTGAGATGAGATGACTATTTATACGGCAGATGTGCAGAAGACACATCACCTTTACTGAGCAGTGTTTTCAGACAATGCATTTATTTCAGTACCTTTTTCAAGCAGCTCTAGCTGCTTCAGAACGCTGCACATGGGTACAGGCACTATACACATGCTATTGAATGCTTGCATTAGCCTGTCCTAAAGGCATTCTGCAATAATATGACAGTTTCAGGTTTTATATGGCACTAAAAGAGCAAGCAGTGGCCAGACTACAATCTGTTGGCAAAAAAACATATCTGAAAAAATGTAACTTATTCTTTTTCTTTAGATCACGTGATGTGCTGAATAAATAGCTCAAGGAGAGAAATCAAGATAGTTAATTTCTCTCTGAGCAAGAGACAAACTAAAATGCCATTGTTTCATTCTGGTTAATTTATGGTCATTTCCGATTATCAGATAAGAGATCAAAATGCAACGGCAGAGGAATCCTACTCCGTTGGGCCCCTGAACAAGGCCCTTAACCCCAGCTGCTCCAGGGGCGCCATATAAATGGCTGACCTGCACTCTGTCCCTTGACTACTCTCCCTGTCTGTGTGTCTCATGGAGAGCAAGCTGGGGTATGCAAAAAAAGACAAATTCCTAATACAAGAAATTGTATATGTCCAATAAAGTGATCCTTTCTTATGAACACTTTGGTGTTTAATCCCTTAAAATATGTATCTCACCACAATCAGAGAATCCATGATATCCTTGCAGATCTGCAGGCTGGTTGAGCTGGTCACTTCTACAAATAGCTCTCTAGTAGACTTTCTCATCTGGGGATGAGGGAAAATATGTCAATGCTTTTTTTTGTTATGGCTATTCATGCAGTAAAAAAACACTGAAATGATAAGACCTATAAAAATCAGTTGTCTATGTAATCAAAAATGTAATGGGTATTCTTAACATTGGTGCACATCAGATATCGATGCAACCTTAATGGAAATATTAATTTTTCAATTGCTTTTTGGTTACTTGACTGATTCATTGTTCCAACAAGTGACTTATTCACACACTCAGCAGATGGTAAAAATGCCATCTAGCAAAACTGTTGAACCCTCTTGTGCGTCGTGAAGACTTTACAATGGTTAGCGTCTATTAGATAATCAATCTGTCACACAGGAGACAGAACCTCTTCTCAACCTCATAATTTGGCACCCAAGCACCACAACAAGTCTGCTATGACTGGAAAAAAGGGGCACAAGCTGGTTGGAGTACAGAAGGGTGAATATCATGAGTTTGAGCCATCTGCACAGAATGCTGTAGTAAGCAGATCATGGAGTCAGCATTTGCTATCAATATGAGGTCAAAAGAAACAAGATAACTGATAAGATGGGTGAGAATATATCCGGAGAGACACAATAAAATGGGCTACATAAGGTATGAGGAAATGTTTAATCCTGAAACTATGTACTTTGCACAGTTTTATGGATATATTGAACACATAACATCCTTCCAGAAACCAGTCTTCTACGAGGGCAATACCAGCTTGTTATCAATAGATGCTGTGCTGAATACTACCACATAACCATACTGAGAGTGCCCAGCAGTGCCCCACTGATCCCACAGGCTCCTGTGGTTACCTTTGTCTTGTCACTGTTGGTGATTGGCGGGAACGAGATGACATGATCGTCTGCATCAACCACACAGGGGTAGTTTTCCTTCCCATCCAGAAGCTGCAGGTACCTGAGACAAGCAGCATGCAAGACACAGCAGAGTGCAAACAACACATCAACCACCTTGCAGAAATATTGAGAAAAGGGCACCACAAAAGCAGAACACCAGCACTGAAGGTTAAAGACTTCTGTCCTGGATTAAGACATCTATGGTTATCATCAGAGTCTCTTATGCTGCTTACCGGGGTAGAATATACTAGATCAGGTCATTTAAAAGGAAAGTTTTTTGAAATGTTGAACATAAACAGAGCCCACACGTCCATTAACTATCAGTAACTGCTTGATCCTTAGACACGCATGAATGCGTGCAAAATGACAACTGAGAAATGCAGATCGACCTGTACAGCACGTGTGCGGACCCTTTCTGGACAACTGAGCATGGGGAGAAAATGCCAACAGACAGGGCCAGATTCAAAGCCAGCACCCAGGAGCTGTGAAGTGACTGTGCTATCCACTGCGCACAGGAAGACATTGTACAGGAGAGACAGCTGCAAACAGAATCATAACTCAGAACCCGCAGTTCTTCACAAAATACATTTACCAAGGGTGGGGAACTTTTTGGAGGGTCAGCACTGGAGAGACTCCAGGCCGCTGGTGATGAAGTGCTGCAGTCATGCACCTGGTCTGTAATCTGTGATTAGTGGGGTGGGAAGGTCAAACACAGTCACTCACTTGTGGAGCCCAGACACATTCTGACGCCTCTTCTGTTTCCTCTGCTCCTCCGCTTCCAGCTGGAGCTGCCTCACTAAATCCACCGCCTTCATCTCCTTCCGGCCCAGCGGGATGATCTGCCAGTTAAAACAAGCGTCTCTCACTGGCCCGTCACTGAGGCACAACCCAGTGAGCTTCTGTGAGTAGGCCCCTCTTAGGAAGATTAAAATGTTTTTTTCTCTACATGCAATATTCAGGACTTCTCTAAAGAGGATCAAAATCCTTACAAACTGCGTGGCTACGTTTAAGGGGTTAACTGCAATTGTGCAAAAATTAAATTTAAAGTTCAATGTTATCTTCAACAAGTTAATCTTCTACTTTAGTTCAGACATATCCGGAGTTAATAAATATAATGAGCTGATAGCTACTAGATTTTCTGACGTTTCGTCTATCTTGTCTATCATTTTTAAAATATTCACTTATTTAGGCAATTTAAACTTTTATTTGCAGTGTCAGGTTGTACTGGATTGTGTGAAATCTAAAAGACTGAAAATACTAGATAACAGCCCAACTGTGATAAATATACAATTAGGATGAATATATATGCACTGTTTTCCAGTAGAGCCTGGATCACTGTCACAGTGACCAATAAGTCTAATTGAAAAACCTAATTTGAATACATGTGTTGTTAATGGTAGCCCCTATTATTATCAAATTATTATTAACTTACAAATACTATTGTTGTTAACAAATGAAAAATGAATTTTTAGGTCATACAAATCATACAAAATAATGATTATGTGCTAAACACCCTGATCCAAGTCTCCAGACATCCTCATGGAGATCCTTCAGTGTAAAGATCGCTATGTGTCAATTGCACAGACTGATGTGCTGTGCCTCCAGCATGTATAACTCTATACCTATCTTGTGCAATGTAACCGTACACAGAAACAATAACCCCCTGCTCAAGTGGAGAAACATTCAGCCTTCATTTATTATTAAGACTGGCCGTAACGTGAGGGCTGCATGCACCTAATTAAACCTGGGCTTCAGAAACCGGATTCTGCACAAAAGAAGAATCTGGCATCGCTCCATCCCTTACTAACTCCCCATCTTCTGCACGTTGAGTGACTGTTGTTTAAAATGCAGACCCACTTCGACTGCAAAACTGCAACTGGATTCCAGGAGCTTCCTGGGACAATAAAACACTAACCAGAAGAATTGAAGAAAGACATGAAGAATGAGCTGCACAATGTCATTAGCGGCAGACTAATACCAGAAGTTTAGCAGGGGCTTATTCGCGATTCGGTCTGGCCGTCTTGTATGGAAGAATGAAGCCAAGCTGAAGGTTATCCGCAGCTTTCAAATCAGCTACAAAACAGACCAGGATCGAGAGACGAACCCAGCTAGTGACTGAGTCTTGTTTTTATATCTTAGCAAACGCTCCCGGTTGGCAGCCTGCAGTGACAGGCTGGAGATGACTCTACAAGTTTATTACAGCGGGGCGTGCTGATCACGCAGGCAGAGAGACTGTGCACGCTGGATGCAGAGGAGGAATTTTAACAGATTGAGATAAATTTGTGATTACTGTTGTTTCTTTTAGTTGGTCAATGTTTTTTAACTAATAGTCAATGCACAAGTATTTTAATTATCACATATTACATAGTATAGTGGTGGACTTTGGTATATGTGATTTTGGCTGTTTGCAACAGTTCTCTGCACTGAGCACTCACAAAAGTTGAGAAGTAGAATATATATATATTAAAAAACACAGAATGAATGGGCTCTGTTGTGGCTTCATTTATTGTGAGACGAGCTCAAACTGGAGCACTGACCAGAAAATCCCATTAATGATTCTTAAATCCAAGGCTTCACAAATCTATTTGCACATTTCATCTTCTGCCATTTTTCTGCAGCGGAAATTCAAAAACCCAAAATACCTCAAGAGAGCCGGAAAACCTTTTTTTTAACGTAGTTGGAAAAAAAAAAACTACTTTACCCCACTTCCCTTCACACCAAAAAACCAATTTAATTCTTGAAGAAAGTAAAGAAATAAAAATAGGCTGTGCTCATAACAGCAGGACTTCTACACTGAAGGAAATTTAAAATGAATGCGGGACATGTCAACATTCTTCTTCATTAACGGCACAGGAAGAAGAATGAGCTTCATGCATCCCAGGGGTGAACAGCAGATTAGGGTGGTTAAGGAACACATTACCTTTAGTGTTTTGGGTGGCCTTGCATCATACAGTAGAGGCCCTTTGACGAGCTGAAGGTCATGAGTCGCTATAGTGGCAGCTGTTCTCTTCTCGCAGATCTCATCGTGGAGCTTGATCTAAATTCACAACCACAGGGAGCTCCATCGGTCAAACAACCACAAAGCAGTTTCTGGCAGTGCTATAATGGTGGAGAGTAAGAATATAGCCCGTGCTAACACTGGAGCTCCTGAAAGCTGTATATGACCAAAGTCACAAACTAAACAGAACCTATTTTAGTTCTTCAAATTTACAATCGGAAAAGCTTTGCTATTCAGTAACACCAGTGTGCCACCTAGTGTTTCACACTGGGAAAAAGCTTTCAAGAGGTGCAGCTGCCAACACCTTTATGAAGTGCAGTACATTTTCGTGTAAATTTGCAATATGATCATATTTTATTGTCGGATTTCTCAGAAATTTGTTTTGCCTTTCAAATCACATACAAACATTACATTAAAAATAAATACTGCACTACTTAAAAGACATCAACTCCTCCATCGTCTTTATGCACCACTCCTACAGGAATCCACATAGTTTACCCCAGCCTGCAAGTTTCATTCCCCCCACACCTGCCCTGAGCCCCCATCAGATTTCAGAAGATAAGCCGGGCCGGGTCTTGTCTGGTCTAAGTTAGGGGGCCTTGAAGGAAACCGGTTTCCTACTGTTAGATGGCATCTGTGAATTAGTGGGTGAGACTCTTCCCTCTGCATCACAATTTCCCCCACAAATATCCCAGCAGGGTGACCCTGGACTCGGTAGGAGGAGCCATCCTCCAGATCAGACATTAAACTACTTGGCCATTGAAAATCCCAGGGCTGTTCGGAAGGGTAGGGCCATGTACCATACATGTGGCTCTGTGAAAGAGCAGCTCTATCTTGGCGAGAAGAACTGCCTTCAAAGGCTGACCCTACAGCGCGCCCGTTCTGTGTTTCTGTGCAGACACCGCAGTCTGCTTGGGTTTGGCTCAGATGACTCTCCTGCCGGCTCTGCCGCCCAACCTGAGACAAACCCCAAGAGTTTCGTTACCTGCGCTGTGAGAAACCGTTTCAGGGCATTGCCGGGCTTCAGGTTCATCCCCTTCACCACACAGCACACGATGTAGGGCCGCACGTCTTTAACCGCTGGGGTGGCCTTTACTGTGAGTGCAGCTGGGCTCTCGGAGACGTGCAGGATCCTGACCACCATCCGATTCAGATCCTCCTCCTCCTCCTCCTCCGTCTCTTTTTTGCTCTTCTGTCGCCTGTCAGCTTTCTTCTTCCTCTCTTTCTCCCTCCCCGCCTCCTTTTCCCCAGCCTCCTGGGGTTTGCCCTTTCCTCTCCCTCTCCCACCGGCTCGAAGGTAGTCCAGGACGGACTTGGTCTGACAGCCATTCACCATCTTCTCCAGACGCTTATCCTTCAGGCTGTTGCCGCGAAAGTTGATCTCCTTCAGCCTGGCGCAGTCGGCCAGCTCGGCGGGGATGTCAGTCAGCTTGTTGTTAGACAGATCCAAATTCTACAGGACACAGACAGAATAAAAAGATCAGCCTGGACTATTCCACTGGGTACATTTCAGAGGATCAGAGCAAATACCTACAGCAGGTATTTGATATGACAACTGACAATTTGAGATGACCATCATTGCCACCTGAAAGACCTCTGTCACCAGTTACCCACTTCCAACTTTTTAAATGGCAGGTCAAAGGTATTTACTGCCAACATAATAGACGCTGAGAAAAATCCCGAACACATGCTGTATTGTTGTGAATCTGATACAATTTAACTTAGCTAATTTTCTCCTCTTAAGCACTTGTACTGCTCAGGCTTATTGATACAAACCTTGAGAGCCGTCAGACAACGGATTTCTCCGCTCAGCTCCTCGATTGCGTTCTCCGAGGCTATGATCGTGCTGAGCAACTCCAGCTCATCCGAATATAAATCGTCAGGGAACTTGGTGATCTCATTTTTGGAGATGTTGATGGAAGACAGCTTTGTGCACCTGCTGAGCCCGCCGGGCAAGGTTTGGATCTTATTGCAACTGATGTTCAGAGTGGTGAGCTCGCCGAGCTGTGAGACTTCATCGGGTAAGGAAACCAGCTCGTTGACGGAGACGTCCAAGACTTTCAAAAACTTGAGACTGCCTACGCCTTTGGGGATCTCGGACAGTTTGTTCCTGCAGAGTATCAGACTCTGGAGATGGAGGAGATTCTCGATTCCCTGATGCAATACCCGGAGACTCGGACACTGGCTGATTTCAAGGTAATTCAGGAGTGTTAATTCGTATATTTTGGGATTCAGCCCCCCAGCTTGCTGAATTTTCTTATCGATGTTGGCTCCCTGCAGGACGAGCTCTCGTCTCTTCTCTTTCTCAGCCTTTTCAATCTCTTCCCACCGGTTTACACTCTCTCCCTCCATGCTGCTGAGCTGAACTCCGGAGACAGAAAAGAAGGAACCCACACCCGGAAGTAGAATGAAATCTGCTTCCGGGTTGTTACTCGGGAAGTCGCAGGATGTAACCTAGTTGTTGTCAAACGGTGGTTATGGAGATGAAGCTAGAGAAATGGGTGGAAGTAAAAACTACACAAAATAAATGCGAAATATTAGTATATTAATTTGTGATGCTTCAGCACCACTGTTATGGTTACTAAAACCAGACCAAAGTTTTATGTCAATCAGTTTAAGTAGAATTGATTAGTTTAATTGAATGCCAGCACTGTTTTTCGATGTCTGTTTTGAAAGCTGTTTCGATTTCAATCTAAATTAATTTGACTTTATAACGTCACATATAGACGGACAGCGAAACAACATTTGGGTAGGTCAGAGAACATTTTGTTATTAGAGGAAAGTTTTTTTTGACAAACTTTGCTTCGTTCTTGTGCAGCTACGTTCTGTAGTTCTTTGTGTCTGATTTTATCGTTTTTATACAGAGACGTTCAATTCATTTTTTATTTCTTAATCAGAAACAGTCGTCAATATAAACAATAACTACAGCAAGCGCGACAAAGCAGCTTTACCTACATCTATGCACATGCAGGGTGTAAAGGATTGTTCTAGAACAAATCTTTAATATTCAGCCTATGCTGTGCAATGACCTTAGGTTTCCAGAATTCCTTTTATGTTTGTATTCAAAGGATTTATGCAAAACGGGTTGTTTTTCTAAAAGTGTTCGAAACGGTGTAGCTTTAAACAACTGGAAATATCAACAACTTGATGTAGGTCGCGTCTTCAGTGGCACGAGCGATTCACGTATTTTAATTCATTTTTATTTCTAGGAAATGCTTGTGCATCTCGCCTTCTTGAAGGGATTTGACTGACCCCGGTACAGCAGGCAAGGACTACAATTTGATTTTGCCGTGCGTTTTTAATGACGCTGAAGCTGTGCCTAGAGGTGAGTTTTTCACGAAAGTCCTACAGCAAGGTTCGTTCTTCCCACGTTTCTGTTAGAATCCCTGATTCTGCTTAAGATTGACAAGTCATGTGGTTTCCCGCTGTACGCTGAAGAAGGCATAACTATCTAGCTCCCTCCAGAGGTTATTTTCTATACAAATCAAATATATTAGGGCTTCGATCCACTTAACACTACTGAAATTGAGATGATTCAGCAAGGCGTTAATAAAACTTGAAATGGGTGGTTAAAAAATGACGAGGGTCTCTCTCGAAAACAGTAGGGGTGTTACCCTGTCGTCCTGGCCAAATGTCCTCCAGGCCTTTACCAATCATGGCCTCCTAATAATCCCCATCTGTGAATTGGCTTCATTACTCTGGTCTCTTCCCCACTGAGAGCTGGTGTGTGGTGAACGTACTGGTGCCCTATGGCTGCCGTCGCATCAACCAGGTGGGGCTGCACACTGGTGGTGGTGGAGGGGATCCCCATTACCTGTAAAGTGCTTTGAGTGGAGTGTCTAGAAAAGCACTATATAAGAGTAAGGAATTATTATATTAAAGTAAGGGTCTTTAAAATCCAGGAAAAGCATATGTGCAACAAATGTATTAAAGATTGGAGAGGTTAGGTGGTACAATGGCTAAGGAGTAGGGTTTGTCACTGAGTGGTCCTGGTTCAAGGCCCAGACTTTACTGTCACCTTATGGTATAACCCCTGAACAAGTTATTGCACATCCTTGTACTCTGTCATTATGATGAACCTTGTTGGTATACACGTATTACACTGCAGTAAAGGGCAAGTGAAGTTGTTCATTTTTTGCAAGTGAATTTTTATTTTTCAAACTCATTTGACTGCATCACTGTATCCCATGACCCTTTTTTGCAGTCTGATGCTATTGTACGGTCCCTCTGGGATTATTGATCATCTGTTGGTCCCCTCCCCTCATCTGGGAAAGACTGAGCAAATCCTTTCTTTTTTAGTCTAGGCACAGATTATACTTTAAAACACTCTCTCCCTGAAGTTCTTTCCATTACATATCTCAGGCTACCCGTTCATCTGTAGATATTATGACAGTGTTTATTATGAACACCGTGGTGCCTGTGTCCTTAATTTTCTGAGTCACAAAACGTGCTGCTTCCTCTTAGCTGGCCAGACATATGACAGCGCCATACAGCTCATTTGTCTAGCATCCCTCCCTGTATTTTCTCAAACTACCACGCAGATTGCTCAATCCTACAGACTCATTAAGATTTCGTAAACATTGACTCCTCGAGAGACTTCAGCATCTTCTCTTGTACATGGAGCAGCCAAACGAAGCCAGTTCAGGTCTGTCCAGCGACTGCAGCACCCCTCAGTACAGCCTTCATCCCAAGCCACCACGCAAATTGACGATCCCCCCAGTCTGGTAACCAGCCAAGTTGCCTAATATTGGGAGTCTGTTGCTCACAGTCTTGGCTTATCCTATTTGGTGAGCAGCATTCTTCTATAAACATTGATCCCCCCAATACAGTGCTGTTACTAATGCACCACATCTTGATTCTGAGTACAGATACCCATCTGCTCCTGGATCACAATGTCTTGTTTTCCTACCAGCAGAGTGCCCTCACAGGCACTGTGGGTCTCTGGCACTTTTCCTTGGTTTAAGGTAGGGTGATCATGCCATCACCCACGAGGCCCTTCCTCTGCAGACTGATTCTTTTGCTCAAAGCTACAATTAGTTAATTAATGGACTGATATTATGTTACTCCAGTACAGCCTATTCCAATACCTCATTTCCCAGACACCTGAGTGCCCTACATTAATTAAGCACAGGTATGTCTACCATTCCTGTTTACGAGTACTTAGCTCTCAGTAGCCATCTTGGCTCAAACAGGGGCCACAGTGTGGCTTTGTCCTCTTAAGGGCCCTATGGATTCTAACAGGTGCAAGCTCCATGTAAATAATAGAATGATATACCAGGATCCATACTTAGACCATTTATTTTTCTTTTCCATGGTTTTCCACACTTTGTATTCTGCTTTAGCTCACCTGCCTATGTTCTGCCATGCATTTACCACGAATGCACTGTACCTTTTGTATTTTACTCCAAGTCCACCATGACATATCACAGTGAGCTCGATCAGTTGTAATTTCTGTATAAGAAATAATTAATTTGCTTTCTAAAATCTGTAATGAAGCAATTTTCAGATCTGTGTTTTTCAAATGGACAACTGTAGAAAGAGTATACAAGATTTAATTCAGTGTAGGAATGAAAATGGCACATTGTGCATATTCTGTGTAGAAGCCAGTCCTACTGACGCAGTTGTGACCCTTGAAATATAGATTGCAGTCGTGATAGTTTTGCAGACAGCTCCCATTTAGTTGCTTATCTCTATCCTTAGCCAATATGAAGCCCTTGTAAACACCCTTGTTTTCATAACATCAAAACAGCATGTTGTGCTTCCAACACTGGAGCCATTGAAAAAATTAACTTTCTACATACAGATAGACCTCCTAAAGTCTTGAACCCTAAGCATCTGGTTTATTTGAAATCGCCAATGGAGCGCCTTGGCTCAGGGCTGCTAGTGCTGTCGTGCTCTGTTCGGCACCAAGATTCAGTGCTGACTCGAGAAAAACTGTGTTAATTGTGACAGCTCCCTTGAGACCGGAGAGCTCCTGGGAGTTTTAGCGGTGGCTGAGGTGCCAAGAGAGCCTTGGTGGACTAATCGCAGGCCTACCATGAGTGGCGCTCAGACAGTTGTTGGCTAGTGACATGTCCCAGCCTCCCACCCGCAATGTCTTCATCGTGGAGCTCTTCACTTGGGCAAACACCGTTACTAGCTGGCCTACTTCGGAGCCCGAGTAATATATCTTTCGACCAGTTTAAAAATTGACTGCATTGTGACGCATAATAACCTCTGTTTTTGCCTGTCTCTTTGCCTACTGTTGCAGAATGCCACACAAGATAGGGTTTGTAGTGGTCAGTTCCTCTGGACATGAGGATAACTACAATGCCAAGGAGCTGATGGTTCATGCCCCCACAGTCAATGGATGGAGATCAGCCAGGTAATTAGTAAGATTAGAGTGATGCATAACATGGATATATGAATTGTGAGTTAGAGAAGCTCTTTGCTGTTTTAGTTAAAATATAAACAGCTTCTACTGTGGTATTCTCTATTGAGGCTTGTCATATTTATATTTCAGACTATCCTTTTCATGTAGTTTCATTAAAAAAATCTGATGGCTCGTTTCAAACTAGAGATATTTTTGTACTGTTATAAAGGGTCCACAATCCTATTAATATGTATGGGGGAAACTAATGGGGAGTGCATTCAGGTGAGGTCTCACTAGTGCATTGTACAATTTTAACATAACATCCTTTGATTTGAACTCTGCAGTCCTAAAAATATGGACAAATATTCCACTTTCTTTGTTTTTTTGCTTCAACACATAGAAGATGTAATGGACACCTATCGTTTATATACCTTCTTCAAGTTTTGTGTTTCCTGTGTTTATACTGTGTACGACCTGCATGTGCTGCTTAAATTTTGTCTAAATCCTGTTTTCCTAAGACCAGTTGAAGTTTCTGTGCCACTTCTGCAGTGTTTGCTAATACTCCCATTTTTGGTATTCTGGTACTAAAAGATGAAGCCACCTCTAATTACTGCACAAATCAGATTACACAAGAAAATTATATGCTGGAAAATTATATACTGTCACAGACAGTAACTTCACAGTAAACCCATTGCCATATTATCTGGGGCCTTTTTGTCCTTTGGCAGTTGGGATGGAAAAGTGAGCAAAACTCATTACTAATAATGACACATCTGGCTTTACGTAGGTTTTGCCCATACCCTCAGGAAATTACTCTACAGCTGGTGGAGCGCTGCCGCATCCGGAAGCTACAACTACTGGCCCACCAGTACATGATCTCAGCAAAGATTGAGTTCTACATCAGCGACAGTCTGCCAGAGTCCTTTTCACCCAATCCATCAGACAGGTTCTGCAGGCTTGGGTGAGTGCCAGCAAAAATTTTTCCTAGCCAGAAAATGGGCAATTTCCTTCCTAGCTGACAAGCAGAAGGCCTGGCGTTTTCACCTGGGAAGCATGCCCGAAAGCATAATAACGTGCTTCACTCCGAGGCAGGAACACTGGGAGAAAATGCCGGAGCTGGAGCTGTCTGTTCCTACCACCTACACTGATGTCACTTATACACTGGTTGCATGCAGAGAAGGCTACTTGAAAATTTGCTCAAAAAAGTAACCTGTTTTTAACAGCTAAGCGCTGCCTGAAACTATCTGTAGGACTGCTAGAGTCAAACATATGCAGACATGATGAATGGACTTAAATGCAGACACTCATGTTTTCATGTCATATGAAATGGCATTCTACTGGTTACTAATTTTAGGAAGCATTGTTTACCAAAGGTACAGTATGTCTGCCTTTCCTTTTTCTGATTGTCTCTCTGCTTCTGCTTTGAATTCTCAAATTCTACTCGTTACTACCTATTTTAGGTAGATACAGTATTCGGATACAGAGAAAAAGCAGATTTTGAAAGGCTCCATGCACATGCTCGTAATACTCAACACTGTACAACTCTTTGCCTTACACCTGTTGTAGAGGTTTTGCGTTGGGTTTTGCACAGTGCATTTGGCCAACACAGTTCTTCAGGTTTCCTGGAAGGTTAAAGAAAAGACTTTACTATCTTTAGAAAATAATAGAAAATAAAAATAGATATAATTAGAAAATCATTAAGCAGTCCTGTAAAGCTAGAGTGTTTTCAATCCCAGTATTTAGTATACCTGGACAAATGATACACATGACTTTTGTAGCACTGAGCAGTTGTTGTTTTTCTAGGTATGTATCTCTTTCAGACAATGAGAAAACAGGGTTTAAAGCTCGGGAGCTGAAGTCTGTTCACGTGGATGCAGTTGGAACATATCTGAAGCTGATCTTTCACAAAAACCATATAAATCGCTACAATCTGTATAATCAGGTGAGAGAAATTCAGTCCTTAGTAAGAGTATGAAGGGAATTAGAGAAGTTCAAGTTGGTAGTTGTGTCAGCATACGTAGGCTGCAAAGAAACCTTTACTTGTTCATTTAATGCAGAAAAGAGAAGAAAAACACAACGTTTCGACTGTGGAGCCTTCTTTTCTTCTCTTTTTAACATGGGACAAACATTTACTTGTTCCTTTGAGGGGATTAGATCTATTCCATTTTATTATGTTGTATACTTCACACCTGAAGAAGGCTCCACAGCCGAAACGTTGTGTTCTCTTTCTTCTTTTCTTTCAGAATGGAATAAACCTATTACTTGTTCCTTTGCATACAAGTTTTTTTGCCATGTATCTCAGCATGGCTGACTTGAGTATACAAGAGTATATAAGTAGAAGGATACATCTTCCAAGTTATTTCTAAACTTACTCAGCTGATATTTATAATCACAGTGTTCACTTTAGCTCAGAATTAAGTTTTTCTTCATTGCAAAAGAAACATTTTAATGAAATTCATAACAAGTGACCTGATGGTATATATTCTTTGCAGTCTTTGGATTAAACGTTTTGAATGCAAAAAGTTGTTAAAATTCAAACTGTTTTTTTATTTATTTTAGGTTGCATTAGTTGCTATAAATGTTCTTGGAGACTCGGTAGACAGCAGTGAAATGGATGTGATTGTGAGTTCATTTATTGTTTAATTTTACCTTTCTGAGTCATTTGTCCCTGAATATATCTTGGAGACTTGCGCTACAGTGCTTCAATAATGTTATCTGTGGCAGTACTGCAGAAAAACCCTAGAGGGAGCTGTTTACATTCTTCAAGTTGATACTGTATGAGCAGCTTCCTTTTCAGCTGACATGCCTCTGGACTTTTTTCACATCTGGATTCAGATTTTTAATTTGTGGTCAGTTTGATTTAAAGAATAATACTGAAACACTGTCTCATAGAATTTGATAAAATACTTCATACAAAAAGTGCCTATATTTACATAAGATAATGGTGTGTTGTTTTGCTGTTGGAGGGTTGAGGAAATTTGAAGTGGTTTTCTCTGTATGCTGCAAATACATCCAGCTGATTAACTTGCACTGTTTGAGGTGGAGGAAGAGGAGAGGAATGCAGTAATATGATGAGAGTGCTGCCTAACTGTGTGGGGTGTTTTTGCAAGGGTTGGACACGAGTAATCTGATAAAAGTGCAGACTGACCTCTGCTGGATGAAGAGATTGATTTTTTTATGTAAAAATGGATTCCTCCAAACAATTACAGCATTGTTACAGAATAATCTGTTGGAATCTCCTTCCATTTCTAGGATAGCAATTGCTTTATATTCACTGGGAATGTGTTGCAAATTACTGTACTCTGTTGCACTTGTTTCCGGAGATAGATTACGGGTAGTTAACAGTACTTTCATGCTGTCTTTTTCTCACTGTGTTTGTATAACAAAACTTGATTTAACCGTTTCACATTAACATACACTATAGATATTTCAATTGTTAAATTAAAATGGAGATAACTTGCATTTTTTTAAAATTTCTTACATTGCATGCAAAGTTAAGTATATGATTTAGAATAATATGGCTTTTATTCTAAACTAGCTCAGAATAGTCAGTCTTTTTGCTGTTATAATTGCACTGTTACCCAAAACATTCTCTACTGAAGTCTCTTGAAAAAAGATGACCCATTCCCCTGGCATTAAAAGATGACGTGTTCCTCTCTTATGAGATCAGACATATGCTGCAAATTCTGTTTTTAATCTGCAGCCAACGAGGGACCAGCTGATTGAACATTATCTCAACAGCATTCACAATGATGTCACCCTGGAAGGAACCTATTTAAGGTAATTAGAGATCTTGTTAGCACTTTACATATAATTAGGGCTCAGCCATGTGGAATTAATCCAATAAATGCACACAGTATATTATTTTATTCAGGTACAAAAGTAATTTGCAGTAAGATCACTAAATACCATAATTACTAAAGTAGATAGGACTGTGACATGTCACTAGCCCACTGTGACTAGGTTAGTAGCACACAGTCTCAGTGTGCCGCCAGTGGTAGGGCTGGGATTAGTAAACCAGGGCTCTCCAGGTTCTTGGCAAAAACAGAAGACCCTGCAGCTGAGGGACACAGTGCACCTCCACTTCACACCAAGACTCCTGTCAGGCACAGCAGAGCTTTCGTCATGTTGAAGAGTGGACTGCCCAGTGGGTGGGCAGGTCAAGTCAGGTCAGAGTAGCACTACTGCCCTCATCACGCTCCCTGAGTATGCGACTGCGAAACACGCATCCGACACTTCCGAATTGAGTGGGTATATAACAATAATAATTGGGGGAAAAAAATGAAATTGACCTGAAAGGCCCAGAACTAAACATCATGAATAGACTTATTCGAGGTGTTACCCTGCTGCCCTTCAGCTGTACACGCAGACCATTTCCACTCACTCCTGTATGTTGCTGGGATTCTCTTCTCGTCCCGAACAGTAAATCTGATTCGATCTCCCCACTGGACGACCTGGCATTCGACATGTACCAAGACCCGGAGGTGGCTCAGATAATCCGCCAGCTGGACGAGAAGAAACACGAGGCAGTGCGGCAGGAGAGGTTCGACCTTGCCAAGAAGCTGAAGCAGGCCATCGCCGACTTGCAGAAGGTACTGCACCTCCACGGGGTTGCAGTGCACTGAATCGCAGTAAAGGGATTTTCTTTTTCTCAGTCAATGAAAAAATAGAGGTTTAAAACCTTATTTCATAACCTCTTATTTGTTTAGAACTAAAATAATTGGTGCTCTGTGCGGCTTTTTAAAAACTTTTTAAAACTGTTTCCTGTTCTTATTCTTTGCATATACCTATCCGACCTCTAAAGAGAATTGTGTATTTTTCAGAAACACTTTCCCTTGGCATTGCCCAACCTGTGTGTCATCTTTTACGTTTAAAAACATATTAAAGTTCAAAAACTGAGTCCAAAATAAACAGAACAGGGCCGATGAGTGCAAATCAGCATGTGAAGTGAATATTTTGAATTAACAACAAAGTGCACAGTGCACATTCTCATTGACTTTCAATCCCACAAGGAACTGGAAAGAACGGAAACAGACATTTACAGTTTTAAACTACTGTACAGATCCTGCACATATAAACCATTTGCCAACCTGCATTATCGGTGAACATACTTGTCACAGGATGCCATTATTTCTTGTGAGATTTATGTCCATCTTTTTCCAGATTTTTGGAAGCTTTTGTATATTGTATATTTTTCTGTTCCTCTAAAATGTCATCTTATGAATTAAACGTTATTAATCGATTACTGATTTGCTTCAAATGGAACTGGGTTGTACTGAACGGTCATGAAAATTAGATGTGTAATTATCTGCCCGAGTTCTTGAGATGCTTTCATTGTATTCCACTGTACTTCAGGGTTCCCATCTCCTATATTAGTAGTATTAGTATCTTCTGTACTGAAATCAATGAAACGGCCTTGTTTTTACAAGTATTCTTGGCATGTGTTCTTCAGGTTGGGGAGCACCTTGGCCGTTATGAGGTAGAAAAACGCTGTGCCATTGACAAGGAGGACTATGACTTGGCCAAGCAGAAGAAACAGCAGATGGATGAATACCGTCTGAAAGTGTATCAGCAGCTTGAGATACACAATTTGCTTGACATGGGCTCGGTGAGTACTGTATGTGATTTTCGTTTTTGTCTTCTATGCTCAGATTAACAAACACCATATACGGTGCCCTGTCATGAAACTCACTGATTGGATGAAAAGTCCCTTTTTTGCATCATAATGGTTAAGAACGTTGGTATTATTTGAATCTGGGAGTATTTATGAACCTTAGTTGGAGCTGCCAGTGTACAGCAGCTGGAGCCTGCCAAATGTGTTTAACAAACACGCTACTCTGAGGAACTTGTCTTTTCAGTTGAAGTGTTTACTGTAATAATGATGTAATCTTTAAAGTAATAGCCGTTTATTTATTTTCTTTTTTCCCCTCTTAAATCTGTGACATGTCAGTGAAATGGCAAGGCCTTCAGGGCTGGGAGCTAGAAACCAATGTTTAAGTGACAGTAACTTTCCCTCTTTCTCATTCTCTCAATCGCTCTTTTCTTCTTTGATCTCCTTCTCCCAGATCCGGAAGATGGCAGACCTCCCATTGGAGCCCCTGAGCCATCCTGCTTCTCCTCAGCAGGTGAAACCGGCAGAAATTCCGCCCCAAAAGAAAAGGGAAAAAAAGCCGGAGAAACCCCCCGATCCAGAGCCGTCACTCCCCGCCAGGCCCATGACCCCACTGCAAACCCCAAGCCCGCCATCCACTGTGGCCCGGCCAGAGCCGCCCAAGATCAGCGTAAGTCAAGGCGCTGTGAAGTACCACGTTATTTCAGATACAGCTCCGGCACGCCTGTCTTCCACAGAGCATGGCATGCCCATGATCAGAGGACAATAATGCAGGTGCAGGAAGATCATAGGTTATTGATTTTATATAGCATTGTTTTATGCCTTTTTCCATTTGGGCTCAACTTAACAAGTTTATGAAACATTTATACATTTTTCTTTCTACTTTTTGGAAATTCCAGTAAGGAAGTATTTGCAGGCATAAAGGTCAAAACGCGTTGAATCAACAAGACTTGCAGTTTGAAGATGCGTACAATGGATTATTAGAGACCCAGGCTTTTTACATGAAATGCCTTAATGAAACCAGTTAGATGGACTGATTAGCCTCTTTTTGTTGATAACATTTTCTTACATTAAGCAACTCGTGAGTCATTCTTCTGTCATTTGTCACTACTTTATTGACAAGAGCTCTTATTTGATTTTGAATGTGAGGTATCACAGTTCTTTCCCTGTACTGTAACCAAGCGTTAGGTATTTTGTTACAGGAATGACATTCTGTAGGTAGAGTTTCGGCATTTAATTAAAACAATTAAACAGTTGGTTGATCTTAGTCTTGGCTGAGTTCAACCAAATGAAAAAATCCCTTATTATTCTAACTTGAAACTGGGACTGTTGTCTGGGTTGGCTTATAAAAGGGACATCCTTGGGTGCATTGTTAACTTTAAAAACATGAATTGGCAAAACATTTGTTCTGCTTTTTCACTGCGTAGCTCCTGACTAGTTATATCAGTGGGAATAATATATCTCACCTCTACGTATGGTTTCATTACATTCTGGCAAGTTATTTTCTGAAAGAAATTGAGAAGGATTAACAGTGTAAAGCTTACTGTTAATTACCAATAACAATCCAGAAGCAAACACCATTTTCTTGAGTGTAGTACAGTATTTGGAAATGAGCAGGAGTGGATTGTGATAGCGTAGAAAGGTTTGAATGTTGTCCTGTTAACATCAGTACAGCCAATCGCAATAATTGTTCCTGTTTGTGTTGCCTTTGTTTGTGTAATTTACGTGCGTGTGCTATGTTTCTTGTCTCGGGCATTGCTGAACCTCGCGGTGTCTGTTTGCTGTATCTCCCTTAGGTCAGCGCCCTGCCATACGACGAGAGGCCTCTTCCTGCTCTGCGCAAACAAACGGGAGAGCGGCAGAGCCAGCTGGAAGAGTCGCCCCCCCCAGACTCTTCCAGGACCCCCAGGACCCCGGGCATCACTGGAGAGCCAGAGCCCCTGACAGAGAAGGCTCTCAGGGAGGCCACCTTCGCCATTGAGGTGTATGGAGAGGGACTGGTAAGGCTGGCAGGACATCTTTGATCACCTTTGGGATATTGGTCCAGAGAAAACATTTTGGAACAGGAGTGAGCCGCAGAGCTGTGTGGTGTCTATGCTGACTGTTACTTCACTGTGCTTCTCCATATCTGCTTTGTATACACAGAAGTCAATGCAAATTATATTCAAATTAATTGCTTCAGCAAAACCATGCATAAAATTCCAGGATTAGAAACACCTCAGTATTTTACTTCACTTTTAGTGATCAAGAGTTTCAGGATAAATGTTTTGTATTTTTGCTTGGTCTTAAAACCTAGTGGTGATTGACATAGACGTGGATGGTCAGATAATAAACAATTTACAACATCTTCTGTGGGCAAAGTACATTCAGTTGTTAACGCATGTGGTTTTTTTTTTTTGGCAAGTAGCGTCAAGTATATTTTCATAGTCAAGGAATTTAGTTGGTACCATCTTAGGATTTATGGTATTCTGTTGAGTGGATGTCCACCTCTAGGTCACAGGCAAAATTGTTCATAACAAGGATTCATTTTAATTTTTTAAATATGTGACTCTGCAAGACAGGTTTGTCTGCTCTGGAACAGAAACATTAATTTTTTTGCATTCACACACATAACACCAAGCGGGAGTCTTACAGCGTTTTCAACAGATTATGAGATTCTCTTCATTTCTCACTGGTTGGCGTGACAGGACAGCTGTCTGTGCTTGTCTCCTGACGATCAGGTAGTCATTAGCCAGCTGTGCTGTCTCAGGTTTATGTTCCGTGGTCTGGATGTGCACATGCTCTGGAGCTAACTCGATCTGCTGCTCATTAATGAGGATTTATGTTGCCACCAGCTTTATCATGTACCTATGATTGTGTTGGAGGAAGGCAAAACCCTGTCTTCTTACAACAAACAGCCTGGTGAGATCCTTGGATCAGGTAGCTGCCAGTGACCAAACAAACTGAAAGGACAGAATGGTCGCCTTTCATTTTCAACCTTTTTTAGTTCTTTTGCTCCAAAAATGCATTCGTAATGCAGTAATCATAAACATCACCCGCATTAATGGTTGCTTGCGCTGCCTTATTTTATTCCTGTTATTGGAGGAGGTTGAATATGAGAATTTCCCTGTGTTTTAAAGCCCCCCTTTTAAGTTAAGGTGATGGGTGTGATGAGACAGATCCCATCCATGTTGGTCCAGCATCCTAGAAGATTGCATCTTAGTAGGAGATAAATAGTGAAGGTGTAACTGGTGCCTAACTTGAGATTGTTTCACATCTACAAGTGTTTTTTCTTGATCTTAATCCTGTATTCTCGATGTGTGAAATTGGTGATTGTATTCCCAATGTGCCAGGTGGCAGGGGCCTACTCAAAGACCTGGTCTTACCGCGAGGACGCCTTGGTAGCTGTTTATAAGAAGCTCATGGATGTTCCATCAGGAATGCCTAAGGAAGAACTGAAGACCTTGTTGCGAGCCGCTATCTTTTTGGTCAGGAAATCCCTCTCGGATAAGGTGTCTTCTGTAAGTAACTGCCAGAGAGTACATTTGCAAATGTGTAGGAGGAAGAACCAAAGATAATCTTTTGTATTCGTCCCATCCATGTGTTTGTGTTGCTTTCCGAGACAATTATTTGTTTTGCCATACCAGGTTTGAGCATTTAGAGTTAATCGAGAGTGTGTGGTTACATTTTCTTACAAGAACCTCTTGCTTCATCTAATTGAACGTTACTATTCTGGGTTTTCCCATATATTTTGAGATTAATGATAAAGCAACAAATATGTATCAGGACATGAATAAGGGCATCTGCTAAGCAAACAAATTATAGAATAATAACCATAGCATTTGCTACTATTTTAATTCCTTTTTATCTGAATGTCAAAGGGCTTATTAAAAAAGGATAAAGATATTTCTTTATACTGTATTATGAATGAAAGATATTTCTATTTCTTTATGAAGCATTTTCAAGCAAGAAGCAATAAAACTTTAATACTGAGTACACAGTTTATTGCAGAATATTTGTTGCCACTAGATTTTTATATTTGGCACAGAGTTGTTCTTCCTTTGATCACCCAAAATTTAACTCACATTTTATTGCCTTTGTTCTAGTCTAATAAAATAAAAGGGGTGTTGCTGAGCAGAGGTTTTCTCGCAGGGGAGTATGGAGAGTGCAAAACAGGACGCTGTCCCATCATCAGGGAATTTTCCCTGTTACAGTTTTTGGTTAAGGCTGGGCCTCTTCCTCAATGTTCTGTGTGAGGCTGCGTCTTTGTCATGCAAAACAGTGCCTGACAGCAGACGTGTGCTATTATGTCCATCCTCGTTCCTGACGAGCTTGTGCTCGGCTGCGAATCCGTGCAGGTGGAGATACTGCCCTCGTTTTAGTCTCTCCCATTCCCCGTGGTTTAAAGGCCGACGTTTCAATCTTCTGCCTGCAGTGTTTACTTTGTTATTGTCCTTCTGTCAGCACTCTGATTAATTAGCTCGTCTTATTTTTGAAATTCCTCAAAGAGCTACTCAAATTGCCACTTTTCATGGCCCAGCTAATTTACAGGCAGTTTGCGGTCCGGCTTAGGACTCAGAACAATAAGTCCATAGTCCCCGCAACATTCCCACCAGCCTTTCCTGAAATGTTACTCTAAAATAAAGATTTTCTTTAATGTCAGTAATAAGGAAGCTTTATTACTGTGACAAAGGAATCCCTGGTATTTTAATTTACTGTCTTGTGTTGCATGTTAATAATACTGCAAACAGGGAAAATATCTGATTGAACTTAATTATACCGTGACATTAATTTTGAATACTAGAAGGAGACATTGTAGCCAAATGTTTTACAGTAGTAGAAAAGGAAGTCTAAAGGTGCTGTAGTTCTTTAGGCGTTGCTCATCACATAAGGTTACTTCACAACAAAGACAGTATTGGCAGTTTTTTAATCTTCCCTTTAAACTACTGTAAATGCTACAAACTGTAGATTTTGCTTTCACTGGTGGTTTAACAGTTTTAGTCTCTGGTTAGAAAACGATACTGTAAGTAGTGCGTAGCACACCATTTTACATTTCACTTTCACTTCTTTAACAATAAGCGCTTAAGAAATTTACAAGTGACGGGAGGCATAAGACCCATCCAACCCCATTTCACCTGCATGCTGGTGAATGAGCCGAAGATCTCATTCAGATGATATAATGCTGGAAAAAAAAATTAGTTTTCCACCTGGGAAAATATCTCACTTTACTGGAGTATGCATTCATATAGAAATGCTGTTTCATTATTAATAATTATTCCTTGAATTTTATATAAGGCTGTTCATCCTGAAGGACACCAAAGTGATTTAAAAACAGGAGGGGATCCACTACATCCACCAGCTGTGTGGCAAAGCAGCCGTTCTGTACCAGCAGCCCCACTGCTCAGCTGATCAGGTGGCAAAGAGAGCAATTGCTTCACTGGTTTGGTTAAGAGACAACATAAAGGAGGCCAGGTCATAAAAGCCCTGAAGTACATTTTAGCCAGTGTTGCCAGTGTTACTTTCATAAACATGTTTCAATGAACATATATTCCAGTAGTTCAGCTGGAAATGTGAAGAAAGGATTTCTGTGAGCCTGTCTTGGATTTCATGATTTCCTTTATATTGACCTCTTGTGGTGTCCTAGGTTTTCCAAGCCTCCCTGAAACTTCTGAAGATGGTAATAACCCAGTTCATCCCCAAGCACAAGCTGGGCAGAGTGGAGGCTGCACATTGTTTGGAGCAGACCTGGCCAAACTTGATTCTTAGAACTGGAGACTCGGCTACCCGACTTCGTGTTGTGGCTACAAACTTCATCCAGGTAGGCACACAGTAATTTGTGGAACTATTGACACTACCAATGTAAGTTTGTGAGGGGCTGAAGTTCCTTTTGACACGTTTCCTTTGCTGAATCATAGCACATGGGTTGTAAAAATGAGCTTGCTCTTCAGTCAGGTTTCCAGCTTGAAACACTTATTTTAGTGGTATTTCAGAGACACTTTGCCTTTCCTACAATGAGTTTCACTAAAACATAAAGGTGGGTACTGTGTGAACATTGTACATGCAAAGGGTTCTGACATAAAACCTTCAGATGGCTTGATCAAGCAAAGAAAAAACTCCTGATGCTATCTGATGGTGGCAAATCAATGAGGCAAAATAATAGAGATTATTTTTGTTTGCTTGTTTCACTGCTTTTGTTGAAGCTGTAGTTAATTTACACCAAAGATAAAATGACTTGCGTAAACTAGGCAAATTCTGACATGGCAGGACAGTCAAAACTGCAGAGATCTGCATTCTCTGAGCTGTTTTCCTGTCACACCAAATGGTGCCTGCCTTTCTCTAACAATCCCCATGTTGTAGTGTGCTGGCAGCAGGCTGCTCAAACTGGCCTGCACAGCTCCTCTTGCTGTGCTTTCCATTAGCTCCTGCTTGGAGAACAATATGGTAGTGTGTGTGTGTATTACAGTGTCCTCAGGGGCCTCCAGGGGAGTCTCCCCCTATGCAGGCAGGGTAGTAGTAAAACTGCATTACTGATGGAAATTAACGGCTTTTCTTCCATGACGTACTTTGGCAGGTTCTGTTACAGTTCCAGTCGTTTTCCTCTTTTGTCTGAGAATTTAAATGCTAGCTGCTACTCCTTTTTCCCCCAGGTTGTCTTAGATCTCCAGTCTGAGTTGAGTAAAAAGGAGAGAAAACAAACGGGATGCATTTTTCTCCTCTCCACACTTGTCTGAGCATTCAAATGTGTCTAAACGTCACTCTTTTTTTTATCACTGCAGAATCAGCTGACTATGTAGGTTAAAGCAGTGATTGGTTATTGTAATGTTGTAAATTGGTGTCAAGATCGTAGTTTCTTTTTTGATGAAGCAAACAATTAGAAATTTGTTTCTAAATATCAACCATGTACAACCTAATGTTGCCCAGGAAAGGGTGGTTGATGGAACAGGAAATGTAGACGCATGTATTTAAAAATGCCACATGGGTTAACCAAAACCATTTTTGTTCCTTAAAACCTTAGCCTTCCTTACTGTGCTGTTTTAACAAAACAAAACTCTTGCTAAAGATATTTTTTAATTGAATAAAAACAAGATTTTCAATATGTTTGTATTAATATGGACTGTGGAGAACCTCAGCCACAAGACAGTAATCTACTCTTACTGTGCCTTCAGTCTGTGACAATTATCATAGTAACAACAGCATCTGTGATAGCCAAGGTTGGCTTAGATCTGCCACTGTTAACATCAGCCTGGAGTGATTTAAAATTGCTGCTTGTTGTAAAATTTAATGTCTTCACTTTCTGACTGTATGAAGTTGTTAACGAGAAATGTAAAAAAATGTGCAGTGCCTTTCTGTTTCTTCACAGTAGGAAATGTCTTACTTCATTGAGTTAATAGGCAAATAGACTTCATGGAACTTCATGGAGTCATATTTTGGCAGTTGTGTATTAAAAAAAAACACCTGATGTGGAGTATATTCTATGACTGCTCAGTGTTTCATGGTGGACCAAATTTATTTCAACTATGACATTATATCATAATACAGTTCTCAGAATGGCAAGGAACATCATAACTGATTCCACCCATCCTCTCCCTTCTCAATTCATAATCTTCCTGTCAGGGAGACAGTGTAGGGGACCAAATTAATATAAGTACATTTATAAGAGCTCCTTTGTCCCCTCTGCAATAAAACCGCTCAACGAGTGTATGTAAATGTATTACTCCCACTACCTATTTATTTAAGATAAGATCACTTTATTGGCCATATAAAATTTCTTGTATTAGGAATTTGTCTTTTCACATACCCTAACTTTCTCTCCATGAGACACATAGACAGGGAGAGAAGCTGGGGGTCAGAGCGCAGGGTCAGCCATTTATACAGCACCCCTGGTGCAGTTGGGGTTAAGTGCCTTTCAAATCTATCTATCTAAGTCTATGAATTATCACAGCCTTGGTTTGGTAGAGTTGAACTGGATTTATTTAATCAGGTTGTGTTCTGTCTACAGTCTAGCTGGAAATGACTCATGAGTTCTGTAGATGTATAATTATTCTTCACTGCAGTTACAAAGCTTTCCTAGCTTTAGTATGCTGTTTTTATAGGAGGCTTACAGCCAGGAAGTAGGGCATTACCAACAAGAGATTCCCAGTCCATCCCTTTAACAGCCTCCATGACTCCTGGAATCCTCATAAGACATCCATCTAAGGCCCTGGGCTTCCTCTGATTTTTTAAACAGAGTTTTGGAATTGACAGTTATTTTGTTTAATTGTATCCTGGCTCTGTTTGGAATTGCCAATTGTAACATGTACTGTACACACAGAGGGAGAATGAGGACGGACAAACATTCTCCTCCTGCTCTCCCACCAGTAAGCCATTCGTCTTTTGTCATGCCGTAAGATCCACAGTGCCTGTCAGGGTAATTAAACGCATTTAGAGGTGTGGGTTCTCTCTCATTAACATAACTGCAAGCCTGCAGGTGCCCAACTAGTTGCAGGAGTCACTGTATCCCCAGAAAGTGTGAACACTGGTTGACAAACCCATTCCTAAGAGGGAGCTCTTATAATCACCACTTACTGGAGAATCCTGGTCCCATTTGGCCAACGATAATCAACTCTGAGCATCTTTACTGGTTGAACCACTATGGAGCTTCCCCTCCCAGTTCCAACTTTTTAAAAACACTTGAGGGTGTGAATGAGGGGACAAGCCATCCCTATATGCTTGCAAATGCAAGATCGTGCTTAATTCCAGAGATTTGTCAAGCTGGTACCTATCACGATCAGGCTCAGAAGTGTCTGGTTAAAGATGTTGCCACAGCAGTGCTGAAATACCTGAGATCTTGCTTTGTTCCCTTTCGGTGCAGGAGATGGCGCTGTTTAAAGAGGTCAGGCCCCTGCAGGTCATCCCCGCTGAGCTGGTGAAGCCCATGAAGTCCAACACCCCCAGCCGCCTGGCTCTCAGTCAGGTGGAGCTGCTGGAGAAGCTCCTGAAGGAGCTGGGCACCGATGGCTCTGGGTTCACCATCAATAACGTGATGCGGGTAACCACCCCGCTTTGGGGTTTCATTTTTTCTTTTTCATTTAATGGTCCATTTTAGCCTTCTTTATGCTGAATACTTAGTTTGTATATCACTTGCAAACGGAACTGCGTTGTCATTGAGGTTTCAGTCTTGGTAAATTAAGGAACCAGTATATTTTAAAGCTATGTAAGTCAGACTTTAGATACTTGAAGGCACTCCACCCTCTTCATCCAGCTGCAGTCTGTTGTCAGTGAGTGTACCTGGTCATTAGCTCGTGGTCCTGACCTTGACTGCTGCACTCAAGCGGAGTGATAGTCTCTTTACATAGGGTGTTTGCAATGATATTTGCCTGTGTTTGTGAATAGAAAACTGCTCTATGCATATTGCTTTTAAAGACAAATAGCTATACAGAAAAATACATTCTGTTTTTGAATGTATTTGCCTGTATTTTAAATCCTTGAATACTTCCCAGAAATGTTTTAAATATTTAGTGATGTACAAAGGTACAGTATTCAGAAAAGTGACCAGAGATGTGGCAGTTGCTGCAATTAAGAGAACCAGTGGATGTCAGTAAACCAGCGGGACGCACAGACAGTTTCCATCCAACATGAAATTATTCACTTTAAATTTCTTTGTAGGATAGCTATGTAAAGTACACTATTTTAAAGAAAGCTGAGCTTTGACAAAATGTTTGTTTTTATTGACAGAATGGAAAAATGAAACCCATGTTTAAAATACTCCTAGGGTGATTATCTTGAAATGAAGACCATTGAGCTAGTGCACAGAGCCCTGTTTACCACTGCTCAGTGCAGCAATCTTTCTCCCATCTCCAAGCACAGCACTGTATCCAGCCGTAAACTATTCAGATATTGACAGAGTGGGCCAGGGGATAAGCTGTCTCTTTCAGTTTACAGGAGGGTTTCATTGTGTGGCTTTTTATGGTGTTAGTAAAGTGTCAGAAATTTTTAAGCTCGGCTTCTCTGTGGTTTCATCAGCAGCTCAGACAGCTAGGGGCCCTTATTATGCATGTGGTTAGAAGTTCCTTTTTTAATTAGGACAGAAAATTGCCATTTTAAATATTCTTTAAATAAAAGTGACTAATAATGCTCTGTTCTATACTGTATGTCAAATGAATTGTTGTAGGAACTTTCTCCTATTAGTGGACTTTCCTGTTATTCATAATATGCACATCATTTTAGACTACACTGTATTTAAATAATGAAGTAATACAATTTTCAAATAAAATATGATACAGTATACAGATATAGCATGAAATAGTTATTCCATCAGCAATATTGGTTGATTTATCTGTAATGTATAAAACTGGAGTAATGATAGTACTATATAATATGTGATCATCTTGCAATTATAATGAAGTAGTGGCAGTATTATGTATTATTATATATTGTAGCAGAATTCAGTTAAGAGCATTGGCCAACAATCTGTCAGGTTGCAATTAAAGAAGTGAAAGAGATCTGTAATGTGAAGTATAGTTATTAATGTAATGATAATAGTATGAATTCATTAGTGGTTGTTGTTGATAGCGGTCTGCAGTATTTTCTGTTTCATGTGTAGTTCAGCAGTGATAGTATTTTGTGGTGGAACTGCCTTCCTCATCTATTTGCAGTGAAGGAAGCTAAACTCCTGCTGAATCTAATTAACCAACACTGCGTCAGTACTGTGTTTTGTTAGTACTTAAAAACGTTTCTTGAATAATTCATTTTAGTTGCTTCCGAGACAGCTAAAATTATTTTCTATCTAAATACAATTTATCCCTGTTTTCTATTGCTGCAAACATTTTAATCTTCATTTTTTATTACTTATATTTTATTGATACACTTATAGCTTACATAGGCTGAAAAAAGATAACAGTTTGTATTAGGAGTCATGGTAATGCAATAGTCCAATTTAAATACACAGACAAATATAATCATAATCCAATAAAACTCCTCATTTGTATCCGTGTCAGTCCAAGTCTGTTCCTCACAGGTTTGTCATCTCTGTTACTCAGTTTGCTATAGGTGCACTGGAGCACAGTACTTCAGAGGTGCGTGAAACAGCTTCCCGGATTATCCAGGACATGTACCGCCAGCACAAGAGCGCTATTACGGACTACCTGCCTCCGGATGACGCCAGCACTCGCAGGAACGTCCTCTATAAAAACATCTTTGATGGGTTTGCAAAAATTGACGGGCGCCCTGCGGAGACACAGACCAAGGTGAGCATGATGCAGCCTAACGGTAGAACCACAGCTGGCTGATGACATCTAGTCCAGTTTTTCTACCCTCTTAGAATAATCCCTGGAATACTGCGGTCCTTCAGTGGAATACATTTCTCTACATTCACAGTTACCTGTACCACAGAAGCAAGGCTTTTTTTTCCTCAGTGGATGGGTTTGCGCTGTGAGATAAGTAACTGCTGACGTTTGATGCTTTGATTGTACTTAAGTCAGCTTCTCATTTTAAAACCATTCTGATGTGTACTCCACAGAAATTGGAACTTCTACCTGGCAAAAGATTTTCTGTTTTCATAATTATAACATCCTGTAGTAGCAGGAGTCTTTTAAGATATTTTTAGTGTGAAACAGTTACATTTCCCATTTACCATATTTCATCATTTTCTGGGGTGGAGTGATGTTGGTGAGATAAATAGCATGCTCAGTATGGCAACTGTTAAAATGCACATGGAAACCACATGAAAACGGAAGTGTTCTGCACAGCACTGCCCCTAGGTTTCAAGGTATTACCACATTCAAAAAGAGTTAACAGGAAACAGATGTTTTATTTTTTTTTACATGAATCCCTAAGCTAAAAGCTACTGCACAATTCAAGATGAAGACATTGCTGAAAACCTTGAGTACGATTGAATGCTGATGACGCTGCCCTTGAGCAGCACCTGACTCTGTGAGCTCCTGCTTTTATCTGGTGCATGAGTGACCTCTTTTAGTTTTGCTACGCTGATTCAATGGTATATGGTTTGCAGCTGCATCGATTGAGTTAATTGAGTTTTCTCTTTACAAAATATGTATACTCTTCACAGCATGAGGCTAAAACTCACAAAATGGTTAAAGGTGGACTTTCTTTTCTGGATCTTTTACAAGTCGTAAGTAATTAAAAAAAACTCAGTGAATAAGGAGTCAGGTCCTTCTGTTTATGCCTTTTAAATTGATCAGTACAGGAATCAGTACATATGGTATAACTAGGGCTGTATAGTAACACACTATGGTATAAAGGTCTTTCTGAATCTTTAAGTTTAAGTTCTGACTTTTAGTTCTTTCTGACTCTTTAAGAGCCCAGTGGTGAAAAAAGGTTATTAACAAAAGAGGGGTCAGCCTTGATTTCATATGGTTGCTTGAGTTAATAAGCAGAGAAGATATCTTGTTATTCTCTGTTCCTGTGAAGACACTGAAGAAGGCTGCCAGGCAGGAGGCAGAGAAGGAGAAGAAGGAGGAAATCCGGGCTCTTCAGGAGCAGCTGGCAGCCCTGAAGGACCTTACAACCAATGGCAAGGTGTGTGATCCTCCTGGGTCAAACATCTGCATCACTTTTCTCCAGCAGCCATATCACCCTGCAGCTCACAGCCTGGGTGGGAGATCTGGGAACAACTGAGGTTGCTGCTGGGAGAGGTGTTAGTGGGACCAGAGGTGTTAGTGGGACCCATGGACTGCAAGGGGGTGCTCACCTTGCAGTCCATGTGGGTCCTAATGCCCCAGTACAGTGTCGGGGACACTATACTGTAAATTGGCGTCATCCTTCGGATGAGGCGTAAAACCGAGGTCCTGACTCTCTGTGATCATTAAAAATCCCAGGGAGTTTTAGTAGGTGTGTAACCCCAGCATTCTGGCCAAATTTCCCATTGGCCCTTACCAATCATGGCCTCCTAATAATCCCCACCTATGAATTGGCCCTATATAAGTTAAAGCAATTATTATTAATTATTCTTATTATTTTCATCTCCAGTAGTCTAGGTTCACATCCAACTCAGGTTACCTGAAATGAGTTGGGTAGTCTCTGCTCACTGGAAATTGGGTATAACTTCCATATTATGTCGTAGCACAGTTTCTAAAGTACTGCATGTGTTTAAAGCTGAGAATTGCAGTCAAAGGGCATACCACTCTGAGCAGGGTGGCTATGGCCTTGTGGGTGGCGATGCTACAGCCAATGAATTTTGGTAGTTGCACTTGTATTGAACCAAAAATTGATTGCTTTTTCCTTTTCTTTGAGAAGGACAAAAACAAGGTGAAAGACAAGGAGGCTCACAAACCCACAAAGGCAGGTGTGTACAGTATGTGAGAGTGAAAGAATAAAACACAAAAACATAATGAAACAAGACTTGATGGCAGTCTATGTTAGATATATTTTGTCTGCTGAAAGGTGTTAGTCTATAAAACTGTAGCATGTTAGTGTTAAAACAAATGTGGGAATCACAAATATTATTGTTTAGTAAGTGTTACCTCTTCTATTAATACTATTATTTGTAGTAACACTATTTATTTTTGAAACTTCATTCCTAGTTCTGTCAGTGAATGTACTTTATATTTGATCTTTTCTTATTCTTCTTAAATAATTGAACTGCCTTAAATACAAATTTTGTTCTTCTAAATTTGTAGTGCTGCTGTTCACTCTCTGTAGTGTGATTTAGTGTTCTAATATTGTCGTTGTTGTTTTTTTCCTTCTCAAGGGTTTCGAAAAGTTCCCCCTGCTCATCCCCCAGATATTGCTGACGACGACTCTTCTTTTGCAAATTATTTAGACAAGTTGAGTTTATTTTTATTCCGAAAGAATGGACAAGGAAGTTACAAATGCAAAGAGGTGATGATTACTGGGTACCTGTTTGCATGGTTTCAATTGTAACCATCACCACTTTGTGACATTTGATTTCTTAATGTTTTTGAAAGTCTTGTTGTGTCATCCTAATGTGGAATTAAAGCTTATGCTGTATTTCACAAAACAAGTGAAAATGTCACAATTCCTTGCATTATATTGTATGTAGGTGAACAACTTTTACATGATGTTCAAAGTTCAATGCAGTTCAGAAGCATATGCAGATTGCATAGTATTTCTTCCAATGTTTTTAACTTCAGAATGCCTAAATATCGTTAACAGGTTTACTTTCTAAATTAAATCTTTTTTATTCAAGAATGGTTGCATATAGCATGAAGTGGTGCTGTACTATACCTCCAATTCATCTACTAAAAGAGATTTTAATGAATTTAATGTAAATTTAATGTAAATTTTCAGCCCCATGGTTTAGAATTAATTGATTTTGCATTTCAATTTCCATTCTGAACAGACATTCTTGTTCCGTTTCAGCCTATGTATATTTTGTGGTGAAAAGGACGACTCGTTCACAGAGGAAGGTCTGGATCTGCATTACTGGAAGCATTGCCCCATGTTGAGCCGCTGCGATCTCTGCAGACAGGTAGTCTCTAAAATAGCACCACACTTCTGCAGTCACAGCATGCTGCTACATTTTGGACCTGCATTCAGTTTTAGGTTTTTTTAAGAGCAGGCTAGGTGTTCTGATGGCGAAAGGTAAGATGCTACTGATGATAAAAATAATAATAAGTTTAGTAATAGTAATAATAACGTGAACACTTCTGTTACAACATGGACAATGCCAGGAGGTTCATGGTTCACATCTCTACCTCTGACTTGCCCTGTGTGATCCTGAGCAAGTTAATTAACTTACCTTGTACTCCAGCCTTTGTATGATCAAATGCAAAATTAAAATAATGGCAAATGCGGTCATTCCTAAGGTTCATCACCCCACTATTACTATCCACTAAAAATATCTACTAAATTTCCTATTGCTTTTATCATTAGAATTTTTATTATTATCATAATCACTGAGTAAGATGATGGATTTTTAAGCAGGTGGCACCATCATATTTCATTTGTTTTATGCTCCTTTTAGATCTGTTATTACGGTAACAATTGTTAATTTGTTATTACTCATCCAGGATTCATTTTAATTTTGCTTCCAGTTCAAAAACAAATTCTGGCTTCCATAACTGTAGCGCATGCAAATAATGTGTAGGGCGTTGTGGTAGTGTGGAGTAGTGGCTAGAGCTTTGGAGTTCTGACCATGGTGTTGTGGGTTCAATTCCAAGGTTGGGACACTCCCACTGTACTCTTGACCAAGGTACTTGACCCACACTGGCCAGAAAATATAGTTGTGTAGAAGGGTACCAAAGTTTTGATACAAAAAGAATAGGTAAGAACTTTAAGTCACTGCATAAATACGTTGAGCAACAATGTATAAACACTTTGGCTTACGTGAGTAATAATGTGGAATTTCTTCCAGGTGGTTGAGATAGCCAGCATGAGTGAACACTTGTTGTCCGAATGCGAAAGCAAGAGTAACTTGACCAAGTGTCAGCGCTGTGCTGAGGCTGTTCCCAAAGATGAGCTGTCTGAACATGTCCGAAGCAAAGCCTGCAATCGTGAGTAATCATCCACGCTTCAGAAGCACTACAGAAAGCACACCCTGTTGTCATATTGACACCTGAAGAAGGCCCCACAGCTGCAAAATTGTGTCTCTTTTCCTTTCAGCATGGAATAAACCCTTTCTTGTTCCATTGCAGCCTACACATGGTGACACAGCTACCTACTTGGAACTTCTGTTGTCATTTTAATTGAATATATAAGTTATATTATTAATTTACATAGTTTACATGTGAATTGCACAGAAGACCTTTTTGTAAGAGTCTCCTTCATAATAAAAGCAAACAATACAGGCAAAGTTCAAATTCTTTAAGACGAAGTTAATTAAAAAAGGAAGATTTCCTATCCTGGTCATTAATAGAAGATTCAGATCTTTTCCATAATGATCCTTTAAACTTAATTGAAAGTGAAAGAACACTGTATATTTTTCTGTGCAGTGGTGATTTGGAAGGTATTAGTGTACCAAAATGTACATTTATTTAATGCAGTTTTCTGATCTAGGCCTTAAGCTGTAAGCAAAAAAAGTCACACATCATTAGTTAATTAAGAAGTAGAAAATGACTGTGAAAAGGTTAAAGTAAAAGGAAGGATAAACCTAATGTTTTCTGTCTTTAAATAATGAATCTGTGACCCAGCGAAATGGATCACTGTCCAGCAGGCTTAGTGTGAGAAAAGATACCCGATCAATGCCAGGGAGCCTGTATTGTTCACTTCGCCTAAATAATTAACGCCTGGGCTCCTGTCTCTTCTTCTGAAAGGAATGTGAGTGTGCTGAAGTAACCTTGGAGACATCAGGGTCACCTAGTTCCCAGCACGGGAACGTATTTGGAATTCTCTTACTGAACACTGTCATGAGGTTCCAGGAGGTTCAGTTACATTGTCTGATCTATGCAAGCTATACAGTAGACTCACAAGGTGTTTTTGTTTCTTGCTGACAGCCTCAAGTTTTACTTCTGGTTTTTTTATTGTTTTTTAGCTCCTAAATCGGAGAAACTGTCCAACCACTGTTCATTATGTCATGAAAATTTCACGCCTGGAGATGAGGTGAGATAAGCTTTCAGGAAAAAAAGCAGGGTCTAGTTTGGAAACCCAGACCTAAGTTGTCATTTTACTTTGTGTAAGGGGGGGTTTAAGTTAGTCTGAAAACACTTCACATGTCCCATGATATTTAAGCACACGTTTCTATCTACATTCTTTATGATAGAGGTAAATGAAGCACTTTTGGCTGCTTGAACCTCTTTCATAGCTGTTTACTTTGTGTAAAGAAGATACTGTGTTTGGGGTTTTTACTGTAGATAGACTTTCACCCAACTGCAAAGTTTATTGTTGTCTGCATTCAGCAGTCAACAAACCTGACAACTGTGAAAAACAAGCCCTGGGCTCTCAGCAGATGGTGTCATGAGGCTGCTGTATGTTTTATAGTGTAATCAATCGGGCCTGCCCTTCGCCTATTGCCGTGCTGCTCTGAGCCCACATACAGAGGGACTTCAGCCTGCGGCTGCCCTACGAGAGTCTCTGAATGTTATCTCTCTCCTAGCATTTCTGCTGTCCTCTTTCCACTTTATCTTTCCCAACAGGCAGCTGACAGACACTGACGTTCTCTTATCTGTCATAACTGCTGCTCACTTCACTTCTATTTCTGGCTGGGCTTTTAGACACCAAGGAACAATGGGTACTGTGTGGAATCTTGTAAAATTCTGTTGTATCATTTGATTTTTCTGCGGTTGTTTCAGTCAAAGCTGTTACTAGTCTAGAATCTTTTCTAGTCAGACCAAGGCCTCTTTGCAGTATACGAGAGAGAGAGAGTTTCTTCTTAAGAAGCTATTCAGATTTTGCTGCTGTAATTACCAAGTCACTTGTGCTCCCCTTTTCACATACAGGTCACGTTTATACCTGACCTTTACAAAAATATACTGTGTTTTTACTGCAAGCTTTGCAATAGAGGCATCACAGCCGTTGCAAAAGGAAATGAAATATTTCATTCAGTCCTTAATTAACTATGGAACCAAGTTCTCATTGTGAGCTTTTCTCATGTTATAAGAAAGAAAATACAAGAAGATAAAGAGTTATGTGCCATGTCCTCAGGTCTGTGTAAAACTCCTTGTACGACCGGAGTCTGTAATTAATTTCTTAAAGAGAGGCAGTGTTGAAGAAAAAAGAAAAGTCCTGTCTTTGCCCGCATATTTAAACATGTTCCAGAGTGCACCTGGGTCTGTGTGTGACTGGTGCTCACAGACCTTTCTTTATGTCCTTCCTCAAACGCTTGGTTTCTTGAGAACCTTAAAGATTGCAACATTAACAGAGATTTTATTTATTAAGATCACTGAGGCAGACTCTCTGTGGGGAAGGAATCTGGATAAGCAAGACTTTCATTAGCCTACGCTGCAAGAGGAAGTTTTACTTCTACTGGAGTTTCAGACCCCAGTCTGCATGTACCACTGTATTGTGCATAACGTCAGCTATTTACATATTTTTCTTCCATATTCTATGGGGTGCAATGGTTAGTTACATGATTTTTATTTAACCATTATTGTTGCCTGTGGTTTTTTGTGGTTTTAGAAATCCCTCCAATGTGCTTATGTCGAGCAAATGACTTGTCGCTTGTTATACTTAGACTGTTTGGCTAAAAAATGTCAAGTATATTATAAGATTTACTGATGATCTTATATCCCCTTTCAGAGCCACACTCTTTGTACAGGTTTAGTGTTGAAGTAAACTCTGATGAAAATGACCTTAATGCAATTAATCTGGGAAATGCCATTTAGCAAAAAGGGAATACACTTCCACCATCTGATCAGGAGAAAAAAAGTTAGATAAAGAAGTAGTCACTTTACACAGCAGTGCAAAACAAACCATCTAAGATTTCAAATGACCTGATACGCAGTGTCTGTTCAACAAGGAAGAACTTTTCAAAGAAGGAAAACACTCAATGGAAACATAATTATAGTTAATCACACACGGTGTTCATTTCTGTGGGGTAGAAATGTACAAAACAGATGTTCTTGTGTATTACGAGGTGTGGTTTTCTGAGATATTTATACAAGTGTTATCACATTTCTGTCTAATCTCCAGTAGGACGTCTTTGCTCTGCAGTCAATTGTCAGGTGAATTCATTGGGTTTACTGGAGTCTTACTTCCTTAACATGATATGCCAACATTGTGTGTTTCTTACCTTCCAGTGTAGTAGTGTTGGTAAAAGAATATCCTTGGGACCTGAGAAAAAAGTCCTCTGATATGCTGAAATTCTCAGGTTTGCTACAAAAAAGTATATGAAAAACAGGCTAAACTTCCTTTCCTTGTGGTTAAGTATATTACTGTTGCTAATTCCCCGGGAGAATGTAATTCAGTCAGAGACCTATTGTCCATGGTTTTAAATTATAAACAAACTCAGCCGAGAAAGAGGTGTAGTGTGAAGCAGTTAAGAAAAAACTGTAAGCAAAACCTTTTGTCGAGGAAATCCATCTGACACCACAGGTTTTATCAAAATGTTCTTTCTTGGCAATTAAATTTTATAGCAGTTTATGTGTCATTTCTATAATTACACATTTTGTATCTTGAAAAAAGTTAAAAATGCTGATTTGGCAGCAGATCATGAAATTGACACTTGGGGATTTCTGTCAAGTGGATCGGAGCTGCATGGTCACTGACTGGTTAATTAGGATGTTCTTAATTCTTAAGCAAGGTCAGGCATTCCTTTAGAGAGCTTTTGATTATTTAGTTATGTCTGTGCCTGTATACTGTGTATGCATATTAAGTATCAGTCTTTATAGTCATTGCTTAACATAGGAGAATTCACAAACAAACTTTCTTTAAAGTGTCAGTAATATAATTTGATTCTTTGAATATAACATCTTTCATTGTCGGAACAAATGTAAACTCTCAAAATCTATAGTTTGCAAATGGTTTCCACATTTCCCAATACTGTAAACAGGTGTGTGGGACAACTTGTTCTGTGCTATCAACAAGACACTGTACGTTGGACAGATCCTGAATCATTGTTACCAAGTTAAAAACATCCCGTTAGTTTTTTTTCTTTAAATATCTTTCTGTGTTTTGGTCAAAAACGTTTTGAAAAGAACATCCACTGATTATTTTAAGCCGAATCACATTTTTTTGTATTGCCTTTACTGCGTGTTACGCCTCACTCATAAAGGAAATGTTATTATTTTCTCACGTAAAATGTTACTATAGCCTGTATTACATTATTCAAGATACAAGGTAATGGTTTATCATGTACATATAAGTATTCTTTCTGTTGTATTTGATTTTGATAAGTGACCCTGTTGTAAATTGCCTTAGATGAATGTGTCTGACACATCATCATCTTCAGCTTCCTCTGTGGGAAGACTGAGAATTCAGGTGAATAAAAGTCAGAAGTAGAAGGGTTCCAACTGTGTGTTGAGGGTTGCCGTGACCGTAAACCGCACTGACACAGCCACTGCAGAGACAACAGAGGTTGTCACCCCGCAGGAGCCTAACTTGGTCGGTCTCCACAGGCCTGGAAAGCTCACCTGATGGGGAGGGACGGGTGCAAACAGAACTCGCGCAGGGTCCCAGCCCTCCAGAGGACACAGCAGATACAAGGTAAACTATTCATCTTTGGCTTCCACATGTACAGAGGGCCTCAGAACTGACAAGGCTGGTGTAAACAGTGAGGTTTTCTTTTGGGGAAGCACTAAACTTGCCTGGCAGGTCAGCTTTTCTGCAGTCCTGCTTCACGTATAGTAGCAAAGCTGAAAAGGAGTTCAATGTTTTCAAAAACCCTATATACAACCGGGAACATTAGAATAGGCACAATTCCAGTTCCAGTCTCTGCAGTCTGGAATGAAAAGTTGCTAATGTTAGCTGGATTTTTGATTCGCAAAAAAAGAAGAAAAAGTGAAACTCATTTCAGTCTGATATTAAAATCTACAGATCTGTAAAATCCCTGTAGTTTTTTTCTTGATTTCAGCTGTACGCTCTCCAGAATACTTCAAGGAAAAGTTTCTTTTTTTGCTGAATTGTAAAAACTCCTTCATTAACACATGGATTAAATCACCCATGTGAAGAATGAAAAAACTCAATTTACCAGCCAGCTTTAATCCCTGGGCCGACTGTGTTTAGCACTGCAGAGAAGCGGAGAACGCTCTTGGATATAGCTCTGGGATACAATGGTTAACACAAAGGGCTGGGAACAGTGGCCAGTGTGGTTTTGACAGGGAGTGTTTGAAAGCTGCTCCAGGCTGAGCCTCTCAAAGCAAGGGCGGCAGTGCTTCAGCGCAAGACACGAAAGAGAACAGTGGCAGCCGAGCTCAAAAAAAAAAAAAAAGATCTCCTTCCTTTCTGAACAGGGAAAATGGGTCCATCTGCAACAAAGCAAGCTCCCTTGGGGATGAGAGGTCGGTCCATGGCTACATCAAGCAAGATCCCAGCCCCCAGAGCAGGAGTCAACAAAATGGGGGGCCGTAACCCAGTCAAGCGGTGACCCTGAATTTCTCCCTGCTGAGCGAGGCAGTGGGGTTCCTTACAGAAGCTCTTTTTGAGGTGCCACATGGGCTACATGTGTCATAGTTTCCACAGTTTAATAATGATTCCTTTTCTATTTTCTATTTAATGTGTGTTTTACCTGTGTGCTAGGGGCTCCTCTGTCCGTGCTGTGCCAGTGTTACTATTCTACTAATTTATCTATCGTTATTTTTTTATTACTTGGGAGGAATCTGTTTTTAAGTGCATTCAAGACCCATAATGTATAAATAACGATCTTAGGCAAATTTCACTATCATAGCAGTGGTTTTTTAAAAAAAAAGACTTCATATGTGTGAACTGATGATGGACGGAAGTTATTGTTAATATTAGAAGTACATCTTCACTGAAAAGAGGAAACTGTTTTGTTTTGCGGAAGGTTGGGTTTTTGTGCTAGTGGTTTTTTTTACCACCTTAGCAAAGTAGCAAACAATTATAATTGAAGAGTGTTCAATTAGCTTTATTGATACAGATTAGCCTTTTGCCAAATATAAATGTTTGTTTTTCACACTTTTCTTTGATAGCTTGTTTGGGTATTCATTACATTTCTATTGACCAAAATAAAATACAAAAGTAATTTACTTTTCATGTTCCAGCAAAGAAAGCCTGATATCTGAAAGTTTTTTAATAATTGCTTTGCAGTATTATATGTTGTTTGTTTTGAGAAAAGTAGACTTTATAAGAAAAATGTGATGAGATTTGTTTTAACTGACTGTTTGGTGTTCATATTTTAAAACCAAAAGAAATATATTTGTTCACAAACTTACTCAAAATCAGACTATTAATTCTGGAAAAAAGTAATATTCTGATTTTTTAAGAACAATATCTATCAAAGCTAGTTTATTCCATAAATATAGCCAGGTGTGCAGAATTCTTTGTAGAATTTGCAGAATTTTAACATTAAAGTCCTGTATACTTTGTGTGGAGTTCATCACAACGTCTTGTAGGTTATGATGAAAATGTAATTGTAACAATGAAAAGGCAAAACAAGATTTCCTTTCAGACAAGACTAAATGAACATGTCCTTTACTCTGTTATTCTTCGTGCTTTGGTCTATACTGAAAAATACTGTCTAGTGGCCTTCCTGTGGTTTTAGCTCATAGTTCTAAACTAGGCTGTGTCCTGCTTGGTGTTTTTTTCAAACACTTTGTTTAAAATTGGTCAGATCAATTTTCTTTTCTTCTAGCACCTTTTAGTAAACTAACCACAGACTCTAACACATGCAACCTGGTTCCCCTTTCACAGCACTGATGAGACTAAGAAAAGGTTACATAATTTACCTGAGCCCCAAAAGAAGTAATTCCTTAATGTATGTGAACTGCAGAGGATGATACAACCATAAGAACATGTGTAGCTCATACATGAATAATTGCTGTACTTGTTTATCCTAACTATGGAAGAATAGACACCTCGATGTGACAGTGACTCTTTTGTAGTCATGGCTGCTATATGATACTCATCATGAAAATGTGTGAGTGAATGTGCTAGAGTCATTTAAGAGCAGAAAAAGTGGACCATTGAAGGAAACCACAGCCTGTACTGTATCTATGGATATACATCTGTAGGGAAACTGGAGAATTTTCCTTGATAAATACTGACATTAGAGATGTTTGTTGATATAAAAAGTAGTTATGCAGTCAAATGCTTCCTACCTTGGAATTGTGATTGAAGCTACAGCTTAGTCATCAAAAGATTCAATGGCAAAAGTCAATAACTGAAAGTACTATATACTATGTGGAATACCCCTGTAGTTGAGTGCTTTTCTTTTGCACTTAAAAGTTTTTTATACAGATTTCCTTAACTGTTCTTGTTTGGAGCTGTGCATTTACTGTCATTTATCCACATTAGAACACATCTTTGGGTTACTCTGAATTAGGATTGTGAAATGGATTGTATAAATCTTTTTTCTGTATTTTTTGTAATTTAGTGTTTTTGTGTAGTGTCATCATACGACATACTTCTCATGTTTTAAACCCTACTGTATTTAATTTTATTTGTTGTGTGTAACTAATTTGTCCAACATGATTTTGTTTATGTTGTGTGTCTAAATTTGTCATCAGAGAACTTAAAATACAGTACATCACAGCAGACAGTGGCTTTCCAAAGTTTCAAAATAGGGATACTGGAAATAGTCTTTAATGAAGCACTTACTCAATAATTAAGGTAATGTAACATTGCTTAAATGTTAAATGTTCAGGTCAAATTAAAAATAGTTTATGCTAAAGAGGAACATTAATAAATAAGTTGTTCCTCTTAAAAAATAAATCTATCGATTTAATGTGTCAACAAATCATTGTTAGTACTTTTAAGTGCAAGTGATATGTAATTAATGTTATAGAAACTGTGCACGTGTGATGGAGTATAGGTTAATTTATTGCTGCTTAAATATTTTTAATTAATTTGTATTTCCCAAGTAGTTATTTTGCTGCCTTTCTTAATATTTTCAATCAATGCAAATTTAAGACAAATGTTCTTGTCTTCAAGCAGCATCACACTGATAAGTTACAAATTCTATGAAAATCACAAGTGAGATTAATCTGAATTTAACCAAATGCACTGCAAAGTATATCTGTAAAGAATGAATTTACTCCGATTATTAAGATTAGTGTGGCAGTCATGTATGTGAGCAGTCATGCATCTAGACATCGTCAAGCTTTCATGGCATAACAGCAAAAGAAGAGTTATATGTTTCATTAATCACTCACATCAATAAACAATGTCCTTAAACATATCAATGGCTTGTGTCTTTTCTGGATCAGGAGTGATTCAGATACCTGTTATTGCATGTTGAAGTTGTCATTAGCAGAAAACCACAAAAGGCTCTGCAAAATCAAAGAGAAAAGAGTGACTAGCCTAAGCCTCCACAGATCTTGAAACCACGGCCTAAAGTTGCTTTGACACACAATTAGGGCATGTCTAAGAAGCACAACAGTCCCAGTGTGTCTTGCATTTATATCCACCATTTAATCTTTACAATATTACATCTTACCCTCTCCTTTAAATGAATCCTCCTTCTGTTTTGTGTACCTGGTGCTAAACTGGAGATGGGAATGAATGTGAAGGTTCATTCCAAACCTATTTCCTTATAAATAAACAAGAAAAAGCAGTAAGCATATTCAGACACTCATAACAATTTCCAGTAAACCTGCACCTCTTCTTTAACACAACTTTGCTTTCCATGGCATCCCAGAGCACTGATGACTGCGCTCTAGATGTAAATTATAAACGCTTCTGATCTTGAAACACACCCAAAACCCTCCTGGTGTAAGTGTAGCTGTTTTGGCTCCATGAATGGCAGTTCTTTGAGGCCTTAAGAAAGACAGAGTTTGTGTAAACAGCAGCCATTCCATTTGGAAATTTGACAACTCTTAACGTTAGTCTGTGAAAAGATGGCTTTATTTTCAGTCCTTGTAATTCAGAAATGGAAAAACTACATTAATACTCCGATTGCTTATGACATTCAAAACTCTTGCCAACATCAGCATTTTAGGACAAAAAAGAAATTGCAGCACTCCAAAATTATGAAGGGTGTGGCAGAATGAATACATGAAGACTGGTATTAAAAAAAAGCTTATTGACAAGCTGCAATGAAAATGTGAAGCTTAAAGTACATACTCAACCTAACTACAGTCCCAGAAACCTAGTTTCTTTTTTATTGCATTGAAAAGAAAAACTTTTTTTTTATTTATTGGAGATACTCCACACACATGCACACTGTGTAGTTCTTTGGAGGCTACAGATCGTCTGGTAAAGGAACCCATTCTAGTTAATTGCATCAGAGAGCAACAATTTAAACATCCAGCATTGTCAGGAAAATGTGACAATAACAGCAGAGTGAAACGATTCAAATGTCCAGCACTGTAAGGAAATAGAAATAATGCATCACTTCTGAGTGCAACTTGAAAATTCGTTGCTGGGATGTGTTTATTTAAAAAGTTAAAAGAAAACAGGAAGCTACTGTAAAGGGCATCACCACTGACTCCAGTTTTAAGAAAGGCCCAGTCAGCAGTCATTTTTCTGAGTAAAAGCAATAAATAATACAAATACTTCCACCCAGCTTCTTAAGTAGCATATTTTTCTAGTTAAAGACATAGATTCTATCTGTAACAACAGTGAACAGTGTTGCAAAAAACAGTGTTATTAGTGCAATTCAAGTAAAAAGAGTAAGAAATGGTATCTCAATATTTGCAATAAAAAAACAAGGAATATATTTGATTTGCCTCATATTTTGGGAAAGAGAACTTCCAAGGTTCCCTTTGAAGAATATTACTTAGCTGTGCATCTTGTTAAATAATTCAATATTGGAATGTTCTTGCCAGAAAACGAAACTGACATACAGTAAATATGAATCTTGAAAACTGCAAAGGAAACAAAACAACATGTCCGATTTACAAGCACAATGTGATTCTTCATGAACTGTCAAAGTTCTAACACCGACTGCAATCAAACCATCCAGGGGAAATGTGCTCTGCTGCAGATGATGTCGAAGTGGCTGACTATACAGGAACAGCTAAGCTCACAATTGCAGGCTGTGGCCAGCTATATATATATAAAAACAAAACTTCTTTCTTGGTAGTTCTTCCATAATGCCAGGACAATAATGATTTACATTCACAGCTGTATTAAATCATGTCATTATCTAGACAATGATGAATTTCACATACTGTACAGTATGTATAGTAAGGGGCATTAAAGGCACAATAAATGCTGTTGGTTCCAATACTCATCTTTTGCATTTTTACTGCCTCTCAGCATTATATATGTATATACATCTCTTGAGGACTGTGGCACCACTGTAAATCCATTTACTTTTTTATTTGTAACAAATTTGTCTTTACACTACCCTATGATAATACACACATTTTTAATATGCACATTTAATCTTAAATATATATAAGAAAGAGACTGACCAAGTTGTCCTTTCGCTGTAAAACAGTATACGTCTGGGGGCCAAAACTAATTTGAGGTTGGTTAACAATGAATTATGATTGGCTCAACTGCAGCCTGCCACTCAAGTGTCCAACCAAACTGGCACACTGCCATTTCCTGCCCAGTCTTGCTGGTTATCTGAGAACAAATGTTTATTTCTTAATCAAAACATGTCATTGTTGTTAGCTGTTGATTTTGACACACAGAAACTGTGTTCTGTTAGCCCCGAACTTTTTTTATAAATAAAGGATCAGCACTTCCTTCAGTATCCAGTGAATATACTGTATTTCCACTCATCCTTCTGAAGCGGATAATTAGTAATCACTTTCTGTTTTATTGATTAAACAGTGAATGTGCCAAACTGTGTTTTGTTAAATGTTGAGAGGAGGAAAAGAAAACAGGTTCTCAGATATGTCGCGTGGAGTAATTTTATTTTTAAGCTGCTCTGCTCAGTGAGTGCCTAAACCTAGGCCAAATTGTATTAGTAATATTTTAGGAGTAGAAATCGTTTATGGATTGTTTGTATTTTCCCCATGTGATTAAGTTGTTAAGCATTTAGTTTAGAATGTATTCCACTAGAAGCTTGTTTTCACGTTACATCCACATAGTCGTTAAATCTGAACCTAAGTTTGAGTTTTCCTCCAACTTACTTTCTGAAAAACTTATTTAAAAAACGTAAAACACTTGGCTTTTGTATTGGGTGCATGTTTTTTTTTAATGGACCACGACTGTCATTTTAAAATCAAACTGTCAATGTAAATTAAAATTTGGACAAGTCCATGAAGTCTGAAAGAAACATAAGCAGTTCATTCAGAGTCTGAAAACCAAATCAAATCTCCAAGAGAAAACAGTTGTCCGTATTTAAAAATATGTATTTTTAAATATTATAAAGACGAAAGTTCAGGATATTGTAGGAGAACGTTTTTGTTCCTATGGGCTCACAGAGGGATACTGTACCGTGACACCCCTGACAGCAATTACAAACTAAGAAAAGACGTGAATGAATTACTCGGCTTTTTAACGATGTAAAACTGGCATAAGGTTGTGATCAGATGTTTAAAAGATCAAGTGTCATTTAATTCACACATTCTTCCCAGACTGAGCCTCCTTAGTTAAAACTGTCAACACCTAAGCTGAGTTGCACGTCGCATACAGTACATAAATAAATCTTATCCAGTAAAAATTCAGTGAAGTCTCAGGCGGAGCCCGGTAAAAGGAATACAACTATACGTTCATTCAGGGCAGTACAATCTTTTTGGCGCATATCAAGTCCTTATTTTGCACTGTATCCCACATTCTAAGCAGATCTGTGGGGCTCATCTTATGGATCACTAGAAGGTTTTTGTAGAAACATGGGTCGTTGTTCATGGGACTGATTTTGCGCTTCATAATCCCAAAAGTCTTGAAACCGGGATGAAGTTCTGGGGCGACACCTATTTTCTGCAAGCACATGCCCAGAAATACATCATCGATGGGATAAAGCTCCAGTTTCTCAGAGACGATAAAGAGTCTCCGAGCTAATTCAGGAGACATTAAAAAGCCCCCACCCCCCACGTACGGGGGGTACGGTTTGTCGTAAAGGTCTCTGGGAATAAAGTACTTACTCTGACGGTTCCTAATGGGAATAGCTTTGGAAATGGTGTCCCCTACAAACAAATTTCGCACTTTCCCTTCTTCTGTCTTAAAATCAATCAGTTGCAGTAGATTGTTCGTGTTCACAAAGACGTCGTCATCCCCTTTAAATATGAACTGCACCCCGGGGCAGTACATGTTAAACCATTTCAGGAAATTCACCTCTTTGAGGGTGAGGTTGAAAAAGGTGTCCATGAAATCCCACTGTAGGATGTCTCCGTATATCCTGTCCTCATACTGGATGAGCTTTTGGAGGTTCTTCGTGTCCTTGCCGGTGGAAGGGCTGCCCAGCAAAAACAGAGTCTTGATTCTCTTCCCACCGGTTACCTGCTCTCTGCCCCACGTCCTGCGGACCGCCTCCCTCCTGTCGTGCTGTTCAATCACCGATTTGACCACCATCAATAAGTGCACGTCTCCGCTCCGGCACGTTTCTGGGTGGTTTATCAGCATTGGGAAATACCTGCAGTGTCTGTACAGGACGAACTGGTGAAATCTCGGGTCCAGGCGTTTGAACCAGTCTTTATTCTTCACGTCGGGATTCTCGCTGCAGTTGATAGCAGTCACATCCCAAACCTTACGCGTCACGTTGGAAAATGGGACAAGATGACCCGCTTCCGAATTCTCAGGCTGTCCCAGGGGGGAATGATTGTAAGAGTCGCTTTTAAATACATTTTTATTCACCCTGGACCAACCGGCGTCCGCCCTGGTTTTCACCATTAAAGTGCCCTTAGCGGCCTCTTCCACCAGCTTGAACTTCTGGATCATTAATATCGTGGCACAGACCAAAGACAAACTCAGAAGAGTTTTCAGCGCTCTCTTCCGTCTGAAAAAATACTCCATTATCTTCAGCATATAAAGGTGTAGTAGCTGCAAAGGCAAACCTGGTTAAAATAAAAATCCGCTTTTTTCATTGTGCAATTAGCGGCCCCGTCGTCTGGTCGTGCTGTTTTAAATTCCGCAGTCTGTAATAGAAACGGTCAATTGCTGCCACACTTGTAGTGAGCTGCGGGGAACGCATGATCCCCGAAACTGAAATCTTTCCGTGGAAGAAACCTGTGTGCACAGTCATTGATATCCCGCTTGAAATTTGTCTACTTTCTGCGGATGCCTACTGGCGAGGAATACCAATGTCTTCCAGAAGTTACTCCGGCGCGGCTCGCGTGTCTGTCTTTCGCTTTCCCCGTTGTTTGAAGAGCATTTATTGCCTTCTTTTCACACGGAAGGTCCGACTGTTCCCTAGCGTTTTCATTTGTGCTTTGTTTCAACGTCCGCTGCGTCTGCTAATTACTTCTCCGCTACTTTTTTTTTGTCATAGCCTCTCCAACCCACACCTCCTCTCCGAGCAACTAAAGGACAGCCAAGTCTCTCGTTTCACCTTAGAGGGCGAAGTCAAAACCGCCTACAACCGCACCCCGTGAAGTTTCTGTCGTAGCAATATTGAAATACGCGTTCCCCTTCATAACTCATTGAAAAGCGGCTCATAAATTGTGGCTTTAATACAGTATACAGAAAATAAGAAAGGTTACAAACGATAAGATACCATTTGGCCAATCTTTCCAGTTTGCTTCCGTGCAGTTTATTGGTCTGGTCATCTCATTCAACAGTTTATTGAAGGAAGCAAGAGTAGTGCATGGTAGTCTGTTCCAGACACTAACGACTCTTTGTGTACACACAGGTGTGTAAAGATTAGTGGTTTCAGATGTTACTGCCGTTCATGCGGATTTCTTTCTGTACATGAATTTACAAACCACGAATATTATTTTTTTATTATTAAATGCTGGTTTAAACATTGCATACCCAATCTTAATTTTGCTTGCGAGTTTGCAGAATTACAATTTTATTATATTGTCTTTATATATATATATTGCTGATACATACAGTAATTTATCAAAAATAAATAACCCAGTATTCACACACACAAACCAAAACACTGCAGGTGAGACCGGCTGTTTCGTGAAATAAATTAAACTACTTCAGAATCCAGTCAGATTAGCTGGATAGGATTAAATCGATAACTGATTTCAGGTTTGCTCCGTTTTCCCTCGGAGAACTCCGGTTTCTGGTTAAATTGAACGAGTTAGGCCAGTCTGACTACCTGCGCGCTCACGACTACCTCCAGAAGACAGCAGAGCATCAATCAATCAAGATTTATTTATCAATGCACGAACAGTAGAGCATACAGTAGTGTTGTCAGCAATGACATGCTTTATCCGTATCGATTCCTTCATCAGCACCAGCACCAGTGTGAACGTGCGTTTCATTCCAGTGACCATGAATTACGACTCCCTTTGGAAAACTATGAGGAGATAAAAGCTGTTATACTGTAAATGCTGCAAAAGCCGGGGACGTCGCCTAACACCGTATCGCCGATACAGAAGTTAATAATATAATGCAATTAAATATCTCAAGATACAGTATGACACAACTATCACCATGGCGAGAGCATGCATATATTGTCTTTACTTAACGTTTATCATTATGTTATTGAAGTGGAGCCCCCTTTTAAACTATCATGTAACAGCACAATATTGTTTTCATGCGGCAGTAATTGCAGTATTTTATGCATGGAACTGGACCGCAATGGAAAAACAAAATACAAGAATATCATCCAAAGTGGTATGTGGTTTTCTTTAGAACAACTGTAAAATACTGTACACAGTGTTGTGCAACATTTGAATAAAAACGATACCTCATTTTAGCCAGAAGCAAGAATCATGAGCAGAAGATGACTGAACGTTAATAGTGAAGATATTGATAATAATGAATGAAGATAATCAACCCAATAAAGAATTATTCCTTTATTGGGTTTTTGTCTTTTTACCAACGTTTTTTTATGTGAATCTATTAGTAGAGGTGAGACTCCCACCACCATATTGACGAAAGTCTCAAGCCAAGTAAAATGTGGCCTAAATATAATCGGAAGAAAAAATTAACCCAGACATAATTAGAGAAAATATATCCTAAAACAATGGTCACCGTTTAACTAGACATGGCCTGTCTGGGGCTGCCCTCAGAGCACTAAGACAATCACATCTTGACTTGAGGATCCCAAATGTCATCTCAATGTGGGCTCTTGTCTTTACTAGGTTCTGGATCAGGGAAGGGGTCAATTAGATGTTGGAGCTGCCATAACCCCTATCCCCAGAAAGAAGCCAGTCAAACTGACTGGAAACACTGATCAATGGAACTACATGCAATGTCTTCACAGCACAGTGTACCTCAGACCAATGGCTGCTTGTGTTCAATACCTTGCTTAAATTTAAAGCGCAATGTGGACTCTCTGAATATTCGAGTCATTTACATGTTGCTGATTCGACACCGTACATCATGGATCATCGAATATCATAGGAAACATGGTGATAATGGACTTTTTGTGTAATCAATTCATATTTTTTAGGCTAGAATTTTTTTTTTTCACCAGTACATTGATGTCGTGAATTGATTTTCTTTGAACAAAATCGGTCTCCTTCGACCCGGTGGGGCTTTTAATGTCTGTGCAGTTCAGAGCACCTGTTACATTAGAAAATCCTGCATGCAAATATATACAGTAGATCGCGGGACTTATGTACAGGAAACAAAAAGTACAAGTAGAGGGAAGCTCCTCTTTGCACGGCCCGGAATCGTTATGAATGAATATAAAGACTTGCAGTGCAAGCACCACTGTCCTTATCACACGGCGCACTGTCGCTTTGCTGATGCGCTCGGAGTCGCGAACACAGTAAAAATACTGTGGCCAAGAATCTCAAGAGCTCGAGTTTCTGTAAATAATGAGTCACAACATTCGGAATATAGAGGTTTTAAAGGCTTAACCTGGTGCTGTTTGATCCCGCTTCGTGAAACCGAAAAGTCAGACTTTTGTTATTCGGTTAACTAAGTAATCTCGATTTGCGAAAGAGCCCGAGGGGTAAACCACACAAATTCTGCTTACTGTGTATTAACGCAAATGCAGCAAGGATTGTACTTGTGCCTGATGCAAGCTAGAGAATAAGAGAAATGCACCTAGCACCACCCAGTGGCATTAAGAAGATCTACATAATAATAATAATAATAATAATAATAATAATAATAATAATAATAATAATAATAATAATAACAGCGACACATCTTGTTTTTTATGTCTTCAGCACAAAAGCCATCGTTACACAATATATTAAACACCTGCTTACTCATACAAAGAATACAAAATAAGTTCTTACACAATGAACACTACATCTCACACGCCCGTGTTGCATTTCGGCATTTAATAATCGAGTTGATAGCTGCAAAAAAAATGGAATTCTAATCTATCGGCAAAGCACACGTGTCGATTAATAAAGAACCTGTGCCTCTGGGGGAAGATGCCCCGTACTAAGCACCCCAAGACGCAGCGCACCCTTAACCCCCACAATGGCCACCTCCGGCCCTCCCGGCGGTGGGCTGGGCTTGGCGCACAGTCGCGTCATTTGACGAGCGGCTGCTTGGAGTTTTGAAGCCGACCGGGCTTTGCTTTTGTAGAAACTTTTTTTTTTGTGTGTGTTACCCTCCCCGGCAATACTTATTAACTTTTGCCTACCTCGGTAAAGCACTGGGAATGAGTCGAAAACAGGTAGGTTAAGCCGGAGAAACACTTCCAGGCTTTCAAAAAGTGTAGGCGCGGTACATAGCGATAGACCGGCCTTTTTTAACGGAGACAACTCCCCGGCGTTCGCCAGTTTGAGACGAGAGAGCCTGGACGTGCTGTAACACTCGGGATACAAATTATATTACGATTGTAAATATTTACACCCCTCGCTTACATAATAAAAGCTTCCTGAAAAAGCAAGCTGGGGCCAAGAAAAGTTCAATTTCCCAGAAACTAGATTTCAGACCCCGTGTTTCGCTTTGGAAGACGCGTTCAGGCGGTTTTGCGAGGGTAGCGAGGTCTGTGCCTGCGCTGTGTCCCCGGTTGTGTGAACTCGGGTTCCAGGTTTGTTCCGCCGGTAGGTAATGCGTTACAGCGCAGCACACTGAGATGTTCTGTAAACGAAAGGTTTCGAGCGAGAGGAGGCCCTTGCATTCTTGTCGCACGTTAGGTTGCTAGTAGTTCGGTTCATCTGATCCAACCATTTCCACAAGGATCCCAGGAAGTCTGCGCCGACAGCGTGGCTTCGCTGGAGGCTTCAGTTCTACACCCTTCCCTTTGGAAAAAAAAAAAACCCAGTATTGTTCTAGCAGCACCTCATTCCAAAACAATAACCGGCAGGAATGTTGTGTGTGCAGGATTATGTATCATAAGGGAGTTAGCTGTGGTAAAGAGTGGTGAGAAATTCTATTTAAAGGTAACCTTAGTCTTCCGAGAGTTAAATCTAAAAAAGTAAGGCAAATTGATCCTTAATAGATCCTTTTACATTGTAATATCTTATATCTTTTATATTCCCATGTCGCATATCTTTTACACATTTTATTATATTGAGAGCTATCATGAAACCATGATGAATGATGTGGTGGGCAATAATTGTGTATTGTTATGTGTGAGAACAAAGCCATAGTTCTCAGTTCTCATAGTGCTAGAACGCCAGCAGCCATATCACTCTGTAACTGGCACCCCACTGAAGCTCAGCAGGTCAGTACCTGGATGGGAGATGAATGGAAAAATTCAATTCCCCTGGAAAAAACTTAGGTTGCTGTTGGAAGGTGTTAATCGGGCCAGCAGCGCTCACCCTGCGTCCCATGTGGGTCCTAATGCCCCAGTATAGTGACGGGGACACTATACTGTTAACAGGCGCCGTCCTTTGGATGAGACGTAAAGTCTCTGTCATCACTAAAAATCTGTTTCTTCTAAAAAAGTTGTAACCCTGGCATGTCCAAATTTCCCATTGGCCCTTACCAATCATGGCCTCCAAATAATCCCCATCTATGAATTGGCTTCATTGCTCTGCTCTCCTCCCCACTGAGAGCTGGTGTGTGGTGAGCGTTCTGGCGCACTATGGCTGCCGTCGCATCATCCAGGTGGGGCTGCACATTGGTGGTGGTGGAGGGGATCCCCATTACCTGTAAAGCACTTAGAGTGGAGTGTCCAGAAAAGTGCTATGTAAGTGTTAGCAATGAGACACACAGGCGCACACAGAGTGCAGGGTCAGCCATTTATACGGCGCCCCTGGAGCAGCTGGGGTTAAGGGCCTTGCTCAGGGGCCCAACGGAGTAGGATTCCTCTGCTGCCCGTGGGATTTGAACCAGCAACCTGGTGGTGGTGGTGCTATAGTTAGCATTGCAGCGCTGGGGCCCTGGGTTCAATTACAGACCTGGGGTGTTATCTGTGTGGAGTTTGTTTTTCCTTTGTTCGCTTGGGTTTCCTCCCACAGTCCAGAGACATGCTGATAGGTTAATTGGCCTCTGTGACACTTGGTCCTGGTGTGAGTGTGTACGTGTCTGTGCCCTACGGTGGACTGGCATCCCATCCAGGCTGTACCCTGTTGCTTGCCAGGATAGCCTCTGAAATGGGAGAAGAGGTTAGTAAAAGGATGGCTGTATCAGGTTTGTATCGGTGTTCCTATTCCAGTTGATTTTTCCTTTTTCTTTTCCAGGGCCGGGGTAAAGTCCGGAGCTCGGAGAGACTCAAAGGAAAGAGCTCCCATGCTTCACTCAGCACAGCAGTGGAAAGTTCAGTTCAGGTCAGTCACAGTAATAATAATAATAATAATAATAATAATAATAATAATAATAAACAGTCAACTACATTTTATACAGAAACCTTTAAAAGTAGGTTCTCATAACACTTTACAGAAAAGGTAAAAGAAAACAGTTAACACGTATAACCACAAGGGATTAAAAAATGCAGTAGAAGATGCCAGGAGCAAAGACACCAACTAAATAAAAGCCTTTCTGAAGATGTTTTTGAGTCTGGATTTTGTGCCTAGGGTAGGTGACTCTCTGATATCCTTGTAGATAGAATTCCAGAGGTCTGGACCATATAGGTGAGCATGAGGATGTTGAATTTGACATAAAACCTGATAGGAAGCCAGTGCAAGGACTCCAGGAAAGGAGTAATGTGATCACTTGCACAAGACCTGTTAAGGATTCTGTTTGGATTTAGATACCCTAGCGAATGGAGCGTTGCAGTAATCAATTCTAGGTAAGACGAATGTGTTAACTAGCTTTTCTGCTACAGACAGAGAATATAGGACATAGTCCGGTGATGTTCCTGACATGTTTTTACAATATATTGTACATGTGTTCAAATGCCAAGCCTGAATGAAATATCATGCCCAAATTCTTCAATTTAGATTGACATTCAAGTACAGTGTCATCCACAGATAGGGTTACTTCATTGGCTTTACATAGTTGATGAGAGGTGCTTAGAAGCATGAGTTAATCTTGTGGCAGTTCAGATGAAGGAAGTTTTGAGTCATGGAGTTTTTTATGTCAGAGATGCAATTAGAGAGCATAGAAACAGCTGCTACAGTGTCAAGTTTAGTATGGATGTAGACCTGAGAGTCATCAACTTTGAAGTGATAATTCAGACCATGTGATTTTAATAACTGACCAAGTGGGAACATGGAAATGCTGAATAGCAGAGGGCCCAGTATCAAGCTATGAGGAACACCAGTCTTAATGGCCCAACTTCAGAACTAAAACCCCTAAGACAGATAAATGTCAGTGATCAGTAAGGTAAAAGTCATGTCAGAAACAGTGTCAAGGTGGGAGAGTGAGATGTCATGATTTAGGAGAATAAGGATAGATAGAGAAGCGGAATCGGAGGCCCAGAGGTGATAAGAAGATTATTAGTAACTTTGAAAAGGGCTGTTTCACCCCGTTCAGGGTTGCAGGGAAGCTGGAGTCTGTTCTGTCAAGCAACAATCAAAATCAGGGTCCTCACATTTCATGAAAGACTTACATTTTTACAGGCTCCCTTGAAGAAGACTGAATCCCATCGTTCTGTCAAACGGCAGAAATGTGAAGTGCCTGAACCGCAGCCAGAAACGTCGGCAGATGTCCCCGAAGACGTCGGTGGCCTGTCGGGAGGAACAGCCCAGGAGCAGGGCGTCAATGGGAGTTCTGCAAGGGAGCTCGGCACGGCGAGAGGCACACAGAGCCATCTCCCCGAGGCAGAGGAGATGAGCCCCACAGGAGCCAGCGAGTGCCGGACTTTGGAGTCTGAATCCGGTGTTGCGATGAACTCGAGTGCGGAGAGAGCAGTTGATAATTGTGTGCCAAAGCTGGAGCTCCAAATGGACAACAGTGTTTTCCTGGACGAGGACAGTAACCAGCCAATGCCAGTGGGCCAGTTCTTTGGGAATATAGAACTTGTACAGGTACCTAATCTGCTTGTGGTAGGGGTGGTGGAATGGTATTGTTATGGAAATAGGCCTTTTGTTTGATTATGTCCCATCCTGGGTAATGAATGACTTCAAACCTTGAAGTGCAGAACATTTTAGAGCAGAATTTCTCCCGCAGATACAAGCCTGGTTGAAGAACACACTTATCACAAATTAGTCATGAGAAACTGGTTCAGTAAGTTACAGATTTAAGAGAAACAGACTTGCACGTCATAGTGTAGGACTGGAAACATGACCACCTCTTTATGGAAAGAGAAAATCGCAGGACTTCTTGGTTACATACTCTGCAGATGTCCAAAACAACTTGTGAGCAGGGCTCTTGACACCAAACCGGAAGGCTGTGTAGTCATGTCCCCAGGCTGCACGAGCTGCTGATGTAGCCTTGAGTGAAGAACAAGGTGTCACATTGACTCTGCCCAGCTTTTAAAACGAGTAGCAGTGTCAATGGGAGTGATCTTGCAGGGGACTAGCATAGCCGCCGATCTGGGAACACTCAGAACTGTTTGCCTTGTACCCCAGAAGCCAGGATAAACTTAAACCTGATTAGCCACCAGATCAGCGCGCATAGCTTGAAGGTTTTATGATAATATGGTTTTGTTCTGCAGGACGATCCTCCCAGAGCTCCAGCAACAGTCCCAATGAGCCGGAGGGAGTACAGGAGGCTACACTTCATTGCTAAAGACGACGAGGATGACCTCTACGAAGACAGCCACGTGGAACAGCCTCAGCAGAATGGTATTTGCTTTACGTTGTCTTTGGGGACTCAGTGTTGCAAATCCCAATCACTTTGACAATCGCTTTTCCTGGAAAACCTCAGTTCACCAAGACATCGCCTTGAATCATGTACTGGCAGTTACATGAAGCAGCCCAGCTGAGCAGTCTCTCAGTCCATTCTGCTGTGTAATAGACTTTTTTAAATTAAGAGACTTTAGTGAGGCCAAGGGATTAAGAAAACCTCTTCAGAATGTAGATGCTATAACACACACAGTACTTCATGTCCAATGAACTTCATGTATCAAATACATCTGAGTGTTAAACAAGTGATGACACATGGCATACCTCCATTTTTTGCAGGTTCTATTAAAAAGACTGAAGCCGATTGCAGGGTAGCACAGATTTTAATGTGGAGCTTGGCACCTCTGTTGCAATATATACTGATTGGAAAATTATCCGAAATGTTATTTGTAGAATCTCCCCTTCCAGAAAGTTGCAACACTACCATACAATCAGGAAGCTACATAAGCAATGGGAGCAGATGAGAGAGGTACTAATTTTCCTTTTTTGGTCATTTTCATTGCCGATGGCTAAAAAAACCAACAACAAATGCTTCTGGTAATTCCATTATCTGTCGGTTTCCTGCGTTGTATTTGGTTAACGGAGTCAGACGGTTTCAGAGCTGATAGGCATAGCGCTCAAACTGCTGCACCATACGTGATTGAACAGCTGAGGTCTGCAAAGTTGTGTTTTCTTCTATCCCACAGGAGCCTTGCAACAAGTAAAGAACAGAAAAAATGGACTGTTTTGATCTTCAGCCAAGACAAAAGGCAACCCATCCTTGTGAGAAGTATCAAAGCCACTTTTCCAAATGGTTTTTATTTTACTCACAAGCAATGTATTACTGTAAAATACCAACATAAGTGCTTGTGATTGTTATATAATGTTGAGGAGCTTACTCAATGTTTAAGATTGACTTAAGAAAATGTGTTCAGGTCAAGTAGAAATGAAGGGGTTTACTTTATAACTGAATGTAATGCAATCCTGGATGTGTGTATATACTGTAATACACTTGAAAAATGTTGTATGAGCATGTTATTTTCTTCTATTCACCATTGCGCTACACTACTGTAGTACCTATATTAAATGCCCACTACTGCCTTAAATGTTAAAGTAATGGAAATAGTCTTTATTGCTGGAATGAATTTTTATGTTGATTTATTACCAACTGTACTGCTGTTTGCATGTCGTTTCTAATTATAGAATGATGCAAACAGCTCAAAAGACTTATGCGTTGGATTACTTATGATTTTTATCACAAATACAAAAATAAACTTTGAAGACATAACGAATAGTGTTGCTCTGATAATATTGTAAAAATTAATGGTTAGATTGAAATGGTTTTTCAAAAAAAGTGTTGACAAAAGTGATATACAGAGCATTAATGTGTAGTAATCAATATTCAATATAACATCTTGTATGTTGTGAAATGCTACATGTGGTCAGTGAGTGAAGAATAGGTGGGGAAATGGTAAGCAAGTTCAATTGTATTTTTGTACAAGATCAATGCTGTTTTAGTTCAGATTAACTTTATATTCATTTCATGTGAACCTACATTAAAAAGCATTTATAAAACTAGTTATTGTGTTTTGTAAAGCAGTTGCAACACAAGAAGTATTACATGATCATTGCAAACGTTAGGGCTTTCCTTATGGGCCAGTATGCAGAACATAGAGAGAGACCTGGAAACAATGAGAAGTTTGTCGCATTGCACCACAAAGATCTGTAAGAAAGGGACATGGAATCTGTTGTGATTAGTTTGTTACGATACTGTACTTAGATGGACAGATCTCTTTTAAATTTTTAATTAATTCTATGAAAAGTATGTTAAAACTGTAGAAATTGGAGTCTCTTATATTCTTAGTTTTTTTGTTCCACCCATTCTTTCAATACATTAGTGTAATTATCTGTAATGCTTCTTATCACGTTTATGGGGCAACTTATTTGAAGAGAATGTTTTATTGCCTATAAAGGAAATTGAGGAGACAGGAATCCTATGTGGGTCTCAGGAAACAATCAGATCGATTATTCTCAAATCTGATTCTCAAATCAGAAGATATTAGGCTATTGAGACGGTTGGAGACCTAGCTGTAATTAGAGTAGATTGGAAACCTTTTTTTACAAAGATACTACACAATTGTAATTAGGTCTATAGTGTGTGATTATTATGACTAAAGGTCATGACAACCCCAAATCTTAGCACGTTTTTAATTAAAAATTTAAAGTAAAAAAATTCCTTCAAATAAAAAATAAATGGCAAACGATATGAAACAAAATCCATAAAAATATAATGGAATGGCCTTTTCTGGTGTTCTGATTAGTTTTAATCACTGTACATTTCAAAAAGATGTTAGAGAACCACAAATATTGCATTTGGAAGACACATTAATGAATTGGAATCAATCTACCAAATGAGTGGAAGGCTGCAGTACATTTGTAAAATTAATTTCTTCATTGTTTCTTCCATCTGCATTAAATTGAAGGGTAAAAGAACATTTTTTCAGCCTAAAACATAAAAATGGCACTTGATCACACTCAGTTATAAAAAGGGTATTTTCTCTCTCAATCTAATCATACTGTATTATTGCTTTTTGATGTGTAAATTCTACAAAAGTAGCTTTTGTTCATTTTATTTTTCAAGTGTTTTATTCTGGCTCAGTTTCACTTCTTCATATAAAAAGGAAAGTACAAATGCCCTCTGACTTCATTTTATGCGCCGTTTTCCTTTCTTATAGATCTTGTTCTTGTCACACACCAGGTCGTGAACGGATTTCTTATGGCAGACGATGTGCACTAATTTTAAATTCTCTCGGGTAAACAGTAGTCGGTAAAAATAGTCCAAGTTGATTTCACTGCTTTTGTGCTTTTTCAGTGCTTCTGCCAGTGTGGGAATGATTGTGCGCTTCTTCTCAATCCTGAAATAGAAAGGTAATGTGTCCTTACTCTTTTGGTTACTGTGCACTGGTTTGCATTATAAAAGGAACTGGTAATTATCTGCATCCTGACTGGTGAATGCATATTCTACACCACTGTGTTACTACAGCTTAGCAACAGGTAAAACATAAATCCTGGGATCTAACATTACAAAAATTTACTTGCACATATATCTAAAATCTAATCATTTTTATATGGACTGTTATAAATAATCTGTGACATCAGGACTGTTTTCCTAGCATAGTAGTACACTGGAAAAATGTCTTAGAAGAGACTCTTATTCAGGTGACTAAGATGTGTACAATCAATATTCGCTGGCCATTGTTTCAGACTCAAGGGCTCTTACTAGTTCCTCAATCCACGATGAATCAGATACTAGTGGGAATGACACCATGTCAGACACACCCACTATGAGCATTCCTCCTGCACAGATCTAACTGGCCACCTGTAATGCAGCACGCATAAGTGAGGGCTGTTCTGAAGCTCAGGCAATTTGTACAGAGTTGACTAATGGCTAATCCCACTTGATTTTTCAGAGCTGAAAGCATATTTACATACATGAAACAAACAGAAAACTGAAATCAATTTGCCTGTGATTAAGAGCTCAGCTGGAGCAAAACCCCAGAAGAGACATTGTTCCTTCAGGACCAGGGTGGGAAATGCCGATGTATCGACATCTGGGAGACATACCTTGCTCAGGAGTCCAGTAATGCAATCCCAGTTGTGCTGGCTTAACTGCAGTAACTACTTGCTCATGTCACCTTACTTTATGTCTTATATGTCTTCCAGGCTCTAAGCTTATTCTGGCCCAATCAATATCCACTTCCATCCTATTGCTTACTTCTGGATTGTGGCTGCAAATCATATAAATGCCGAGGTACCTGTGATCAAGATTCCACGTGCTGAATAGAATTCGGCTCTCTCTGTTCCCGTAGGGGTTGATGGAGTGTAGGGACAAGCACTCATCTTGATCGAACGCTCCCTGGTAAGACCACAGTGATGGTAGATAAAATTAAATATACAGCAGAGAACAATAACAGCTGTGAAATAAAGACCCTCCCATGCAGAGATTGTTAGCAATGCCTTTCAGTATACTGGGTAGCCTACTCTTCAGCTAGTACTTCATTTCTTCTGGAAGGCTTTCACTTTGGAAGAGTGTACTCTGGAAGAGTGTACAAGGCTACATCAAGGATAAGAATATAAATGCATTCAAGGGATAGACAATGCTTCTTCGTTGCTTTAGCTTTTTAAACTGTATTTCGCGCTTTGGGTCGACCACATCAACACACCTGGCAGGAAAACCAGCCCTCCTCAGTGCAGAGGCGGTTGGGTTCCTTTTCTTTCCTGTCGAAGTAGCAGCCGTTGTACTTGATGGCTTTCAGCTTTTCAGTCATCATGTCCACAGTCTTCTTGTACTCTCCCCGAGCCCTGGGACACTTTATATGCTGAGTATAGCCATCAACCTGAAAAACCACATCATACACGATAAACCTTTCAAACCTTTCTCGTGACTGCTGAGCAGTCGCTAATGGATTTCGTTTCTCTGTTTCCTCTGCACGTTTTAACATATTCTCCCCAAGACTTGTGATATCCCACCATAAAGGTGTTAAGTTCGTTAAAGCAGTCTTATTCTTTTCTACTCCAGCAGTTAGGAATTAACACCTAAAACTGGGGTGGCCAACCCTGGATCTGGAGAACTACAGTAAAGCAGGTATTGTAAGTCACTCTTAAATCGTTATCTTGTAATGCAATACATGAATGGTGATCCATTTAAGAGGTTATGTGGCCTTAGTAAAGTCAGAACTCTGATCAGGTGATCTCTAACCAACCTAAATGAACAAATCACCCATTTTTCACCAAATCACCAAGACATTCTGGGTTAAGGCCATTCGCACCATAAGTATCATTAAGCAACAGCATTTTTACAGTCAATATATATCTCCTTTTAATGAATGTTCGTTTTCAGACAGCTCGGGGATAGCTCGAGATTTCATTGGAACCCATTGGAGGAGTATTTCTTTTTTTCTTTTTCTCAATCATTGCCGACCATGTATTTAGTGAAAACAACAGAACATTTACTATTCAGTTACTGTGCAGTGGACATGCTTCTGGCCAACTGAACTCCTCACGTGAGGCCTCTGCATCGAGTTCTATGAGCTTCTATTTTCACAAAGACACAAAGAAAGTTTTCCACCTCCTTGAGGTATCCACGGACTCTGTTCTCACAGTTGTACTTCATGTACGCAGATTTAGTCTTGAACCTGGAATCAACACCTGCAGAAAAACACCACACACATCCTGAAGAGGTACAGAACATTTCACATTCCCGCATTCCTACATTTCAGCCTCTGTACCGGCACGTGCTTGATTGACATTCGTGAACACAACAACTGCCATTTGTTTTAAAAATGGATATAGAGCTATATCTCTCTGAAGGTGTCCACTTTTACCAGTGCCATCACAAAAACAGAAATGTTGTTTATGTACTGTATGTGGCTGGTTTTATCTTAGAGCTTCAGAAAGCAGAAGAATGACAAAAGTACACCAGGAAAGACTGTCATTAGACTGCACTAATTTTAAAGCAAATGAAAGGCTCTGCGACTGCTATATTATTATAATACATCAGGTGCATAGTTGTTACATGCACTCTACTGCGCTTATGCAGACTGAGAAACCTTTTGATGTATGTAATTAAGCCTCTGTAATTCTGGTACACTAGTATGCATTTCTCACCACTAAAACCTAGCCTGGCTACCTTCAAACCAGTCCTCGTCTTCTTCCCTGCTCTCCAAGTCCGACGTCTCTTTCAGGTTGTGCAGGAGCTCCTGCAGGATCTTGCGTCTCTTGGGAGCATGCTCGTCTGTGAGGAGACCCCTCGCTGACTCGATCAGCAGCTCGGTGTGGAGGTCTGAGGCGCCCAGTAGCAGGCCGACATCGCAGACGACTGCGGAGAACACAAATGTCAGTTAGAACCATGCAGGTCCATCTGCTCGTGCTGAACGTTGGATGTTTTTTATGGCTTTGCTCCCTGCAGCGTGGTAGGGAGACCAAACACATGCTTTTTGTTCAATTGTGCAGATGGATGAGATGAGGAGGTAGTTCGTACATGTACAGAGCTGTTGATTAAAAAAATATATATATATTCAAGGTAACCCTAAACAGAAAGTGGAGGAGACAAATGGCATTTATTGGTAGTTTAAGTTTATTCACAGTGCAGGTTCTGACCAGTAGCTTTGGGAAGCGTCCAAATGATTCCCTATTTTAGTATTTTCTATAAAAAGACACTGGAGTCTGCACATATATGGAATAGCACTACATTTTAAAAGAGAATGGGTTTTTTTACATATATAAAAATGCTCCACCTACATCCATTCCAGGTCTGCCCTGCAGCAAGCAGAATGAGTTCAGTGTTGTCGGGGAGTTTCTTAAAATAGTCTTCGCTTACTTCTGTTCCGTCTTCATACAAACAGACCCGAGAGCCCGAATGCGGGACCTTGGGAAGAAGATTTTTGAAAGCATTGGGGTTCACTCAGATTATTCTGGATCAGGGGACTCCAAGCCAAGTCCTGGAGGAGTCCAAAGAGGTTAGACTTATGGGTCATCTTTAAAGCAGGTAATCGGATCAATTGGGAGATCTCAGGTCCTCGATGGCTGAAGAGCACATCTATTTTAGCTCAGAGCGATCACTAAATTAATTGAACTATTCAGGTTTATTCAATCACAGGGGATTTGTTCATCTGCGTCTTCCAATCCAGGGTCCTGGGGGAGCTGGAGCCTATCCCAGCATCCAACAGGCGCAAGGCAGGGTGCACCCTGCACAGGACAGCAACCCGTCGCAGGGCTGACACACCGACACTAACCCCGACACGCACCCACTCGGATTTTACAGAAGCCACTTAACCTCCCTGTATGTCTTTGGACTGTGAGAGGAAACTGGAGCAAATAAACACAGGGAAGACATACAAACTCCACGCAGACAGCAGCCCAGGTCTGGAATGGATCACAGAACTCCAGCACTGGCTCCACGCCACCCAGGAATTGCTAGTAATGACAAGTGTATTCCTGGGAAATGTGTTCTGTATTGTACTGTACCGTACCTCCTTACAGCCACCCAGAAATACAAGAAATACAAGTAGCGCAGCCAAGAGTTAGTAGGCATTTATTATAAACAGGAACATTTTGGAACTAATAAAATCAATGATTTATGATAAATACGTCTTAAATGCGCCACTATTTGCAAAAGAGAACGAAACGCGGAAAACGCATATCCACACCTGCAAGGTTTCACAGCCCTTCTTGAGAAGCTCTTTCACGCTCGTTGCCGCCATGCCGTATTTTTGATTGCTTCCGAAACCCCGGAGTTTAACGAGTTTGTTTTTTTTGAAGAACCCGAACATGTTACTAACTGCCCCAGCTTCGCTACAAAAGCCTTCTGGCACTTCCGCTTGCAGAGGACGCATGCTCGGACAGCGGGCGCGCTGGGCTGCGGTATTAACAGCGTCTTTGGCGACATCTTTGGACCAAGTCGAGTTTATAACAAACGTCTGCGGGAGACGAGCGGTTATGTGGGGTTCCAACCTACCCAGCCTTTCTCTTTATGAGGTTAAATATTATGTATTAAACAGCCGCATTCCCTAAATATCTTTATTCCAGGGTATTCGCACGCCCTCCAAATGTACAGAACTCTCTGTGAAATTGATTAAATGAATTGCTAGCTTGCATTTTAAAGAGTGCTGTTCATGCCATGTGATCCGAAACACTGCTTTACTTATAGGACACATACTGAAATGCAGCCCCCGCCTTAGCGAAACAAGAGCATCGATTCTGGTGAGCCCCACTGCATAGCCCACTCGGTTCAAATGATTTTACTGATAAATCCGCACCAAGCTAAGAAAATCTGTTCCGAATTAACAACTCTTGGAAGGCACAATACAAAAAAAAAACAACACAAAATGGCAATAAAAACAGGTGAACTACAATATACCCAAGAAGAAACGACGATAAAGTTGTTACAGTTGTTATTCTTGCCAAATAGTGTTTATTTACCATTGATACATTAAAAGACAACATCAACACTGTAACCGTTTGCCGATCTCCCTGGTAACATCAAGCCAAGCTGAAGGACGGATCCATCAGAATAGGGGGAGGTAAATATTTTTAGTTCGATTTCATTCTCCTATTAATGCGCAATGCCTTTATTTTTTTAAGTCTACGAATAATATAATATCTTTTTTATAATTAAATAAAGGTTACGTCTTGAACTGGTTTGTTTTCGAAGTATCTGAAATAAGAAACCTAGAGTACGTGTCTCCCCTGTTAACAGTCATAGAGTACGTGCCTAAACTAACATGGCAGGCAACGGGACAGAGGAAAATTAGAGGTAACTTTTCAAGTTAAAATACATTTGTTATAAAATATTAATGACTAATTCATTGCAAAATAAAGTACAACCGAGGAGTTTGTGTTTATTATGGATCAGGTTTGGAAAATTACCCGGAAAAAATGAAAGACTTGGGTGCAGGATAAATCCTGTTTGTTACGTTTAGAAATGCAGGATTTTCTCAATCTCAGCGGTAATTTGAGAGACAAAATGACTATTTTGTATTAACACAGAAGAAGCAAATTGCAAGTCTGTAGTTTTAATTCTAGTGAAATTCACTTGCAAAAATTACATGATTCACATTTTGCATGCTTTCGATCACGTTAATGCCTTAATGACATAAACTAAACTTTGAGAGAAACATACGATAAGACGTGTCATACAGTGGTGTAAACCTGAACCGCAATAAAAATGCAGTTCAATATAGCTTATGTATTTTGTTAATGTCAACTATTTTAGTAAACAAAACCAGTAGTGTTTAGAATGAATTCTTAACTATTCAGAAAACGATTCTCCCATTTTCTTTCATGGTTAATATCAGTGGGGAAAAAAAAAAAACTTAACCCGTTCGCTCCTAAAAAAAATGACATTTATTTATTTGTTTTTATCAATGTAACCGGTTTAGCAGTTTTCTTGGCGATCCGTGTGAAACCATGACCATCGGCATGACGGCGTGGAAGGAAAGGTTCGAGAAAAGCCAGGTGATCCCACCGCACTGCCAGAGAACCCGCCTGGCTCAGGAGAACTCCGAGGGCTTCCAGATCATCCTTCAGCACTTGGAAGGAATGCCAGTTAGACAGGTGAGCATAGTACTGGGGGATGATACTACTACTACTAATAATAATTGCTTACACGTATATAGCTGGACACTCCATTCAAAGCGCTTTACAGGTAATGGGGATCCCCTCCAC